CATACTGAATTTTTAAGATAGTCGATCAGGGCCCATTTTTATATGTTGTGTGCGAGATCCTTTTCCAAAACGAGCAAACTGTATCCTCCTATTTCTCAGAAACTAATCATAGTATTACTTTGGAACCATGGGAAATTTTGTTCAGTAAGGCAAGCAACATACCGTACTGAATTTGTAGGCAAGTTGATCGGTGCCCATTTTTATATGTGTGTGCGAGGTCCTTTTCCAAAACGAGCAACCTGTATCCCCTACTTCTCAGAAACTAGTCATAGGATTGGTTTGGTCCCTTGATGCATTTTGTTCAGTAAGGTGATAAATATATCATACTGAATTTTTAAGCTAGTCGATCAGGGCCCATTTTTATATGTTGTGTGCGAGGTCCTTTTCCAAAACGAGCAAACTGTATCCTCCTATTTCTCAAAAACTAATCATAGGATTACTTTGGAATCATGAGAAATTTTGTTCAGTAAGGCAAGCAACATACCGTACTGAATTTGTAGCCAAGTCGATCGGTGCCCATTTTTATATGTGTGTGCGAGGTCCTTTTCCAAAACGAGCAACCTGTATCCCCTATTTCTCAGAAACTAGTCATAGGATTGGTTTGGTCCCTTGATGAATTTTGTTCAGTAAGGTGATAAATATATCATACTGAATTTTTAAGCTAGTCGATCAGGGCCCATTTTTATATGTTGTGTGCGAGGTCCTTTTCCAAAACGAGCAAGCTGTATCCTCCTATTTCTCAGAAACTAATCATAGGATTACTTTGGCACCAGGAGAAATTTTGTTCAGTAAGGCGAGAAACATATCATACTGAATTTTTAGGCTAGTCGATCGATGCCCATTTTCATATGTTTTGTGCGAGGACCTTTTCGAAAACGAGCAATCTGTATCTCTCAGAAACTAGTCATAGGATTGGTTTGGTCCCTTGATGAATTTTGTTCAGTAAGGTGATAAATATATCATGCTGAATTTTTAAGCTAGTCGATCAGGGCCCATTTTTATATGTTGTGTGCGAGGTCCTTTTCCAAAACGAGCAAGCTGTATCCTCCTATTTCTCAGAAACTAATCATAGGATTGCTTTGGCACCAGGAGAAATTTTGTTCAGTAAGGCGAGAAACATATCATACTGATTTTTTAGGCTAGTCGATCGATGCCCATTTTCATATGTTTTGTGCGAGGACCTGTTCCAAAACGAGCAATCTGTATCTCTCAGAAACTAGTCATAGGATTGATTTGGTCCCTTGATGAATTTTGTTCAGTAAGGTGATAAATATATCATGCTGAATTTTTAAGCTAGTCGATCAGGGCCCATTTTTATATGTTGTGTGCGAGATCCTTTTCCAAAACGAGCAACCTGTATCCCCTATTTCTCAGAAACTGGTCATAGGATTGGTTTGGTCCCTTGATGAATTTTGTTCAGTAAGGTGATAAATATATCATACTGAATTTTTAAGCTAGTCGATCAGGGCCCATTTTTATATGTTGTGTGCGAGGTCCTTTTCCAAAACGAGCAACCTGTATCCTCCTATTTCTCAGAAACTAATCATAGGATTGCTTTGGCACCAGGAGAAATTTTGTTCAGTAAGGCGAGAAACATATACTGAATTTTTAGGCTAGTCGATCGATGCCCATTTTCATATGTTTTGTACGAGGTCCTTTTCGAAAACGAGCAATCTGTATCTCTCAGAAACTAGTCATAGGATTGGTTTGGTCCCTTGATGAATTTTGTTCAGTAAGGTGATAAATATATCATGCTGAATTTTTAAGCTAGTCGATCAGGGCCCATTTTTATATGTTGTGTGCGAGATCCTTTTCCAAAACGAGCAACCTGTATCCCCTATTTCTCAGAAACTGGTCATAGGATTGGTTTGGTCCCTTGATGAATTTTGTTCAGTAAGGTGATAAATATATCATACTGAATTTTTAAGCTAGTCGATCAGGGCCCATTTTTATATGTTGTGTGCGAGGTCCTTTTCCAAAACGAGCAACCTGTATCCTCCTATTTCTCAGAAACTAATCATAGGATTGCTTTGGCACCAGGAGAAATTTTGTTCAGTAAGGCGAGAAACATATACTGAATTTTTAGGCTAGTCGATCGATGCCCATTTTCATATGTTTTGTACGAGGTCCTTTTCGAAAACGAGCAATCTGTATCTCTCAGAAACTAGTCATAGGATTGGTTTGGTCCCTTGATGAATTTTGTTCAGTAAGGTGATAAATATATCATGCTGAATTTTTAAGCTAGTCGATCAGGGCCCATTTTTATATGTTGTGTGCGAGATCCTTTTCCAAAACGAGCAAGCTGTATCCTCCTATTTCTCAGAAACTAATCATAGGATTACTTTGGCACCAGGAGAAATTTTGTTCAGTAAGGCGAGAAACATATCATACTGAATTTTTAGGCTAGTCGATCGATGCCCATTTTCATATGTTTTGTGCGAGGACCTTTTCCAAAACGAGCAATCTGTATCTCTCAGAAACTAGTCATAGGATTGGTTTGGTCCCTTGATGAATTTTGTTCAGTAAGGTGATAAATATATCATGCTGAATTTTTAAGCTAGTCGATCAGGGCCCATTTTTATATGTTGTGTGCGAGGTCCTTTTCCAAAACGAGCAACCTGTATCCCCTATTTCTCAGAAACTGGTCATAGGATTGGTTTGGTCCCTTGATGAATTTTGTTCAGTAAGGTGATAAATATATCATACTGAATTTTTAAGCTAGTCGATCAGGGCCCATTTTTATATGTTGTGTGCGAGGTCCTTTTCCAAAACGAGCAAGCTGTATCCTCCTATTTCTCAGAAACTAATCATAGGATTACTTTGGCACCAGGAGAAATTTTGTTCAGTAAGGCGAGAAACATATACTGAATTTTTAGGCTAGTCGATCGATGCCCATTTTCATATGTTTTGTGCGAGGACCTTTTCCAAAACGAGCAATCTGTATCTCTCAGAAACTAGTCATAGGATTGGTTTGGTCCCTTGATGAATTTTGTTCAGTAAGGTGATAAATATATCATGCTGAATTTTTAAGCTAGTCGATCAGGGCCCATTTTTATATGTTGTGTGCGAGGTCCTTTTCCAAAACGAGCAACCTGTATCCCCTATTTCTCAGAAACAGGTCATAGGATTGGTTTGGTCCCTTGATGAATTTTGTTCAGTAAGGTGATAAATATATCATACTGAATTTTTAAGCTAGTCGATCAGGGCCCATTTTTATATGTTGTGTGCGAGGTCCTTTTCCAAAACGAGCAAGCTGTATCCTCCTATTTCTCAGAAACTAATCATAGGATTACTGGCACCAGGAGAAATTTTGTTCAATAAGGCGAGAAACATATACTGAATTTTTAGGCTAGTCGATCGATGCCCATTTTCATATGTTTTGTGCGAGGACCTTTTCCAAAACGAGCAATCTGTATCTCTCAGAAACTAGTCATAGGATTGGTTTGGTCCCTTGATGAATTTTGTTCAGTAAGGTGATAAATATATCATGCTGAATTTTTAAGCTAGTCGATCAGGGCCCATTTTTATATGTTGTGTGCGAGGTCCTTTTCCAAAACGAGCAAGCTGTATCCTCCTATTTCTCAGAAACTAATCATAGGATTACTTTGGCACCATGAGAAATTTTGTTCAGTAAGGCGAGAAACATCATACTGAATTTTTAGGCAAGTCAATCGGTGCCCATTTTTATATGTTTTGTGCTAGGTCCTTTTCCAAAACGAGCAATCTGAAACTCTCAGAAATTAGTCATAGGATTGGATTGGACCCTTGATGAATTTTGTTCAGTAAGGTGATAAATATATAATACTGAATTTTTAAGCTAGTCGATCAGGGCCCATTTTTATATGTTGTGTGCGAGGTCCTTTTCCAAAACGAGCAATCTGAAACTCTCAGAAATTAGTCATAGGATTGGATTGGACCCTTGATGAATTTTGTTCAGTAAGGTGATAAATATATAATACTGAATTTTTAAGCTAGTCGATCAGGGCCCATTTTTATATGTTGTGTGCGAGGTCCTTTTCCAAAACGAGCAAACTGTATCCTCCTATTTCTCAGAAACTAATCATTGGATTACTTTGGCACCATGGGAAATTTTGTTCAGTAAGGCGAGCAACATATACTGAATTTTTAGGCGAGTCGATCGGTGCCCATTTTGATATGTTTTGTGCTATGTCCTTTTCCAAAACGAGCAATCTGTATCTCTCAGAAACTAGTCATAGGACTGGTTTGGTCCCTTGATAAATTTTGTTCAGTAAGGGGATAAATATATCATATTGAATTTTTAGTCTAGTCGATCAGGGCTCATTTTTATATGTTGAGTGCGAGGTCCTTTTCCAAACCGAGCAACCTGTATCCCCCAATTTCTCAGAAACTAGTCATAGGATTGGTTTGGACCCTTGATGAATTTTGTTCAGTAAGGTGATAAATATATAATACTGAATTTTTAAGCTAGTCGATCAGGGCCTATTTTTATATGTTGTGTGCGAGGTCCTTTTCCAAAACGAGCAAACTGTATCCTCCTATTTCTCAGAAACTAATCATAGGATTGCTTTGGCACCATGAGAAATTTTGTTCAGTAAGGCCAGAAACAGATCATACTGAGTTTTTAGGCAAGTCGATCGGTGCTCATTTTTATATGTTTTGTGTGAGGTCCTTTTCCAAAACGAGCAACCTGTGTCCCCCTATTTCTCAGAAACTAGTCAATGGATCGCTTTGGTACCTTGAGAAATTTTGTTCAGTAAGGTGACAAATACATCATACCGAAGTTTTAGGCTAGTCGACCAGGGCCCATTTTTGTATGTTTTGTGCGAGGTCCTTTTATAAATTTATTTTCGCGGTTCTGTTTCTGTCTCATAGATGGCGCAAGTATCTTTAGGCTCACTTTTTGGACAGCAGAATACTTGACTGTCTTCAAGTAGAATATGTTCATCAATGATTTTCTCTATAATACTAATTAAATCACAATTTGTCATGAGCTTATAAATGATCTTGTTTGATTGCAGTGCTCGAACCTCATGCTAGTGGAACAAGTCAGAGGAGAACCGCTCTCCTTTCAAGTTTTACCGTTTGACAATCCGAGGTTGCAATCGACGCTGAAAGCAAGATCTCTTCAGCACAAACGAGAATGGACGTTGCAAATCAAGAGGGTCATTTTGGAAAACTACACTTCAGTTATCCCGAATAGAGTCAGGCAGCTGGTACTGCAACTTGGGCAGGATCTCAACGAAAAAGGTGCGTTTAAACCAAATCGGAAGGGGCTGATACTTGGGGGTTGTAGGGGAAGGGGTCTTCGGCGGGAATAAAATCGCTGTAACAATTTTCATGACTCCATTTTTTCGTAGACTTGGAGACGACGGAGAAATGGCTGCCGCTGAAACCGTCCACCACGCCTCACTACTTGGAACGCCGCAGTCGGATGAGGAAAACGCGCGACTTCTCCAACCGCAGAGCCTCGTCTCAGGACCGTTCGTTCGTCTCGCTGGGCAGCTGGCGGAGAAAATCGGAGCCGAGCATGATCCCGCAGTACAATTCGAAGACGGTCCCGAAGAAGATCAGCAAATTGAAAAAGAATAAAGAGCAAACGATGAACGCGACTTTTTACACGGACCTGTCCGACTCCGAGACGTGCGACGCGATTGGCGAGAGTACGGAGAGTCTGATCCAAAATGGGGGCGGCGAGGTGCGGAACGAAGAACGGGAAGACGAGAAGGCTGATTGTCCGGTCAAGACGAATTTGGAGAAGATCGTCTCGGAGATATTGATGCAGAATCAGAAGATGTTTGGCAACAGGCAGAATACGAACAGGTAATTTTTTTTATAGAAGTTTGAAAAATTATTGCATATAACAACCTTCAAAACTTGCAACTTTGCTCTGCAACATTTTTCTCTGGGTAACATTTTTTTGCCTCCATGCCTCCTGGATGCCCTAAAATGACTTTTAAGGTCATAGTCAAGGTCATTGACGAGATTTACTTGAACGTAAAATTTCCTGCTTTTCAGACGCCCGTTGTCAAAAATAGAGATATCCATCTAAGAAACTCGCTTGACCTTCAAATGATCTCGAAGGTCAAGTTAAGGTCACGTACAAGGTCATCATTAAATGATCCATTTCAAACCTTGCAACTTTGCTCTGTAACATTTTTCTCTAGGTAACATATTTTTTGAGATGTTTTTCCATACCTTTAGGACGTTCTAAAATGACCTTTAAGGTCATGGACGAGATTTAATTGAACGTAACCCAAACCCAAAAATAGGGTTTTCCATCTAAGAAACTCGCTTGACCTTCAAATTATCTCAGAGGTCAAGTTAAGGTCACGTACAAGGTCATAATTAAATGATCCTTTTCAAACCTTGCAACTTTACTCTGTAACATTTTTCTCTAGGTAGCATATTTTTGAGATGTTTTTCCATACCTTTAGGACGTTTTAAAATGACCTTTAAGGTCGTAGTCAAGGCCATGGACGAAATTTACTTGAACGTAAAATTTCCTGCTTTTTAGACGCCCGTTGTCAAAAATAGAGATATCCATCTAAGAAACTCGCTTGACCTTCAAACGATCTCAGAGGTCAAGTTAAGGTCACGTACAAGGTCATCATTAAATGATCCTTTTCAAACCTTGCAACTTTGCTCTGTAACATTTTTCTCTAGGTAGCATATTTTTTGAGATGTTTTTACATATCTTTAGGACGTTCTAAAATGACCTTTAAGGTCATAGCCAAGATCATGGACGAAATTTACTTGAACGTAAGATTTACTGCTTTTTAGACGCCCGTTGCCAAAAATAGAGATATCCATCTAAGAAACTCGCTTGACCTTCAAATGATCTGAAAGGTCAAGTTAAGGTCACGTACAAGATCATCATTAAGTGATCCTTTTCAAACCTGGCAACTTTGCTCTGTAACATTTTTCTCTAGGTAGCATATTTTTTGAAATGTTTTTACATATCTTTAGGACGTTCTAAAATGACCTTTAAGGTCATAGCCAAGGTCATGGACGAAATTTACTTGAACGTAAAATTTCCTGCTTTTTAAATTTCCGTTGTCAAAAATAGGGATTTCCATCTAAGAAACTTGCTTGACCTTCAAATGATCTCAAAGGTCAAGTTAAGGTCACGTACAAGGTCATCATTAAATGATCCTTTCAAACCTTGCAACTTTGCTCTGTAACATTTTTCTCTAGGTAGCATGTTTTTTGAGATGTTTTTCCATACCTTTAAGACGTTCTAAAATGACCTTTAAGGTCATAGCCAAGGTCATGGACGAAATTTACTTGAACGTAAGATTTACTGCTTTTTAGACGCCCGTTGCAAAAAATAGAGATATCCATCTAAGAAACTCGCTTGACCTTCAAATGATCTCAAAGATCAAATTAAGGTCACGTACAAGATCATCATTAAGTGATCCTTTTCAAACCTTGCAACTTTGCTCTGTAACATTTTTCTCTAGGTAGCATATTTTTGAGATGTTTTTTCATACCTTTAGGAAGTTCTAAAATGACCTTTAAGGTCATAGCCAAGGTCATGGACGAGACTTAATTGAACGTAAAATTTCCTGCTTTTTAGACTTCCGTTGTCAAAAATAGGGATTTCCATCTAAGAAACTCGCTTGACCTTCAAATTATCTCAAAGGTCAACGGCAAGGACACACTACTATGTTAGGTCATAATTAAATGATCCTTTTCAAACCTTGCAACTTTACTCTGTAACATTTTTCTCTAGGTAGCATATTTTTTGAGATGTTTTTCCATACTGATAGGATATACTAAAATGACCTTTAAGGTAATATTCAAGGTCATGGACGAGATTTACTTGAACATAAAATATCCCGCTTTTTATACGTCTGTTATCAAAAATGGGGTTTACCATTTAAGAAAACTCACTAGACCTACAAATGACCTTAAAGGCCATCGTCAAGGTTGTATTCAAGGTCACCATTAGTTGAACCTTGCAACTTTGCTTTGTAACAATATTCTCTCCGTAGCATATTTTTTGACGTTTTCTCTCCATACATTTAGAATGTCCTAAAATGGCCTTTAAGGTCATAGTCAAGGTCATAGACAAGGATTTACTTGAACGTAAAATTTCCCGTTCTTTACGGTGTCCTTGTTAAAAATAAGATGTTCCATTAAAGAAACTAGCTTGACGGTCAAATGATCTTGGAGGTCATCGTCAACGTCGCGTTCAAGGTCACCATTGATGAAGCGTGAATGTTATTTTAGGTCAAGGTCATATTCGAACGTAAAACTTCATTATTTTTTCATATCCAGTACAAAAATGATAGGTTTCCTATGGAAGTTTTGGCTTGACCTTGAAGGTGATATTCAAGGTCATGGATGATCTCGATAAACGTCACTAATATGCTTTCGAACATATTTGCTAGAGCAAATTATTTTCAATGTCTTCATTTGACCTTTAAACGAGCTTGAAGCCACGGTGATGGCCGGACGTATAATTTGTTCTTATTTTCAATTCCGATGTGAAAAAGCTGGCGTTTGATTTGAAAATATTCGCTTGACCTTGAAGATCGTACTCAAGGTCTCTGCCAAGATCCCCATAATGTTGCCCCTCAAAACCCTACCTATTTCGTTTAAAACTTTTTCTAGAATGCGTAGTTTTATGTGTTTAGATTAAAATGAGACACCGTGTATACTATTCAGCGATGATCCCTGTAAAATAATAACAAAAACAAGATTATATCAATCGCATTTCTTTCTGTTATAGACGCAACGTTACAAGCGACCCTGCACCGTCGACGTGGTTTGAAGAGAAGTTGAAATTACCAGCAAAGTCCGATTCTCTACCCCGATCTTTCCAGTTGAGTGATAAAATTGAGACTGACACAAATAGTGTGGTGGAATGCAAAAACGAAAGGCTAGTGCATGATATGACGTCGAAGGAAAATACTTCCGGGGACGTTGACGAACAGCGCGAGAAGTGAGTGACTTTTTGTTACCATACAAAAGAAATATTTATAATGCGTACTTGATTTATTGCAGCGAATTGTCATCTCGTCTGGAGGACAACAGCGAGCATCCTGAGCACAAAATCTATCGGAAATCCGCGATTCGCTTCAGCCTGCTGCAGCGACTGAGACACATCGTGTCAGAAGAGCAACGGAGACAGAGACACGTGCCTCCGGAACCGCCGCACCGGACTTCCTCCCGGAGCATCGGAGAGAAAATGGCCAACCCGGACTACGCGGATCCTCAGAAATTGTTGCTGGGGTCCAAGGTCAACTTGGCAGTGGAAGAAAGTAGGGAGCTGGACGACGAGACGGATATGATGGGCGAGGTGGAGCATCTAGATCTTACGATAAACGAAAAGGAGGTAGGTAGAGGGCAAAGATGTAGGAGAGCGAACACTCTAGGTAAAACGAATTTCATCTTTTGCATCCGGCGGTTCTGAATTTATTGCTGCTCTTTGCGTATGATTACTCCCCACGTTATCACTGCTGCACTGATCGATGCTGTGTTGCCTCTTTTCGTTTGTTTCGGTTTAGTTCAAATGCACAGTAGCTCAAATACACAGTAGGTCAATTGTACAGTAATTCAAATGCACAGTAGGTCAAATGAACAGTAGTTCAAATGAACAGTAGTTCAAATGAACAGTAGTTCAAATGAACAGTAGTTCAAATGAACAGTAGTTCAAATGAACAGTAGTTCAAATGAACAGTAGTTCAAATGAACAGTAGTTCAAATGAACAGTAGTTCAAATGAACAGTAGTTCAAATGAACAGTAGTTCAAATTAACAGTAGTTCAAATGAACAGTAGTTCAAATGAACAGTAGTTCAAATGAACAGTAGTTCAAATGAACAGTAGTTCTAATGAACAGTAGTTCAAATGAACAGTAGTTCAAATGAACAGTAGTTCAAATGAACAGTAGTTCAAATGAACAGTAGTTCAAATGAACAGTAGTTCTAATGAACAGTAGTTCAAATGAACAGTAGATCAAATGAACAGCAGTTCAAGTGAACAGTAGTTCAAATGCACCGTAATAATAAATCAGTTGTACTAGTAGTTTCGTTAGATTTGCACATCTTTTTGAATCAGTGGATCTCTCAGTTAGACAAAAGTGACGTTATGGCATTAAAGCGAAATGAATCTTAAACAAACTAAAAAAACTTGGGCAAATAAATCTTAAGCCAGAATTTCGTTTTCAGGTGCTGAACGAGATCGACAAACGGCTAAACAGCAGCTCGAGCGCCAGCAGCGACAGTACGGAAGTGCCGGACACAGGCCAAGAAGACCCGACCGCCAGTGTTGACCAATCACCTTCCGCCAGCAACGCCTGCTCACCACCGCCTCTCCACAACGATTCTAGTCGCGTGACGCCTGACCCTGACAGCTATTACGAGAGCCTTCTGGAGGACAACCTGACCGAGGAGTACGTGAAGGACTCCAGCGGGAGATTGGTGGCCAAACAGGACAGTTTCAGCGGGAACGGCGACAGGTGTACGGTGGTTTTCGCGCAAAAGTACAAATATTTCGAGGACCAGTGTGGTACTACCAGTGGCGCTGCGCAAAAGGTGAATATAGTAAGTGACATATAACATGCAACACCCAGAATTATTTATTGAATTTTGATAAAAACTTGCCATCACAGTTTTTTGGTATAATAGCATTTATTACCTGACAGAAAACGAACCATTTACAAGGCAATAGAAGAATAGGATCGGACCTAATACCGAACCTTGAGATACTCCTGCGTTTATATATAGTTTATTTTAAAAATAATGATTTGAAAATTTTGAGTGCGGTTCCAGCACAACCACATTCGTTTAATTTTTTTAATGATATGCCATATGCTTTTTATTTTTAATTGATCGTAGGATAAAGTAAACATTTCTTATCTATATTTATATGGTTTAAATTTTTTAAGGCCGTCTGTTTGCATTAGTAGTCTAAATCCTTTTCATCTGATTACTTCGTGATGTGTATAGAGATGACTAAAAAACATCGTTTTTAATTTCTTTTTTTGTGCATTTTATTGTGGATTTTTTCTTCGAACGTAACTTGTTAACAAATATTAGTACAGCTCTGAAATTCTATGTGTATATTCCACTTTTATGGATGAATGAAACAAGTGGTTACTTTTATCATTATCACTTTATCTCTTCGAAAAAGTCTTGCTTTTTTTGAAACTTGCTGCGGGGCGAGGCTTCAAGAAAATCAAAGATTTTTCGGAAAGGAAAAGCGATAAGAACAAAATCACTTGTTGCATTCTTCCATAAAAGAAGAACACTACAATTTCAGAGCTGTATTTATTATTGTTAACAAGTTCTGATTGAAGAAAAGATGCACAATAAATGCATTTTCGACAAAAAAAAATTAAAACATTGTTTTTTAGCCATCTCTATACACACAGGTAGTTAATCAATCATCAGTATTTTTTAGTTTTTCTCCTATTGTGCAGTAATAATTGTTTAATACCTGAGGACTTGTAGGTGGTATGTTGGTGGAAGTAGGTTTGCCTTTTAATTCATTTATGACTCTCCATGCTTCCTTGGTTTTATTTCATGAACTTGTTTTCTGTCTCGACTGTCTCCCTTAACCTGCCTTCACTATATGCAGGGTGTTAATTGAGTATGTTCTATAAAATTAACAGAGTAATTTTAAGACAAAAAGTCCGCAAATTTTTCATTCTCAAGGTACAAGTACAAGTTAACTTTCAAAAAAATGTTTTTTCGTAAATTTCGTAAATATTCTCGACAACAAAATGCCGTTAAAGATATTTACGAAAAACGATTTTTTTTTAAATTTCAACACCTTGCATCTTGCGAACGAAGCAATTGCGGACCTATTTTTCGTTAGGGTTATCCCACTTTTTTTCGTTGGGTTTGTCCCATTTTTTTCGTTAGGTATTTCACAGTTTTTTTCGTTAGGTTTGTCTCACTTTTTATCGTTAGATTTGCCCCACTTTTTTTCCTTAGGTTTGTCCCACTTTTTTCGTTAGGGTTGTCCCACGTTTTTCGTTAAGTTTGTCCCAGTTTTTCTCGTTAGGGTTCTCCCACTTTTTTTAGTTAGTTTTGTTCCACTTTTTTTCGTTAGGGTTGTCCCACTTTTTTTGTTAGGGTTGTCCCACTTTTTTTCGTTAGGTTTGTCCCACATCTTTTCGTTAGGTCTGTCCCACTTTTTTTCGTTAGTTTTGTCCCACTTTTTTTGTTAGGGTTGTCCCAGTTTTTTTCGTTAGATTTGTCCCACTTTTTTTCGTTAGGGTTGTCCAACTTTATTCGTTAAGTTTGTCCCACTTTATTTCGTTAGGTTTGTCCCACTTTTTTTGTTAGGGTTGTCCCAGTTTTTTTCGTTAGATTTGTCCCACTTTTTTTCGTTGTGGTTGTCCAACTTTATTCGTTAAGTTTGTCCCACTTTATTTCGTTAGGTTTGTCCCACTTTTTTTTGTTAGGTTTGTCCCACTTTCTTTCGTTAGGTCTGTCCACTTTTTTCGTTAGGGTTGTCCAACTTTATTCGTTAAGTTTGTCCCACTTTGTTTCGTTAGGTTTGTCCTAGTTTTTTTCGTTAGGTTTGTCCCACTTATTTTCGTTAAGTTTTCCCACTTTTTTCGTTAAATTTGTCCCACTTTTTCGGTTGTCTGATCCACTTTTTTGTTAGGTTTGTTCCACTTTCTTACGTTAGGGTTGTCCCACTTTTTTCGTTAGGGTTGTCCAACTTTATTCGTTAAGTTTGTCCCACTTTGTTTCGTTAGGTTGGTCCCACTTTTTTTCGTTAGGGTTGTCCCACTTTTTTATTAAGTTTGTCCCACTTTTTTTCGTTAGGGTTGTCCCACTTTATTAAGTTTGTTCCACTTTTTTTCGTTAGGTCTGTCCCACTTTTTTACGTTAGGGTTGTCCCACTTTTTTATTAAGTTTGTCCCACTTTTTTTCGTTAGGTTTGTGCCACTTTCTTTCGTTAGGTCTGTCCCACTTTTTTTCGTTATGGTTGTCCCACTTTTTTTCGTCAAATTTTCCCACTTTTTTCAGTTAGTTTGTCCCACTCTTTTTCGTTAGGGTTGTCCCACTTTATTTCGTAAGGTTTGTCCCATTTTTTTTTTCGTTAGGTTTGTTCCAATTTTTTTTTCATTAAGTTTGTTCCGCTTTTTCCATTTTTTACATTTTAACACCCTGTTTCTTGAGAACGAAGAAATTGCGGACCTATCTATGAACTTTTTGTCTTAAAATTACTCAAAGAGTGAATCGTCTGTTAATTTACTTAGTTATCATCCTGTATACGGAATTTATTTTTGTCTTCATTCCCGAATGAAGTGAAAATGAAATTTTATTTCAGTCTCGTGAAAAAATGGCGGAAAATGGAAGTGGTCGGTTATTGGGATGCGATTAAAATTCGTTAATTCCAGTGGTCGCGCATTTGTTCGGCTATTGTGCAGGAAGTAAAAATCTGTTGCCAATTAACGTTCGTTCGTTATTTCAGGTGGCGAGGAGACCCACGAAAGCGCCCCCACCGATTCCAGTAAAACCCGCCCGACTGAGCATCAGGACCAGCACCAGCGAAGGCTCTATACTGGCCAAAGCGACGCATGATGACCAGAAAGAAGAAAACGTCGGACAAGATGACGCGATCACCCCCACCACTGCCACAAGTTGGGTGAAAGCCATGGTGGGGAGGTTCGAATGATATTCGGGGAATCACTAACGGTGATTTAGTGATTTTGTGCAATGCAAAATGTCGCAGATTCGGCGATGATTTCAGTAAGCGGTACTAAGGGCTCTTCCTTAACTTGAGGGTTCCTTATTGTGAGGACGTTGCCTTGAGTTGTCAGATTTTTAGCTCAAAAAAGATATAGATATTTCATTAATTTCCTTAAGGTGGCACATCCCTCTTTTCAACTTCTTGTTTGCAGCAGTATCCTGAATCCTTTTCATCTGATAATTTCATGGTGTGTAGAGAGATGACTAAAAAACAATGTTTTAATTTTTTTGTCAAGAAATGCATGTTTGTATTATTCTTTCTGCAATCGGAACTTGTTAACAAATATAAGTACAGCTCTGAAATTGTGTGTGAATATTCCTCTTTTATGGAAGAATGAAACGAGTGATTACTTTTGATCTTATCACTTTTCATTTTCGAAAAGTCTTTGATTTCCTTGAAGCCTCGTCTGGCAGCAAGTTTAGTTTTCAAGAAAAGCAAAGATTTTTCGAAAAGGAAAAGTGGTAAGAACGAAAGTAATCACTCATTTCATTCCTCCATAAAAGAGGAATTTTCACAGACAATTTCAGACCTGTGCTTATATTTGTTAACAAGTTCCGATTGAAGAAAGAATACACAATAAAATAGATTTTTGAAAAAAAAAATAAAAACATTGTTTTTTAGTCATCTCTCTATAATACACACCATAGAATTATCAGATGAAAAAAATCTAACAAAAGGGACGTGTCACCTTAAGAAAGGCTTAACTGTTTTGCATTTATCAATTAATTATCGATAGCGAAAGATAAGGCGGTTTCAGATCAAAAAATACTAGTCCAGATAACATCCAGAAAAAATTGTGATACGGATTTTTACCATAATATTATTTGAAAAGGACACAGTTGAAAAAAAAATTATGCTGTTAGTCCCAAAATTGCGTCAAAAATTGTTTAAACGGTTTTTTCAAGCCAATTGCAAAATTTGTTTTTTAGCTCCTGTTAGCGTTTTGAGGCTTTTTAAGATACTCTAAACAAAAAAGGTGCTTTAGAACTTTTCTCAATAGTTGATAATTTGTCGTGATATAAACGATTCAATATTCCAAAAAAAGTTTAGGATATGTGATTTTCGATCCGGAAAAACAACTTGAAAAAGCGAAAATTTTAATGCTGTCAATGTTCCTAAATATTCTTCAAATATCTGGTAACAAAATTACAAAGCATTTTAGGAGATAATGTTATTGTGAACCTTTGTTTTTTAATGCGCGAGAGAGATGTGGCATAGAGGCCATTAAACATTAACAATTAAAAAACAAACGTGTACAATAATAGTACCCAAAAATGCTTTGGGGTTTTGTTAAAGAATATTTGGAGAATATTTAAGAACATTGAAAACATTACAATCTTCGTTTTTTCGTATTGTTTTTTGGGGTCGAAAATGACGTATTTTTTCTGTTCGAAAAATAGATGGAGATATTTTAGAGGGTGATTCCTACCTAAGAAATATGAAAAAAAGTTTCTATAAACACGGGTCCGAAAATGCAGTTTTCCAGATACATGGTGATAAGTTTGACAATATTATTTTTTGTATTAAGAGGATAATTTAGCCCCAAATAGATCGGGGGCACCTTAAAAAATGTACGCCACTGCCTTTTTTTGTAACTTTAATATTTGTTGTTTGATTAAGCATCTAAAAATACAACTTTGCCTCTTGTATTTTTTTGGTATCTCACTTCGTTTTAGAAAAAAAAATAAAAATCGTTTCTTCCATATCACATGACAAAATCGGTTTCCCAAAAAAGGTTCCTTGGAAAACAAAAAGTCAGAAATTAGCATCTTAATACAACAAACAACATTGCCAAATTTCAACAAAATCGAGTAAATATTTTTGAAGATATTAATAAAAAAAATTCAATTTATCACCTTGTAACTATAAACTTCCATACCTATGTTTATAGAAACTTTTTTCATATTTTTTTAACAAAGAATCACCCTCGAAAATATCTTCGTCTATTTTTCAAACACGCTGTATATTATAGTCACTGTTATTCCAACAAGGAAAAGCCAACAACATCAAGTTCTAGATTCTCTTGTGTATAAAAGTTGATTTCACAAAATGCATTTAAAACATGAATTAAAAACAATATTGCAGGAAATACAAATATAAACATGAACATGAGTGATAGCAAAATTGGCAAAAAAATAAATCAAAAAATTATGGCTCCATTCGCAAATATAAACATTATTAAATTATTAATATCGCATATTGATTTCAGATTTAATTCCAGGCAACGAAGTTTATTATTAACCAGATTACGAAGCACTGTAATTGTCATTTAATTCTCGACAGTTAATAACTTATCAACTATCAGCTTCAGAAGGTGGTTTTAGCATCTTTTTTTTTTGTTCCTAAAAGCACTTCGACCAGAGCAAAAAAACAATTTTTGCAGCCTGTTTGAAAAAATCGCTTAGACAATGTTTGGCCTGGCAGCATCCAGGTGCGTTGAAAGGCCATTTTCGGATAATATTATGCGAAAAATCCGAATCAAAATATTTTTCCAAGCAGATGAGAAAATGCTACCTGGACTAGAACCGCCTTTTTCGATATTGGAGAATCCTCTAGTCCCTCCTAATTGACAAGGCAAATAATAAAAAAACCTTGAGGAACTACTATGCCATTTTCACTGCCATGAGATGCATTCATTGTTGAAACTTGGGACCAAGCCGATTTCGTACCTTTTTACATGGTTTTAAGGTGATATGATTGAAGTCCTCTGCCTGATGATAGCTAAATGACATCCAAAAAATTATCAGAGATGAAACAAAATATCCTGGCGGCATCTATGAGAATTTCTTACAGCTAAATCTACTTTAGAAAGGGTAACAATGACCTTTTCAAAGTAGATTTCTAACTATTGTAGAGAGGAAAAATGCAAGGATCTCATTTCATCTAGGATAATTTTTGGGACGCTGAAATATACAATATTCCATGGACATAAAAGTAGCACGTATTTTTAGACTCAAAATAAGTCGATTGGATATGATTTGCCTCTATGCAAAAGTGCTTTGTTTATAAAAATTTTCCAGACATCTTTCTAACTGATTTGATTTGAATTGAATTTGGAACACGTGTCTTAGAATTTGTTTTCTATAAAAAACCCGAAAGGTCTCTAGAAGAGTGAAAACTCTCACCTCTACATAAATTATAGCAGAATTTTTTCCTAACTCTTACGATGCCTCCGATTTTTTTTTATTTAAAAGTTCTTTTCCTAAATCCTTTTCATGTGATAATTTCGTGGTGTGTATAGAGAGGCATTTTTGTGCATTTTTTCTGCAATCGGAACTTGTTAACAAATGCAAGTACAGCTCTGAAATTGTCTGTGAATATTCCTCTTTTATGGAAGAACGAAACGAGTGATTACTTTTGTTCCTATCACTTTCCTTTTCGAAAAATCTTTGCTTCTCTCGAAAACTCAACTTGCTGCGGGACGAGGATTTAAGAAAATCAAAGATTTTTCGAAAAGGAAAAGTGATAAGGACAAAAGTAATCACTCGTTTCATTCTTCAACAAAAGAGGAATATTCACACACAGTTTCACAGCTGTACTTACATTTGTTAACAACTTCCGATTGAAGAAAAAATGCACAAAAAATGCATTTTGTGATAAAAAAAAATGAAAAATGAAATTATCAGATGCAAAGCATTTAGGATTCTGCTGCAAACATCAAGTTGAAAAGAAACCTAAAAAAAGGGACGTGCCACCTTAAATAAAATTGTAATAAGTATGTAACTTAAAGAGTAATAAGTCTTGATACAACTGATTTTTTTTCCTGAAAATTATCCGAGATGGCCTGGTTGTATAAGAGACAAAAAATGAAGTAAATAAAAAGATTTGCTGAATAAAAAAATTAAGAGTCATCGGGAAATTCTGCTATGATTTATGTAAGGTTTGGGGGCTGTTTTGAGTCTAAAAATACGACCCCTAAGTCTACGTAACATTGGGACACACAATGTTTATCACAGATTTTATTCCAGTATTTTTCGACTTCATGGTAAAAAACATTTAGTTTTCAAGATATCCTGAACTTCTTTTTTGCATTCCACCGCATATACTTGAAATTATCTATGAATCTGCCGACGTAAAATTAGCGTAAGGTTTCTGATATTTTCCCAGTATGACTACATCATGGAACTTTCAGGTTCTGTTAGGTACATGTTAAACAAGTCTTTTATAAACCAAAGTTTGACAGGATCAGACAATATTAAATAATTGTATGACAATATCGATTGTATGCGCTTCGAAAGTTGACTATAAGAATGTGCTCAAAAATGCACATCTAAAAAATTAATTTAAATCATAAATTGCATTTGAAAGATCGCATAAAGTTCGCTGAAATAAGAATAAAAATTGTCGCAACTGTTTTAGGTTGCTGAAAATTTTATTCATTTATTATTATTGATAATTATACATAATATATTATCATTTAATGAATAAATGATAAAATAGCGAAATTTTATCATTAGCATCGATTCATTTTACTTCAAATCAATTTGATACTATTTTTGACGATTTTTGCATTTTGGATGTGCATTTTTATGTCATTTTGCATATCAAAATTGCTATTTCTGTCTAGAGAAATCTAGCGTATAAGTAGGACTATCACTAAATAATTTTTTTGTAAATATAATTTATGAGTAAATCGGTGGTTTCTGGAATTGAATAAACTATTTTTTGCGAGATATTTTCGATCGATAATTCCGTTATTACGCATGGTATCCAAAAAAGTTGAAAACCAAAATTGTAGCTTACTTGTAAAAGATTTTTAACTCTACAGGGGAATTTTTCTGTATAAGGTTTTTTGGCAAATTTTTGAGATTTCAGATAATCTATCCCAAAAATTTTTTTCTCCTTACTTTTTTTTTCAATAGTTCTAGGGTGGTCAAGAAGGCAAAATGAAAGATTTTGCAAAAATTTTCAATGGAATGCTTTATATATTTTTACATTACTTTCCACAAGCCTTCTTTTACATAAGGTTTATGGTTTTTTTACGACTGGTTTTTGAATGATAGCTAACCTTTTCGTAAACTTGATGAACTGAAAACCTTCGTTTTTTTTTGATGAAACTACCTGTGTAACAATTTTTGAAAATCGAAGCTTTCTGAATTTCTGTATAAGCAAATATCAGCTCCATGATATGCAAGCGTTTCATAATAAAAAAAAACGATATTTAATAAAAATCGGTGTGAAGAAAAACTGTTTATAAAAATATATGAGTTTTCCTCAAAACAAATAGTTTACAATAAAAATAATTCCTGAGATTTTGTTATTAGATGTCTGAAGAATATTAAAAAGGATTGACAACATTAAAATGTTCGTTTTTTCATATTGTTTTCCGGGGTCGTAAATGGCATTTTTCGCATTTTTTTCAAATACTGTATCGCTTACATCCCGAAAAGCATCAACTTTACAGCACAGTTCTAAAGCGCCATTTTGTTCAGAAAAATCTCAGGAACGCTTTGACTGGAACATAAAACGATGTTTGGATGTTGTTCGAACATTTCATCTTAAAATTACTCAAAGAGCCACCTCCTGAAGTTTGGCCACGTACTTGAATAACACCCTGTATAGTCCATGAAATACCTAGAAAAAATATTCTGATTCAGATTTTTGCATAATCTTATTGAAAAAGGGCCGCTTTCGATGACTCTGCATAGTGCCAGGCCCAAGGTTGCGACAAAAAAATTTTTCAAACAAAATCCCAAAATTTTTTTTGCTCCAATCAAAGCGTTTCTGAGATGTTCCTGAATAAAAAGGTGCTTTAGAACAGTTCTATAAAATTGATGGTTTATATATATATATTTGAAAAAATGCGAAACATGCCATTTACGACCCAAAAAAAACAATATGAAAAAACGAAAATTTTTATGTTGTCAATACTTTTTAATATTCTTCAAACATGTATTAACAAAGTCACAAAGCATTTCAGGAGGTATTGATATTGTAAACCATTTGTTTGAATTTGAGGGGCATTGTAATATTTCGTCGTTGTTTTGAGAAAAATTCCTATGTGTTTCGAAGCAGTTTTCACAGAATCAGAAAAAATGTGCGAAAAGAGAAATGAAAAAAATTTGAAGATATGCAATGGTCCATTTGAAATTTTTGAGAAATGGTTCGATTTGCCTTCTTGTAAACCCTGTATAGAGTACCAAAAAAACTAAAAAAGTAAGCAGATAGGAACAAAATATAGGATCATATTTTTTTTTAAGGTAAAGTTCAGTATTCTAGCTACAACAGTTGCGGACATGCGAGTTTTCCAAGTTGTTTTTTTCTTCGATAAATTGTAAAATATCTCAACAATTTGAAAATAAAACCCTATACTAAGGCTTCGTTTGAAATGACATATGCAAATCTGTAATAAAATATTTTTTTCCATTAGAAAAAAGACAATGATTCAGTTACTGTAAAAAAAAATCTTAAAGCGCACTGTTGACTACAATTTTTGTATTTAATTTTTTAGATACGATGAGTGAAAACTGAGTTATCGACACCCATTCAAATCTCTAGAAACAATTGTCTATTGAATTTCGATTCGCTGTCCATTAGAAGAACATTCTTTGAACCTGTAGAATGTATTTTTCAATTGTGCTATATTCAGGCTGTTTGATAATAATTTAAGTTCGATTGTTATCACGTCGATCTTTTTTTTTGTGTTCTGTGTTACACTTTAAAACGTACTGTATAGGATATAAGAAGTATTATGGATGCTGTTGCACAATATTGTAACGTAGATGAAAAATGCTGCGTTTGAAAATCGCGGTTTTACTTAAAAGATATATATTTAAAATATAAACGTGCCAAATAAGTATATATTTTAATCTGGATTTTAAATTATTGTTGAACGTATAAGTACTAATAGTTTTGTAAACTGTTTTAAGAATAAATATGTTGCTTACCCGTTTGTTTTATTTCCCTTACAGTAACAAAATTTGGAGAAAAAAAACAGATACATTGCTAATCAAATACAGTAAGAGCAAGACTACACCAGGTTTGTCTCAAAAATGGGGTACCCACATTTTTTTCAGGCACAAGGAATTTTTTGTTTGAAAAAACGAATTCACCATTGGAAACGTTGTTCTTTAACCCTTAATTGGTAGCGTCATTTTTACTTACGTATAGTCAAAATCACGAAAGATGACTATTTACGTCATACCATAAATTGTACTGAAGTAATCAATGGACGTACGTCGATGATAAAATCACGAGTCAGAAACATAACCACAACAAATTTATATTATCATTTTGCGAAGTTAGGTTATTTCACTGATTATTTTTGTTTTGCGAAACATGCCATTTACGACCCCAAAAAACAATATGAAAAAACGAAAATTTTTATGTCTGCAATACTTTTTAATATTCTTTAAACATCTATTAACAAAATCCCAAAGCATTTCAGGAGCTATTGATATTGTAAACCATTTGTTTGAATTTGAGAGGCATTGTATTGTTTTGCCGTTGTTTTTAGAAAAATTCCTTATGTGTTTAGAAGCAGTTTTCACAGAATCAGAAAAAATGTGCGAAAAGGAAAGAAAAAAATTTGAAGATATGCAATGTTCCATTTGAAATTTTTGAGAAATGGTTCGATTTGCCTTCTTGTAAACCCTGTATAAAGTACCAAAAAAAACTAAAAAAGTAATCAGATAGGAACAAAATATAGGATCATACTTTTTTTTTAAGGTAAAGTTCAGTATTCTAGCTACAACAGTTGCGGACATGCGAGTTTTCTAAGTTATTTTTTTCGATAAATTGTAAAATATCTCAACAATTTGAAAATAAAACCCTATACTGTGGCTTCGTTTGAAATGACATATGCAAATCTGTAATAAAATATTTTTTCCATTAGAAAAAAGACAATGATTCAGTTACTGTAAAAAAATATTAAAGCGCACTGTTGACTACAATTTTTCTAATTAATTTTTTAAATACCATGAGTGAAAACTGAGTTATCGACACCCATTCAAATCTCTCGAAATAATCGTTCATTGAATTTCGATTCGCTGTCCATTAGAAGAACATTCTTTGAATCTGTAGAATGTATTTTCCCATTGTGCTATATTCAGGCTGTTTGATAATAATTTAAGTTCTATTGTTATCACGTCGATCTTTTTTTGTGTTCTGTGTTACACTTTAAAACGTACTGTATAGGATATAAGAAGTATTATGGATGCTGTTGCACAATATTGTAACGTAGATCAAAAATGCTGCGTTTCAAAATCGCGGTTTTACTTAAAAGATATATATTTAAAATATAAACGTGCCAAATAAGTATATATTTTAATCTGGATTTTAAATTATTGTTGAACGTATAAGTACTAATAGTTTTGTAAACTGTTTTAAGAATAAATATGTTGCTTACCCGTTTGTTTTATTTCCCTTACAGTAACAAAGTTTGGAGAAAGGAAAAGATACATTGCGAATCAGATACAGTAAGAGCAAGACTACACCAGGTTTGTCTCAAAAATGGGGTACCCACATTTTTTTCAGGCACAAGGAATTTTTTGTTTGAAAAAAAGAATTCACCATTGGAAACGTTGATCTTTAAGCCTTAATTGGTATCGTCATTTTCACTTAGTATAGTCAAAATCACGAAAGATGACTATTTACGTCATACCATAAATGGTACTGAAGTAATCAATGGACGTACGTCGATGATAAAATCACGAGTCAGAAACATAACGACAACAAATTTATATCATTTTCAGAAGTTAGGTTATTTCACTGATTATTTTTATTTTGCGAAACATGCCATTTCCGATCCCAAAAAACAATATGAAAAAACGAAAATTTTTATGTTTTCAATACTTTTTAATATCCTTTAAACATCTAACAAAATCCCAAAGCATTTCAGGAGTTATTGGTATTGTAAACTATTTGTTTTAAATTTGAAATGCATTGTAATATTTCGTCGTTGTTTTGAGGAAAACTCATATGTGTTTAAAAGCAGTTTTCACAGAATCAGAAAAAATGTGCAAAAGGGGGAATGAAAAAAATTTGAAGATATGCATTGTTCCATTTGGAATTTTTGAGAAATGGTTCGTTTTGCCTTCTTGTAAACCGTGTATAAAGTACCAAAAAAACTAAGCAGATAGGAACAAAATATAGGATCATATTTTTTTCTAACGTAAAGTTCAGTGTTCTAGCTTACAACAGTTGCGGACGTGCGAGTTTTTTTTTCGATAAATTGCCCAATATCTCAACAATTTGGAAATAAAATCCTACAGTGTCGCTTCGTTTGAAATGACCTATCCAAATCTGGCTACAACTTTTGTAATTAATTTTTTAGGTACCATGAGTGAAAACTGAGTTATCGACACCCATTCACCCTGTATATTTGTGCTTGTAAATCTCTCGAAATAATTGTTCATTGAATTTCGATTCGCTGTCCATTAGAAGAACATTATTTGAATCTGTAGAATGTATTTTTCAGGCTGTTTGATAATAATTTAAGTTCGATTGTTATCACGTCGATCTTTTACTTACTTACTTTTTAAAAACGCTCAGGCTGTAGGCAATAGGTTTGTACACATAAAACTCTCTTACATGAAATCTACAGGTATTTATTGTCCAAAAACAAATAAAAATACTGCATCTGAAAACGAGTAACGCAATATAATTTACGAATTTCAACTGAAAATTAACAAAATAGGCCATATTTGATCTTCATGATCTACATCAAAAAAAAAAACAAATACTTTCTCATATAAGAAAACGTTTCTCACTTTTCACATAACAGTGTGGTCCATTTTGACCCGACGATGCTTAAAATATTCTTCTCCATAATCGCAATTTTTTTCTACACATTTTTTTAGGCGCCTCCCGCCTCAGGAAGTCCGCTTGTTTTTTTTTTGTTTTGACAAAAAGGCGCTTTAGAATTGTTTTCTACAGTTGATAGTTTTTCACATATAAGTGAGACAATATTTGATAAGGTGCAAAATATGCAATTTTCGACCCAGAAAAATAATATGAATAAACGAAAATCTCAAGGTTGTTCAATTTCCTAAAGATTCTTTAAACATCCATTGGCAAAATCCCAAAGCATTCCAATGGGTATTGTTGATGTAAATCTTTGTTTTTTAATTGTTAACCAAGTGTCTCCAGTTATACTCTGCGCTCTGCAGTTTCTAGATAGTAGCGTTATTAAATTAATGGAACTGTGAGCCAGTTTGGCTCACTTGATTCTTTCTTCGTGTTATACATCTTCGCAGTCTCAAAAAACCTCTATCGTACGTATTTTGCGTCGCCAAAACTGAATCCGAAATCATTTCACGTGTATATGATGCCGTTTATCATTTACATTGCATTGTTTAGTGAAAATTTGCAAAACTTCAGTAAACAAACATTCATCAAATTCATAGACGCGCAACAGCGTTTTTTCTTCTTATAATCCTTCTGAAATTAAGACCGTTGTGTGAGTAATGTAGAGTCAACCTACTTGACGACATTTTTTAACTTATCCAGCAAACAACTCGGTACAATAATACACATACTTCAAGTTTTTATGTTTTTATTTCGTATTTGACAAACTATGTAAAAGTTTTGATTCCAACAATAAATAGTATTTATTTTGTAGAATTAGCTTTGCAACCATGATGTATAACCATATGTAAGTCGAAGTCGCGCTTCCTGACGGTACTATGATCACAAAGCGTACAAAAATACGTCTTCCTGGTGACTGTCGCCTTAAATTCGGGATGCTTTTTCAAAATATGGTCGTCTAGTGAAATTTTACACTTAAACGACGCATCACAGTGCGAACACAAAATGCTTTTATCGCACACACCAGAATCTGTACGGGAATGACGTAACATATGCTCGTCGAGATGGTTCTTGTAGGTTGTTTTGTAACCACAATCGGAACATTCGTGTATTTTTCTAGTAACGGATCCGATAAATTCCGGGTGATTTCTCACAATGTGATCATCTAAGGTCATCTCTCGAGTAAAAGTGACGTTACAATGTTCACATTTGCCTGATTTTCTAGCGCTTGCTCCGGGATGCATGAGCAGATGATCTTTGAAAGCACGCTTAATGCTGGTTTTATATGAACAGAACGAACATACGTGCAGTTTCTTTTTTATCGATGTAGCTATCTCCGGATGGTTCGCTATTATATGGTTATTGAATTCTTGTTTATCACTAAATGTGGCATTACAATGACTACATGTACTGATTTTAGCATTAGGCACCGTACTTAAATGTACTAAAGAATGTTTCTTCAGGTTCTGCTTAAATGTGGTTTTAAAATCACACTGTGAACATTCGTGAATTTTTCTGTTGATCGATGTCATAAATTCAGGATGATTCATCACCACATGATTATCTAAAGATTGTTGGGATTTAAATGTTCTGTTGCAATGTTTACAAATATTACTAGGCGCCGAATTGGAATGGATCACCGTATGTTTATTCAGTTCATGTCTGAAAGTGGTTTTAAATGTGCAAAGTTCACATGTATGAATTCTACTTTTCACTGATCCGATACACTCTGGATGTTTTTGTACTATATGATTATCAAGCGTTTGTTTAAACTTGAACGATGTGTTGCAATGTGAACACATGTTTAGTTTTTCGTCAAGCGCGAAACTTTCCTTATCGATAGTTTTATTGTTACAAGAGTCAATAGATGCGATGTAGTTTTTGATATGTTCATCTAAATGCATCTTGCTTGTAAACACATCATCGCATCGTGTACAAACAAATACATTCATAGGCCTAGCAAATTTTGAGTCCTCCAGGTCCGAATTTGTTCTCGTATTGCATTCGCTACCGGTGATACGTCGACATAGTTCGTTTTTTGAGCGAGCTGGATAATTACATTTATAACAAAAGAAAAGTTTTCTTTTCGCTCCAAATGTTTGCGGTTTTTTCGGCAGCTTTCTCTTTTTCGCGCCTCTGAAAAAGAATTATACTAGTTAATATCTCATGAGCTGTTGCAACTACTCTGCGACGGTGTCGTCACTGACACACCGGTACAGTAGAAATAATGGGTGATTTTTTTGCTAGTATCTTTTTGGCAACACTGTTTTTGACAGATGACGCGTGAATCGTGTCTTGTGTCATTGTCAAATTTGTTCTATTATTTAACCCTGAATCGACTTACGAACGAACAACGCTTGCAAATTATTAAATTTTACTATCAAAATTCATGCTCGGTTAAGAGAGTGCATCGAGCACTGCTTCCAATTTATGGGCAATTTGGTCGGCCTACTGAGGGAGCTATTCGGAAGCTTGTGACTAAATTTCGAACCCAGTTTACATTATTGTACATTAAACCACCAACACGCAGACGTAGAGTGAGGACTGAAGAAAATATTGCGGCTGTATCCGCCAGTGTTAGTGATGACCGTGAAATGTCGATTCGCCGCAAATTGCCGCATCTGGAGTGAAGACCAGCCAGAAGCATTGCAAGAGCTACCAATGCATCCCGAAAAAATCACTGTTCGGTGTGGATTATGGGCCGGTGGCATCATCGGGTCGTACTTCTTCAAAGACGACAATGGCCGGAACGTAACTGTGAATGGCGAGCGCTACCGTGCGATGATAACAAACTTTTTTTTGTCCAAAATGGAAGAGCTGGACTTGGCCGACATGTGGTTTCAACGAGACGGTGCCACATGCCACACCACACACGAAACAATGGCGAGTTCGGTGAACAGTTTATCTCACGTTTGGGGCCCGTCAATTGGCCGCCTAGATCGTGTGATTTAACGCCGTTGGACTATTTCTTCTGGGGCCATGTTAAGGCTAATGTCTACAGCACCGATTGACGCACTGGAAGCCAATATTGAAGCATTTATCCGTGAGATACCGGCCGATATGTTGGAGAGAGTGTGCCAAAGTTGGACCTTGCGTATGGGCCATCTAAAGCGGAGCCGCGGCCAACATTTACATGAAATAATCTTTAAACATTAAATTATATCGACCGTTCTATCGACTCAAATAAAGATTTAATCGTTTTGTCAATTTTTTTGAAAATCAAATCCTATACCTCTTAAAAAATCACCCGTTATTTATATATTTTATTATTAGGAGTACGTTCCAATTTAGCGTCCTACGATGCTTTTGTAAATGATGAACTGATGTACTAGGGTGTCCCAAAGTATAAGGGCAAACAAATTTTTGTTGGAATTGAGATACGCAGATCCTCTATCTTTTTTCATTTGATTCTAACAACTCAAAAATAAATATAATTGCGATCGGGGAACAACTTTCAGTCAAACTTTGACCTTGAAAGTTAATAGGGAAACCATGTATCGATTCCAAAACCTAATTGTTATTCGACAAATAAAACACTGCTTTATTGTATCTTATATTTCTTAGATATTTATTATATTTCATTTCCCAGATATTATAGAACAAAACTGCCAGTACTTGACCATTAGACGAAAGTTTTGAACCGGTGATTTGATACTTTAGGTTAAAAATATTCCCTTTTTAGAACTGCGTAATTCCTTCGACAAGATGCGTGGACGAAAACAGTGCGTTTACTAATAGAATAAACGAGCACTGCAATACGCGCGTAATATGCTAGTTTTGACATGTTCCAACGTCACTGGTTCTACGAACCCCTTCCCACTTCAGTTGGCCCAACTATTGAAATCTTAGTTGTTTTCTTATCAAACACAATAAAAATGTGTGTGTATTAACAATGAATATTTTGATAATATACAGGGTGTTTCAGTTTATTGTTGCATAACTTTAAGATTCGATAGAACTTTTAAAATTAATGCATAAAGTCTATATAAACATGGGTCGAAAAATGCGTGGCTTCCGAAATACAGGGTGTTTAAATTTACTTTCTAAAATAGTTTTTTTTAAATATTTCGAACAATATTTGATGTATAACAGTGAAAATTGGTATACAAGGGTTTTTTGGTACGACAAAACGAACCATGGGCATAGTTTTACTGTAGCCGCTAGAGGGCGCTCTCTAGTGTACCTGTAGTGTATTAAAATGACCGAAATTTTTTTCTTAATGCAATTTTTTGCTTTTTGAATAAAAAAACTGATTCTTCGCACTTTTTAACATGAAAAAGCTCTCTTGTAAATTTTCGTTATAGTTAGCCGTTTTTGAGATATTTCGATTTTTAAGGTTCGATGCATTTTTAACTATTTATGATAAAATAACGTTAAAAAGTCAGTATCTCGATAATTTTTAGAAGTAGGCTGTGCCTGCAAATATTTTTGAAATTGAAAGTATGCAGTTCGGGAAAGAAATTTTCAGCATGAATTTAGTGTGAACGTGAGGATTGGTATCTACCGTAATCGACTATTTGGACCCTACCTTTTGCCTGCAAGGTTAAATGCTGCGACCTTCTTGGAATTTTTAAAGACTGAACATGCAAATATGTGGGATGATGTTATGTTAGGTTTAAGAAGATTGGCCTGGTTCCAGCTTGATGGTTGTCCAGCTCATTATTGGAGAATAGTTAGAAACTGGCTGGACGAAAATTATCCAGAAAGATGGATCGGCCGTGGAGGACCAGTCGCCTGGCCCTCGATCCCCTGACCTAAATCCATTAGATTTCTTTGTGTCGGGATTTCTAAAAGAAAAAGTGTACCAGACTCCCGTAACCACAAGAGATATGCTAATAGACAGAATCAGGAATGCATGTGATGAAATAAGGCCTTATTTGAATAATGCTATACCACGTTCGATCATTCGTAGATGTGAATTGGGTATTGAACAATTGGGTTTACATTTCGAGCAACTACTTTAGATTTTGTATGTTTGTCCTAACTATCCAATAGCATTTTAGTTGTAAATAATTAATTTAATTTGTTAAAAATAATATTGGAAAATTAAACAAATTAATATTCTGTTTTTTTGTGTTTATTTGGAGTTAGGAATTATTGCTGTGTTTAAAAACACAATCTAAACGATCATCTTAATTGTACTGCCCAAATCGAAAATGTAAAAAAAATATTATTTTCCCATGAATAATTAAAAATGCATCCAACCTTAAAAATCGAAATATCTCAAAAACGGCTAACTATAACGAAAACTCACAGGAGAGCTTTTTTATGTTGAAAAGTGCGAAGAATCAGTTTTTTTATTCAAAAAGCAAAAAATTGCACTAAGAAAAATTTTTCAGTCATTTTAATACACTGCAGGTACAGTAGAGAGCGCCCTCTAGCGGCTACAGTAAAACTATGTCCATGGTTCGTTTTGTCGTACCAAAAAACCCTTGTATAGCAATTTTCACTGTTACACATCAAATATTGTTCGAAATATTTGAAAAAAACTATTTTAGAAAGTAAATTTAAACACCCTGTATTTCGGAAGCCACGCTTTTTTCGACCCATGTTTATATAGACTTTATGCATTAATTTTAAAAGTTCTATCGAATCTTAAAGTTATGCAACAATAAACTGAAACACCCTGTATATTAGAAAATATTTTGGTACAAATCTTGAAGTGGGAAGGGGCTCGTAGATACATAAAAATTGTTTTGACATTGTTCAAGCAAAATTCGACGGTCTGCGTTTGAAAAAAAGAACTTCCATTTGGGAAACCCTACTAATCACGATTTTCATGTCGCTTTTAGAAACGATTTGACTCATCATTTTTCTTCGAAACCTCTAACGTGTCACTTTACTTGACGTCATTTTTGAAGCCGTGATGAACGGATACGTGCCGATCCAAATAATGCTTCATTACAGTCGTATACGGGCAATCGGTGGGACAATACGAACACGACAATATCTTTCTGGTAATCGACGAACTAAAATCCGGGTGCTTCTTCAAAATATGATCGTCTCGTGACGCTTTGAGCCTAAACGACGAACTACAATGCGTACACAGAACCCTTGGCTTGACGCTTAAGCCTCCGTTTGCATGGACCATCATATGTTCATTGAATAGATATCTGAATGTCGTCTTATAACTGCACTGTCGACATTCATATATTTTACTCGAAAAAGACGTACTGACGTCTGGATGCTTCTTTAAAATGTGATCGTGCAGCGCGACCTCGCGCGTGAACGTCGCGTTACAGTGTTCGCAAGTGCCTAGCTTGTTGCTGTGCGGGTGTTTTAACATATGATCTCCGAGTCTGGCTTTCATCGTGGTTATAAAGTCGCAATACGAGCATTCGTGAATTTTACTGTTAACAAGCGACTCGGAATTCGGATGTATCTGCAAGATATGCTCGTCTAAAGTTAGTTTACGAGTGAACGTCTTTTTGCACAGTACGCAGACGTACGGATCATTTTCGGAAACTCTGTAATTGTGTTGTTTCATATGCTTAGCAAATCTGTACTTGTACGTAGTTTTGTATTCGCAATCGAGACATTCGAGTATCTCACAAGAAACTGACGCTGTACAGTCTGGGTGCGCTCTTAGTATATGTTCATTCAGCCAGCTTTCTCTTTCATACGACACCTTACAATACTTGCACACGGTGTTTTTCGGTCGGTTAAGGTCGAAATCTTTACTGGAATGTTTCGACATATGTTTGTCCAGCAAATTCTCCTTGTCAGTTTTATATTTACAATGCGAGCACTTGTAAACTCTGTTAAAAATTAAATCCCGAAGCTCCGGATGGTTTTTTATTATATGGACCTTCAACGCATTGTTAGATTGAAATATCGCGGTGCAATGTTTACATTTAGAAATCTTGTTAGTAGCGTTTGTGTTGGTGTGAACGGCCATATGGTATCTGACGCGGCTTTTGTACGTAGTTTTATATGTACAATGCGGACATTCATGTATTCTCCCTGTGACGGACGCGCTGTGCTCAGGATGTTTTTTCAAAATGTGATCTTGCAACGACATCTCTTGCTTGAATGACGCATCGCAATGTTCGCACGTGCCGAGTTTCTTACTAGAGCTTACGGCCGGATGTCTCAGTATATGATCATTGAACTTTTGCCTTATGCAAGATTTATACGAGCAATGTGAACATTGATAAACGTCTCTTTTAACTGTTGATTTAAATTTAGGATGATTCTGTATTATATGATTATCTAAGGCTAATTTATTCTTGTACGCCTTGCTACAATAGTCGCAATTAAAGGTGTAGGTATACGTTTTTTTACGGGTAGTTTTCTTGTCACATGTGGTTAGATGCTTGTCTAGAGAAAACTTGCTTTCAAACACTCTGTTACATTTACAAACATGAACGTTCAAAGACATTACAGATTGTGACTTGTCGAATTTTGTTTTTGCGGTACATTTGCCGGTATTTATATGACGTCTCAAGGATATTTTTGAGCGAGATGCGTGGTTACAATTGTAACAAAAGAAAAAATTTGTATTAGCTTCCGGTATGAAAGGTTCTTCCCCCCTGAAAAAGAATAACACCGATTACGTTTGAACCATCAAGAAGGAATGAAAAATCAATTCACCTATTCGATGATGTGTCGGGCATTGAATCATCCTCAGATTTGATGTCAAATTCTTCAGTCAGCTGCAAATTGTCAAAATCTTCCTCTTCTACCTTTTCGGATTTAATCTTATCTGCCAGCTGGTTCTCCATTTTTACATAGATCAATGTATCTGGGATTAAATTAGCTCCATCCATAGAACCTTCTGATGCTGGTTCAACTTTCAGCCTGAGATAAAAATGTTACAGTGAAATTTCCCTTAGCAGACACTCCTCTTACATGGACAGTTTTTCATGGTCCCAACAGACTCTCATATAATTTGTATTGTATTAAATCCGAGTTGGACAGAAATCATCAAACAGCTTTAGAGTTAATAAAGAAAATTAGATCATTGGATGCAGTCTATTTTTCAGAAACTGCTTGGAACCAAGTAACCAAAGAAGCAGTGCAAAATTGCTTCTGCAGAGCAGGATTTAAGCGTGAAAATATGCAAAGTGAAGACCAGGCTGATACACCTGATTCCGAAGATGATTAACCACTTAATGTACTTTCAAAATGAGATATTATTGAAACTGACTCATATTGAAAGCCTTTATGATTTTTTGAACCTAGATGAAAGTTTGTATGTTGTTTATATACTTATGCATTTTAAATTTTTCAGTTTCTTTAATATATTCAGTTTTCATTAGGAACGCGATTTTGTTGTATTTTTTTTTAATCTGTACACAACTCTTGAACAGACACATTCAGACCATCCAAAGGAGATTCCACTGTAGTTGTTCCGTGTCCAGGCAAATTTAAAAAAAACTGACCTTTAAAAAGCCCAATTTAGTAATTTACTAGGCATATTCACTTATACACAGCTGTTAATTTTCATCAAACATTGTTAAGAACCAAAGAGAGAAGGTTGAATGTTATATTATCAGATTTTTATTTATAGACCCCTGAAAGATTGCTTAAAAGTTGAAGCAAACTTCATACCCCTCATAATGAATTTCAACCTCTTCCAGTTTTATTTCAGCTGTATCCATTATTTCAGCGTTTTCATAAGGTTTTTCGAATTCTTGTTTGATCACTGGTGTATCGTCTTTCAAATCCATGTTGCGACGTTTCAAGAACTATTATCGACACGAACGACAACTGTATAACGATCTTTGTTGATTTGTTCTTTCAACCATCAATTTTTCGCTTAAAATAATCTGTGCTTAAAATTTCGTTTAACATCAACATAAAAACAACAAACTTTTCAACCTGTCAAGATGTACCTGTCAACACAGAAATCTGTAATCTGCTAGTTATACAGTTGGGGTTTCGTCTAATAGATGTCACTAAAATTATTGTAGCAGTGACATCTGTATGTGATTAGTCAAAATCAGCAACATCAATAAGGAATTTCTAACTGAGGGACAGTTATCTTTGCTTTGACTCACTAGATGCCACTACTTTATTAATATCACCGACGTCTTTTGTTACAATCTGAATCTGAAATACTGCAAAAAATAGGTGTCCAGCGTGTGGGCCAACCATTCTCATAATCCGTTTTTTTGTATCAGTAAAAACGACTAATAAACAGTCGCCAGATCTGGGAACTTGTTTTCTAGATAAATCGGGTGCTTGCTTATATTCTGAATGCGATGTCAAATCAGTTCTAGGATTCCATACAAATTTTTCAACTCAAATCGGATCCGATGGCACTTACAATTTTTTAAATATGATACCTATACAGGGTGATTCACAAGTCGTGACCAAAAAAGAAACATCATACATAGGACCGCATTGTAGGGGAGTTTTTTATGTAACATTTTTTCCTCAAGGGCTTCATTAAAAATATACGGGGTTTGAAGTTTAAAAATAAAAAACATTTTTTTAATATCTCCAAAATCATCAACTGGAATGAAATAAAATTTGGTATGTGGATTCACCTAAGTATTGTCCACATTCAAAAGTTTTTACTTAAAATTAACGTGCATCAGTGGCGGAGATACAAAATGAAGGTAAAATTAAAAAAAATTCGCGCCTCGAAAAATAACAGTAGCGTTCTATTTTTATTTGGAAAAATAACGCCACTAATCCCCAGATTTTTTTTTATTTTTAAACTCAATATCCCGTATCCTTTTTGATGAAGCTCTCGATAAAAAAATGTTACATAGAAGACCCCCTTAAAATGCGATCCTGTGTATGATGTTTCATTTTTGGTCACGACTTGTGAATCACCCTGCATTCAACGCCCCAAACCTCATATTATCTTGTTATACAAATGTTCGATATCCATCGATAAGAAAAATGGATTTTTAGCTCCCAAAAGTTGCAAAACGCATAGTTTTGCAATTTTTTTTTTCTATGATGCTCATATTCAGCGCCCCAAATTACCTTATTGTACAAAGTTCCGCTCAAATGTAGCCATCAACAATAAAAATGGTTTTTTACACCCTAAAGTCGCAAAAACGTATGGTTTTGCAATTTTTAGCTAAATAAATAGATCTACATGTTTAACCGGGATTAGATGCATGTGAAGTAACATCGTATTCCTCTTTAGCGACCCATGGAAGTCATTTGAACCGCATTTTTAGCATTTTACTTTTTAGGGCCGTATAGTCAGTCATTCCTACAATAATTGTAGGACGCCTTCATGACCTCCTTGATTTTGATAGCCTCATTCAGAAAGGCTTCTACTGTTCCGTGTCAGCTTTTTGAATCGTAGGAAATTCCCAGGCTGATAAAAGATGGGAAAAATCGAAAGCATGAAAAATTTGATGCAAATGAATATTTGTAACATAACCTTAAAACTATGAAAATCATGGAGGCCAGAAAGGCGTCCTACAATATTATTGTAGGAACGATTAACGATACGGTCCTTAGTTACATGTACAACAAGGTTTTTTGGGGGCCATCCAGTCCGAAAATGCCAAGATCACCCGTAATAAAAAATATGCCGTCGACAATGCGGTAGAACGTTACTTACTCTGAACACTTTTATAAATTCCCAGTTCTCGGTTGGTTCGACAGTCGTCGGTGACTGTGTCTCTGATCCGGCCATGTGAATTTAGTCTACAGGGTGTTAGGTAAATAGGTAATATTTTATTATTCCAAACAAAAAAGTTCCTTATACCTTATGCGAGTCGTAAATAATTTAATTTTAAACATTTGGCAACGCTGCAATGCAACCGCGGTACGAACGCACGACGACCGCAACTGATTCATCAAATTGTTTACGTTTGTATATTTTTTAGTTGAAAATATGTCTTGAATTATTAGAATCGACGTTGCCAGTTGTGTGAGGGATTTTGTTTGTCTGTTTTTTCTTCGGAAAATTGTATTTAATAAGCAAGAAAATTATTTTGTTAGAGATAGTTAATTAATAAATAGATGTATTGTTACATTTTACGCTATTAGGCAAATGAATTTAAATTATTAAGGTGCAAAATTAATTTATTTCATGAGTAAAAATAAATAAGTTCATCATTTTTTTTGCTCCGATTTTCGGACATAGGTTATAATGAACTTTTTTGCTTAGAATAATGCAGTGAATCACCTCTTAAAGTTACGAATATTATTTCCCTAATATTCTGTATATATCGTATCAGGGCTTTGATAGGATAAATATTTTTTAATAAAACACAGTTTTACTATATAAATATATTTAATAAATTTGTGATCTAAAATTACATCATCATTAATAGGAGAACTATGAATTTCATTTTCTTTACAATTTATTAGGGGAATATGTTTTTTTGGTGACTGCATTCGCACTTGGGCGAGGGAAACCCCTAGAAAACCTCAACCGTCACTGCTCAGATTATTTGTATCAGGTGAAGAAAAATCAAGTCGTTCCGCAATTCTGGGTTAATTTGTACCATCTATTATCCACCAGCATGCCACAGTTATTAACCTGAAAAAAAAGTGGCATTGAAATAACCGTTTCTACGAGGGCAATTTTTTAAGTAAATTTTATCGCAAATCAAAATGTTTTTCATTTTTTAACACAGTCACCATGAACATTCAAACATAAGGCATATCGTGATACCAGCTTTTGTTTAATGTAGCATCTGAAACCTTTATCCTGCCGTCATGTCGATAATTCCCCCATATATCTCTGACACTCTGACCAATCGAAACCACATGTTTTGAAAAAATCTAACCGAATATGTATGGGAAACAGGACATAGTATAAAATGGGAGGAAGTATCAATACTTCTCAAAGACTATTTATTACAAAGGGATGGTGAAGGAATCACCCTATATAAACGTAACAATAATTGTCTTTCTAGTTCTTCTGTGACCCAATTTGGTTGAATATCCTTGAAGGAAAAATCTTATAGATATTCTCCAACCAAACTAATGGATCATGACTTTTTTATAGCGGCATAGTGAGAGATTGGCCAGAGTGTCTGAGTTCATTGGTCGCAATTGGTTCCTACTATAAAAACACCCCTCGTAGTTCACTGATATCTGTCTGATAATTTGGCGAAAGCTTTCTTCTATGACGCCGCTGCTTTTCGCAATAGGTGAAACATCGAGAATAAATAAGTTCAAGATTATGTAAAAAATACCTGTTCATCATTTCGGTTATCAATTCAATTGATCTTCATTCTGCATGTACCAGCCTGCAATCATCTTCAAGAGCGTGAAGAAATATAACTTTTGGTCCCATGTTACTTTCCAAATAACATATGTCCCTTAATTGCTTCAAAGGTTTTTTCAGATCCTTTTGCCTTTAAATATTTCGTAAAACTTCATCAATATATTGACGGTAGACCACGCTACTATTATCCACAGATTTATCTGCAAAGAGAGTTCACATAAGAATTTAATTAACACCTCTGCTTATTTTGAAACATCAAGTAGGTTGACTCTGTATTTATTTATTTAAGTATAGTTTGAGTGGCAAACGTTTGGTTTTCTTAGGGTTAGTTTTGAACCTTTCCAACATTCTTAACAGTTCTATCCAAGTTTAAAACCAACCTTCTTGATGCCATACTCTCCAATGCTTACCCTGTAAAAATGTTGATCTTTGATTGCTGATTTCATAAACATCGGTCGGGACTAATTATTCATAACATGTTTCTATTGTTACTATTCAACCTCTATCTTCACCCAACTCGTGTATGCCCAATGAAACATTCATCTGGCTATCCAGGCAGAACATTTTTTGGTTTATCACGCTCGGGAGTGTCAACAACATGTGCTATTCCTGAAATTGGTAGTGCCCCCCTCCGAAGCTTGATAAAAATATTTGGGCTACGATTCTGAAAGAAAACCTTAAACTTTCTGTAAATTACGTAAAAATAAGAAATGTGCAATCACATCTTAGCTGAAAATAGATATGTTCGTAAAATATGTACCTATTAGAAGTAGTAAATACCAAATGTAAGCTAAAATTAAAATTATAGTAAATATATCATTATCATAAATATTTATCATAGTTCATCACCATTCCTGAAATACAGAAATGTTCGCATTCTCACCTAAAAGCTGAAACAAACTAAGAAAAACACTTGCGCTACGATTTTAAAGCATAAATAATCATAGACAACAGACCGATGAAATACGTAAAAATAAGAATTATAATCCATTATACTTGTATCCAGCTGTCGATAGTAAAATACAAATAGTGAATAAAAAACATAATAATAAATATAGTTTCGGGGGGCCACACCCTGGAGTGAGTACCAAAGTTTTACAAACCATCTTGCCTCATACCTGTAATGATCTACTACTATCCCTACTATCACTAAGTATTACCAGAACTACTACTACTGCTACTACTACCTCCTTATCTGGTTACTTAGCATCTAAACCTGAACTTTCATATATATTTCTCAAAAAATTATTAACCACATGTCTCGCGAAACATTTCTTCACACATTGCTTGTAAAAGTAATAATCGTTTTTAATACAATTGTGTATCATACCTTTTGTGTACTTACATAAACACCACATTAATACCTAGCAGTTTTTTTTTAATGATGGATTCCTGATTAACAGCTCGGCCATGGACCCAGGGGAATTCCTTCCTTCTTGACGGACCTTTGCACAGTGCAATCGTTGAAGTTTAACACAGTTTTGCTTGTTGAAGGCTCAATGATTCTTCAGAAAAATGTATGAGAAAACATATTACATAGAAGTCATATATAAATTATAAAAACAGATTTACCTCTGTGTTACCCCGCATGTTTAGACGTAAGGAGAGAGTTGTATTTCTCCACTCAACCGACGTTGTTTCCTATAATGATGCCCAACTATCTAAATGGGGCACCCTGTCTGGTCCAGGGTAGTATAAAGAGTCGTCCCATACATTCGTCAAACATGGCTGTGAACACTAAGAAGAAAACCATAAATGCACTTACATTCAAGCAAACTGTCATAGTCCCTGTAAAAAGTATAAACAGCAGTACTACGTTATTAAAACTCTCGTTCTCACTTTGGGCAGGAAAAGCGGATAGGACAATTCCATCGAGCGTTTTCGCTTGCGAACGGCTATAAAAGGTTTCTCTTTTTAAAAAAAGTTACTCGGGTGCTACTTTCATAGTTGGTTTCCATTATGTTATGCTCCTTTTTTTCCAATATCTGCTAAAATGAATATAAATAAAATATGTGGCTATAATATATTGACACATTTCATAAAAAAAAATGGTTCGCACGCACATGAAAAATACCCCTCGTATGTCTCCGCAGTTCGCAGAGATCGTAGTTAAGTTACCAACGATGAGGTACTGCTAATAACTTCTGTTTTTGGCTATAGGTATTCAAAATGTAGGAAAAAAGTATGTTGATAAATTATCCAAATATATTCATAAACACATTAACTCGTGTCGTCTGGATCCCGCGATGTGCTCTTGCATATTATGTTGTCTGATGTATCCCTCGATGCGCCCCCATATCGCAGAGTGCCCATTCCCTAACATTTCCCTAGATACTTATTTAGAATTCTCTGACGCAAATGTTTTATATGACTATTCCGAATCTCTCTGCTTTGAAAGTTTGCAACCGCTTTGTTATGTTTACTAACCTTTCTACTATACCGACGCTTTTTTCTTAGTGATTCCTAACTATCTAAATGGGGCACCCTGCCTAGGAGGAGGGCAGCTTTGTCAGTCTTGCAGCTACGTGATGTTCGCCTGTGAACCCTGCACCAATAAGAAAACCCTAAATGCACTTACATTTCAGCAAACTGCCCTGGTCCCTGAAACAAGTAGAGAAGGCATGAGTATACAATACATATGAATTTCCATTAAAAAATGTTTGGTCTGCTTTCACTTTTGGGCCACCCTGTATACATGAAAAAATTATAATTTAACTTTAACTACTTTTTCAATTCCTCGTGATGAAGAATTCATGGTACTCCGTCAGATCTTTGACCCACCCTGTACAACGGAACTATTAGTCTTGAAACTTTTAAAATCACTTTTCTCAATACTTAGTTTTTGCGACTTCCATCTTTTTTTTCCTACACCCTTCAATTCTAACGAGAGTTTAAAATAAAAAATTAACATGACGAAACGTTGTGAAAAGACAATGAATGATCACACGAAACGATGCCGTTTTTTAAAAACGATAAAGTATAAAGTAACTAAAGAATTACTCCTTGATGTTTTCGTGAACACACTGCCAAAAGAAAACATTTCGACTCAATGAATTAAAGAGTGTTGGATAACAGAACAACAGAATTTTTGAAAATAAAGACAAAAAAATGCACGCCACTGCCTTTTTGTAACTTTAATATTTGTTGTTTCATTAAGCATTCAAAAATACAACTTCTTACCTCTTGTATTTTTTTATCGTATCTCACTGTTTTATTGCACGTCACTGAACAAAATTGGTTTATTAATGTATGCTAAAACTATCAAAAGTGCCTTGGAAAACAAAAAATCATTTCCAGAAAATAATTATTCTTTATTTGTAAAATTTCTCTAAAAAGTTTTTCGGGTTTTTGTGATTTACACTTTTGAGGAAATGGCAGACATGCGTGCAATACATGAACGTGCTTATAGTAACTGTTATGCAGAAGCGTTTCCAGATAGGCAACTCTCATATAATATTTAAGGGGATTTTTTTTTTTAAATTCATCACCCTGTACCCTGAAAACTGCATTCTCGAACCTATGTTTATAGAAACTTTTTTAAGAAGTAATCACCCTTTAAGATATATTTACAATCTACAGGCCTTTGCCAAACAACTCCCTTTCTCCAGTTCGTACTTTTATGCAAGCCATATCAAGTTGCAACATGAATATAGTTCAATTAATGACAAATCTTCAAAATCCATTCTCGAAAATATCGATTGTATGGAACAATGGAGGTATTTACTTCTTAGTAAAAAAATGTAAACAACTTTTTATACGGGAGACAAGATATAAATACAACGTAAATCTTGCTTTGCGTTGCCCGGTGGTATCTTGTAAAGTTCAAACATTTACAAACGACAAAAAATCGTTTTTTCCGCCTCGGACGCATTGTCTTAAGGTTTCTCACAAATTTAATCGCATCTAACATGAAAAGTAACTATAGGGAAACATTGCTAATTACTTTTGACCACACAAGAAGTCAATTTTGACATTGTGAGCTCAAAACTAACAGATAAGTAGATGAGTATAGCTACCTAGTTTGCATAATATGAAGACATTCAGCTTCCTCAGAATATCCAACGTGAAAATACTCCACTGGCCTTTTGTGCACAACCACTACACTTTTTCACACACACTTATCACAAAAGCACTTAAACCACCATCACGACACGCCGACACCGCGGGGAATCGCCGACAAAGGCTTTTCTGGACTCCACATCAACGACGACTTCGATAGAAGCAGCGCGTCACACGGAGGACTCGACGCTCCTTCCTCCAGCAACGCCAACCGACAACTAAAGTGCGCAGCGTACGGCGTCGGTACGGCTTTCGTTCGTGGTGCGTCGTCATTGGTTGGAAATTAGCAACCCTCCCCCCTTCCAGTCCTTAATCATTCTAGGGCCAGGCTTGCCTACCCTACAGTTTTAACTGTTGTAAAAATTCTTCCAAATTTTCACCAACCAGCCGTATAGTGCGAAGTTGGCACCCTGTGATTCCCATCTGCCCTTTAACTTGAAAGGAGCATTTCAGGTTTGCGAATAGGTGAAAAATGAGGTGCAATGCTTTCTTAAGGACCTGGCGAAAACTGCCACAGCATGAGATATTTTTTTGAAGTATATTTTTCCATTGGAAACGCTTCATTGATAGGATGTTCATGCTGAGGCTCGCAACACTTTGCTAATTCTACTCAATCCAGAGGATAGTTTTAATGCTTTGTCCAAGTATCGTATACGCAATTATACGGGGTGTTCCGCACTTAAATGATCATAGTGAATTGGTATGTAGTATAGTCAGAGAACTTTTCATATCTGAAAACATACAAGGTCTAAATTCGTTATTTACTCTTACTTACTCGCCAAATCTGTCTCATTTCAGGAACTATTGAACCGGATTTGTTGAAATTTTGCAGGACAAAGTTACTTAGAAACATGGTAAAACTAGATGGACGGTTAAAAAATCTAGGGCCTGACGCGGTTTTCCACTTTTTTGTCTTTTTTATTAAAATCAACACCTCTTAAGCTGGCTATGGAAATGTTTTACTAAGTAAAAAAGCTAAGTTGTTGAGTAACTCGGAGTAATTCACTGCACATTGTATTCTCATGCGTTGCTTCTGGAGCAGGTCGAGAGCGTATCACTATCAAACCAAAAACCACTGAGAACGAGCTAAGATAGCTAGTTGGAAGAAGTACTGACGTTACTCTACCAGTGTAAGACGTAAACGTAAAGTAGTTGGAAACAGTTCCCAAGTCATCAGGATTCCGGAATTCTCCGTCGATTTTTTGGGACACCCCGTAATATTTTCTGCATTTTTCTTCTCAGTGTAGAGATCGTTATACTGGTTGCGTATCCTAAAACCAAACTCTAACAGCAGGAAACGTGAAAAAGTGACATTGACAGCTGTCATATCTTCACTAGCGCCATCGTTATTTTCTCTTTCCCCTCTTTTATTTCTGCGGTTAGGTGCTGACCACGTTTTCTTCGTAAAAAGCAATTTTTGGTGAGTTTTTCAAAAAATACTGTCGATATTATGCATCCGTTGCGATACGTGTACCTTACACTCACCATTCGGTACCGTGAAGTGAGTACTGATGCGTTTTTTTCGTTTTAGCTGGCAAACATGGGTCGTGTCCGTACGAAGACCGTGAAAAAGGCGTCGAAAGTGATCATTGAGAAATACTACACCCGCCTCACGTTGGATTTCCACACCAACAAGCGCATCTGCGAGGAAATCGCTATTATTCCCACGAAACCGCTGCGAAACAAGATCGCCGGATTCGTCACGCATTTGATGAAGAGGCTGAGGCATTCCCAGGTAAGGAGCTGTCAAAATTGAAACTTTTTCTGGCCAAACGAAACCATTGCTGTATAAATCACTTTTTACTGTGTTTATTGATAATGAATTTTGCTATGCCCTAGGCCTCTTTTGTATATAGCTTCAGCGATTTGCCGCCCTAAACCCCAAACTTAGTTTATCTTCAAAGATGATTTTTCGAACGTGTTTTGTAACAGTGCTCAATGAAGTATTACTGTAGGTCAAAGTACCCCATCTGTGCATCTGTGATTGGTGGTATTTTCTTTTTCACTAGTATCGATTATGCTAGAATAACAGCTGATTATCTAGTAATATTTCAAAATTCCCCAAAAATTGACAAATGACACAATTCTGACAGATCTATCAATGCCAGGTAGACAGAGCCGTATTTTACTTTGGTTTTTATTCTGCAGATTCATTTTGTTCTTTGTAACAACTCTTAATTGCATATGAATAAATGCTTACAAGCAAGTTTTACTAGATTTACACCTGAATCAGTATTGCCAACATTACAGATACAAAGATATCACTAGCTGATCAGCCATTCACCTCAGCAGACATCAACATGTGATGGATACTTGTGAAATATGGTTTATATTGATTTTGTAGGTGAAATAGGATGCATAGATTTTTATAAGAAAACTTACCTTGCAAGTGCTAAATCCCAGTTTGTGGGCCTCTCTATGAGTTGTGGACCTCGAAATTCTCCTTCCAACAGTGTCACTCCACAGAGCACTTAATTGTAAATAATTGGCACGCCTGTTTTTCACGATTATTCTTCTTAATGCTCTTCGGTCGGCATTTGTGATATTACTTTTTTTCACATATCGGGGCTTAATATTAACTGAACCAGTTACGTTATATCTTCTAACAATATTTCTCACACTGTACCGTGATAAGTTGCAATTTCTGAGTTTTTTTTTCCCAGAATTAAAAAAATTAATTATCAGTAACCGAATTTTCTGACTAATAACCTTTCCTCTACCCATTTTGAAAACATTAACTACCCAAAACTATTTTAAACGTATTCTGACAGCTGTGATTAATAAAAGCAATTGTCATAGCTTTTATTTTTCATAGCCACCTATGCGTTATAGACTTATTTTGCATTGAAATGAAAATAGGTTGATATGCTGTAATTGCAACATGTGTTATTTTTATGCTGCAAATTTGATTAGGGAGTGAAAAAGTTGGTGTTTTCTACTATATATTATCAAAATATTCATTGTTAATATTTTAAACCTATAACACGCTGCTACATTTTTATTATTTGTGTTTGATAAGAAAAAAACCAAGATTTCAATAGTTGGGCCAACTGAAGTGGGAAGAGGCTCGTATATAAAAAATGGGAAACCTCCTTCTGAAAAATAAATCTAAACTTGAAACATCAAACATGTTAAGATATCAGACAAAATCAAGGTTTTAAATTTAGTACCTGATTCACTACTTATGAGAGGTTCGATAATTTATAGTGGCCTGAAAATTTACATTCATCTTCCCGATGCTATCAAAAGATTCAAAAATTATACTGTGTGTGAGTACTAGAATACATTTACACTTAAGATTGACATATCTTATTGTTATATTATTGTAAGTTAGCTGTTTCAATAAGGATTGTGTTTTTCATCAGGCAGTAAAGCATATCAATACTAAGTGACATATAAATCCGAACACCCAGTTTAAATGGTTTTATTTTAATAAAATTTTATATAAGTACTTAATGAAGCATAATAAGTAAATGATAAAAATTTCAAAATGATTGCACTGCTTTAAAGCCCTTTGACCTTTAATAATGTGTGGATGCACCCTGATGTGCTACGCATTCTCCAACGCGCCTAGGCGTGCTTCTGATCAGGTGGTCAATGTCCTCCTGCGGTATCTCATTCCAGGCAACCACCAACTCCTCTCGAAGTGCTTCTAGAGTCTGAGGAGGACGTTGCAAATTGAGCAATCTCCTACCCATCATATCCCACACGTGCTCAATTGGGGATAAATCGGGAGATCTTGGTGGCCATGGTAACAATGTGACATCATTATGTTGAAAGAAGTCTATTGTGACTCTTGCAACATGTGGTCGGGCATTATCTTGTTGGAAAGTTGGATCTGCCAGGGTTTCAAGATAGGGTAAAAGATGGGTTTCTAGAACTTCGTGGATATAACGCTGCGCGTTCATGTTACCTCTGATGAAGATTAAAGGTGACCTGGAACCATAAGCTATAGCACCCCAAACCATAACTCCAACAGTGTGATGAACATGTCTTTCAACAAAAAACTGTGGATTCCTCCTTTCACCACGTCGCCTTCTAACCCTGGCACGACCATCGTGCATGCCTAAACAAAATCGAGACTCGTCACTAAAGACAATACTGTTCCATTCCTGATCCCAGAGTGACTGTTGTCTGCACCACTCAAGGCGATTACGTCGGTGTTCTCGAGTTAAAGGGAGGACCCAGTGTGGCCGGTATGAAAACAAGCCAAAACTTCTCATTCGTCGGTAAACACTTCGCATGCCAATAGGTCTTCCGTTTTCTGCAAACCATACATTTGCAATGGACCTGGTAGTGGAGAAACGGTCACTTAAGGCTAATAATCTTAGGCGGCGATCTTCACGGTCTGTTGTTCTACGGCGGCGTCCAGTGCCCCTTGCTCTTTGCTTACGGCCTTCTCGAAGCCATGCCTGACAACACCTAACCACAGTGTCTACACTTCTTTGCACTCTAACTGCAATTGCCCGAAAAGAAAGTCCAGCTTCCCGAAGTCCCACTATACGGCCCCTATCAAACTCACTAAGTTGACGAAATCGTACAGGTCTCCGTACTCTAGGCATCGTAACCGATCGTAAAGGATGTCAAGAACCAAAATCCGCCAACGTTGATTCTTTACTGCGGCTGAAATATTCATTTTTAGAGCGTTAGTAAATTAAAAAAAAGCAGTAAAAACCGGAATGTTCAACTGATAAGGCTGAAAATTTTTTCACTTGTTATTTACAGTAAGATAAATACATTCACCAACTTTTATTAAAATAAAACCATTTAAACTGGGTGTTCGGATTTATATGTCACTTAGTATATATCTCTCCCATGTCTTCCTATGTTTTTCTTAACATGTCCAATTATATAGAGTGAAATCTCCTTTGGATGGACACCAATGGAACCGACTGAAAGTGTCCATTCAAAAATACAACAAAATCTTGCTTTTATTGGCTTTAGTACCATCATCTGTCGTCAAAAAACTTCTTTTTTTGATCAAAGTCTTGTTTGACATGCATTTCTTCAGGATTTCTTCATGCAGCTTGTGTTTTTCCAACATTAAACTTTCAATTTTTTTTTAATTTTGTTTTTTGTCCGGTTAGGAGTACATTTTCTGGTGTCCGCGTCCGTCCAAGAGAGAGTTAATACAATGCAAATTATATATGAGAGTCGGTAGGACCATGAGACACTATCCATTTAAAGGAGGTGTGTCCCCAAAGTACTCCAGTGTACAATTAATGATTTTTCCAAGACAGATTAGAATAATATGCTATAGAGCGAGATTTTATCGTTACTTTTTTTCGATTGTTTTCATCTTTTGTGTTTGAAAATAAAGATTATCGTTTTTGCAGGTCCGTGGTATTTCAATCAAACTCCAAGAAGAGGAGCGCGAAAGGCGCGACAACTACGTGCCTGAGGTGTCCGCTTTGGAGCACGACATCATCGAAGTTGATCCCGAGACCAAGGACATGTTGAAGATGCTGGAGTTCAACAATATCAGCGGCTTGCAGCTGACGCAGCCCACCACAAACACGTTCAACAGACGTACATAGATGTTAATATAAGTAAACACAATAAAAGTTTTCTATCGAGTTGGTTTATTTTCATTTTTACGTAAAGTGAGCACCTTATTCTACAGTCGGTTTAGTGGCCAGATGTTGTCCGTTGGTTGATACACTTGTTGCACCTAAAAAAAAAAGACAGCAAAGAGTAGTAATATCCAAAAAAAGACACTTTGTGGAGTGTGTTTGGGGCCGTGTTTTCGGTCGTTCATACAATTGTAGGACGCCTTTATGGCCTCCCTGATTTTCATGCTTTTCTGCTGTTCCCAGCCAGCGCTCTATTTTGAGGTTAGGTCACAAATATTTGCATCAAATTGTTCATGCTTTTGATTTATATCATCTGTTTTATCCAAAAATTGGAATTTCCTACAATTTAGAAAGAAAACAACTACAATAGGAGAGCGCTGACAAGAGTAGAAATACCCCAGGCTTTCTGAAGGAGAGAAAATATAAAAATCAAGGTCATAAGGATGATGGCTTCCTTGATTTTCATTCCTACTAGATTTCTATTGTTTTGTGTCAGTGCCCTATTTTGAGGTTATTTTACAAATATTGATTTGCATCAAATTGTTAATGCTTTTGATATATATCAGCCGGGAATTTCCTACAATTCAAAAAGAAAACATACCCTCGCAATAGGAGGACACGGAATGGTAAAAATACCTCAGCCTTTCTGAAGCAGAGAAGATACTATGGAAATCAAGCAGGCGATAAATGCGTCCTACAATAATTGCAGGAACGATACGACCGTAAGTTGTGTGTAGTTCGCGAACGAACCAGTTCAATCGAGCGATTCTTATGATTGAACTATTTAAAACTGTAATGACTCATACGCGTGATCAGAGCTCGATCCCGGCTTCCTTCCAGTACAGCCGTATAGCGTACGACATATGTCGTTTCTGTGGCTTTGCGGTGGTCAACAGCACAGACAGAGATGGAAATAATGGCTGATTGTTCTCCGCCGGTAGAACCAATGAAATCAAAGACGCGCCTCGACCGGCAGACTCATAGGCGTCGGCAACGCATTGGAACGTGTTTCGTTGAGCGATCGCATATTGTGTGTTTTTATAAGAATTGTTGTGTGATTGTTATTGTTGTGGTTACTGTTTTGGTTATACTTAACCATGGAGAGTACAAATGGCACGAGTGGAAGTACTGAAAGCCAGTGAACAAGTAGACGGCTTCGTAAAGCACTGAAGAGGGACGCGAAAGAAATCGTGCTCAACGTGTTCAATTATCTGAACAGAAGTATGTCGCAGGGAGATGCACTCGCGCGTTGTGAAAGTATGACAGGCGTTCCAGAGTGGACCATTCGCAGGGTGGTGCATGAAAAGAAGAAAACTGGAGCTACTACTGATCCAAAGTTTAATTTGAAGGGACGAAAGGCCGTTATATTGGATGACGATAGCAAAATGGCATTAAGGCGAACCGTACATTCATTCTTCTTTAGGAATGAGATACCAACCCTCAAGGCTGTACATGCAGCGATCAAGGAAAATGAAATTATACCCCAAATGAGCGTCGAGGTAATGAGGAAATCCCTGCACGAAATTAATTTTCGTTACGAAACGCGTAATCGGAAGTCAGTATTGATAGAGAGTCCTGAAATAGTCGCCTGGCGTCGAAAATACCTACGCGAAATGATTGAATATAGGCGACAAAGCAGAAAAATCTATTATTTGGACGTAGACATGGGTAAATGCAGGTCACACAGTTAAAAAAACCTGGATAGACCAAAACGTAGTAAGTAACCGACAAGCAAGCATTGAAGGTTTGTCAACAAGTCTTCGTGGACCGTCAGGGAAAGGTCAAAGATTGGTCGTAACTCATATTGGTAGCGATAGTGGCTTTTTAGAAGAGTGTGACTTGATTTTCGTCTCTGAGAAAGGAGGTGATTACCATGACGAAATGAATGCCAGCTGCTTCGAGAGCTGGTTTCAAGGGGTGCTTCAGCGAGTTGAGCCCAACTCTGTGATCGTCATGGATAATGCTTCCTACCATAGTCGTCGAGCCGAACGTGTACCGACTATGGGATCTCGAAAAAGTGACATGCAGCAATGGTTGCGCGAAAAAGGAATCCCGTTTGACGATTCATGTGTGAAAGCGGAATTGTATGAAAAAATTAAACAGCACAAGCCTGCGAACATTAGTTACGTGACTGATGAGATGGCCCGTCACTGTGCTGCGGTTACCGCCCTACGACTGTGAACTGAACCCAATAGAGCTCATCTGGGCTCAAGTGAAGGGTTATATTGCGCGCCATAACACAACCTTCAACTTACCAGACGTTAAGGTTTTACTTGAGACTTCCATACAGCTAGTAACGCCCGAAGCTTGGCAGAATGCTATCCGTCATGTTGTGAAGGAAGAAACAAAAATGTGGCAGCTTGACCACCACATCGACACCATCATAGAACCAGTTATAGTCAATTTCAACGAGGAAAGCGATAGCGACAGTTTATTACTGTCAGATGTAAGTGGAAGCGACGATGAATAAAGGTAATTCCCAAATTTTTGACTTACAATATGTTTCAAACCACTCTTTATTAAGCATGCGACAAATCTAGTTCACCCATGTTAAACATTCATACCCCGCCTATGAACTGCCGACTACTGGTAGTTAAGTGATGTTCACGTGAACATCGATGAGTCATTACAGTTTTAGATAGTTATAGTATAGTTCATCGTTCCTCGAAAAACTCGTTCTCTACGACTGGTATTATACCCGTTTAACATCCGACAATAAATCCTCGAATTTCTTTATGCATTACGTTCATGGCCAAATTTCAAAAGTATAAAACACGCATTTGTCGTCAAATAAACCCATGAAGATGCCGCGTTAACATGGGCGTGCGATGGATTTTGCTTCTCTCTTCCTTTTCGGTTCCAGAGTGCAATCAAGGTAAAACATACATCACGTACCATGAAATTTGGCAACTTATGCACTTACTGGCATTACTAAAACTTGTCCAATCTTTCCAAATATCGCCGTGATAATCCGCGTTATTCCATTTCCTAGGTAATTGAAATATTTCGCGATCCTGTATTGTTTAGGCCGCGGTTTCAGGAGTACATCTAAGAGTTCATTTCCAAATAGCAGCCATATACACAGGGAGACCAACAAGAATCCACAGAGGCTGCCGATGATAAATAATAGGACCATGAATTGTTTTTCGAAGGCTGAAAAATGTTAAACAAAGTAAAACCAAAGCGTCAATCCACACTATAAGGTTTCTAATTTTAATCTCAAGTTACAGAACGAAGGTTGATATCTAGGAAAAAGAACCAAATATAACTGGATATTCTCAAAAAAAGAAACTGACAGAAAATTAGAACAAGCTCTAATCTGGAAATTTATTCGTGAATCTATTGTTTTAAAGAAATTGGCAGCAATTTTTAGGTGAAAAAATTGATCAATTGTTTGACCTCGGCCATGGCCTTTAAAGATCAATTTTTTTGGATGCTAATGCGGTCTCATTTTAGAAAAGTGATAATCTCTTGCCAGTGTTGCCATTTACAATCCTTGTATTGCTCGAGCTGAGTATCATATTAGTCGTACCTACCCATGGTACACAGTGTGCCAACCATCGAAGTGCACGGCTCTTGGCCTATAATCTTATTCTTGTCGCTTTGCAAGCAAGCGGAATCGATGTCAGTGCCGTCATCATAAAGATACGTAGTACGATCGAAATTGTCGGCATCAGCGTTTTTCCGTTTCGATTCGGTTTTCGGCGTGAAAACTGGCAACGTCCAACTTCGCTTCCATTCGATTGTTTTGTTCGGGCAATACGATTCCGATAGTTTTCGGTCTACGTAAGTTGTTGCGTGATAACTACAAGAAAAATAAAAGTTATAGTACATATAATCTGATTCGCTTATTTTGCATAATCTTATTCGTAATTAACACGCAACTCTTTCATCGGTTTATCAACGATCAAGTTCTGCTAACACCGTCGTGTTTGTCGGCTCCCACACCACGGATCCCAACAAGAAGCGCCTATTTACGATGATCAGTCATCGGACATCCACGATGAATAACGAAGCAAAAGGCCGTCGATCTTCGAGGAAGTTGTGGCGAACATTGAGCAAATCCTGCTCGAAGATCGGCGAATCGCGATCCGGGGACTGTCGTTTGAAATTACTGTGGCTTCTGAAAAAGTTGAGACGGGGAATCCAAAATGGCTGGGAAGTCATTGAACATCCCCCTTGCAGCCCCGACATAGCGCTTTCACCTATCTCGCTTGACTATACTATGATGTAATGGTCTGTTAAATTGGTAACGCCTCCAGGCAGTGTCGCCTACCGAAATGTTCCTTATTTACCTAAATACCGAAAACGTCCTCATTTTCCAAGGTCTTATATGATGATTCAGATATATATTTCCAGATTTTTTTACCGAAAAAGAGCTTGAACCAAAAATAAAGCTAAAGAATGAATTCTATGTATATATAGTTGTATACCCCATACCAGCTAAACTATACTTAGGCAATCGGGCATACGAGGGACGTAGATTTGGGTTGCCTATAGAATGTACGCATATCCAATAATGTATTGGTTTTTGTGTTAGGAATTGTCCCCTAAGAAAATTTGGTACCCTCGCATCCCCGCCACTCTTCAAAAAGTTCTGGTAGCGGATTCGCTTTTACAAAAGGCTCACTGAGAAACATTTCAGCGGGCGCCGTGAAAGCAACAACTTCCAAACACTTTTTTACGCTCCGGACAAAGTTTCATTAGGTTTAGTTTCTCTTGAGAAATACTCACACTTCAAAATCTTTCAGTTCGCTTGCCTTTGGTTCCTTCCTGGAACAATGAAGCAATCGATGGTACATAATTTATTATTCATACAACACTGCAATGAATTTATAAAGCAATGATAAATGCCTCAAGTATATATTGGCGACACGTTCCAAGCCCTTGAAATGGCTTTTGATACAAAAACATATAATTTTTCTGTTTCAATGGTAAATATGTGTGCCTATTTTATCTTTATCCAAGGTAATATTACCGAAATCATATTTTTAATAATAGGATGGAGTTCATTGCTTGCAGTTCGAATCTCCAATTTTCTCTTTTTCCAAATATTGTTCTGAAAATGCAGGTGAAAAACGAAATTACAGTGATCATTTCTTTTTGTCTTTTGCGACTTTTGGGTCAGTTTTCAATACAAACTGCCCGGCTTATAAAATAATCAGGCACGAGAAAGCAGAGACAGACCGCCGGCAAATAGTAACCTCGTATTTCAATGCATGTCACTTACTCATTAAAATCTTTTGACTTTGCCCTCTGATGACGTGAATGTCTGCGATTTTCGTCCTTTTTGCTGGCACATTTCTTCTCAATATGACCGGTGTTTTTACTTACTGTTTTGACTGACGTCACTTCAGGCTCGGATATGTTCGTTACGGAACATTTTCTGCTAAAAAAACCAAAGCAGAATACAAGAGAAATTTCTAAAACTGGACACCCAAAGAGTCTTAAAATGATGCTTCCGTCCGACTGATCAAGTACAGCTAACCATGGACAGATGTTTCGTGCTATTTGGACACTCATCAGCATGGTCTAGGAAAAACTAACGAAAGCATAGCAACTATCAGGGATGTGACATCTATCGAAATAGGAAAGCACAAGGTGCCATCTATTAGCAGAATCGAACACTACGTGTGTGTGTATATATGTCTTAGTTCGCATTTGATAAAAGTCCAGTCACTTGTCCAACATAAGACCAAACCTAGAATGTGCGGAAAAGCATGAAACAACTGTATACGATTGCCCCGACTGAAGAAAGCGGTATTATTAATGTCATAAAGTTGTTTGTGCTATTGAAAAAATAAAAATTACCGAAAAATTCCACTGTTATCCTGATTCTTCTTCAGCACATTGCAGAACGATATATCGGACTGCGACTTGAGCCCTGATCCTTCGTGACCTAAAATCCTACCATTTAAAAGTTCGTAAGAGATTTTAAAATACATACTCACTGATGGAATGTCTTTTTTGCCTAGTCGGTTCGATCATAGACTTTTCTTTTACCCTTAATTGATTAACCGAAGGCGTACCTTGCTTTTGATGCTTATTCAAATTGGTAGTGTATGACGTCGCCAATTTTTTCAGCGCGCAATTGATCAGCCTATGAAGAGATTATCAACTTATCGTATTAATACAAATCGAATAGTGGATTTAACGCTTACTCTTTCTCGTGACGCAGCCCGTTGGTTTGCAAGTAATTTGATTCGTTGTGTTGGCTACTAGAACTGCAAAAGATGAAACGTTATATGTACGCGTTATGTAATAGAAACATTGTAGGAGCCAAAACCGATACGGGGATGAACCATATTGATTGCTAAACACCACGAAACAACGTTGTATGTGGTTGGTCGTGGTTACAAAGAGAAGACACATCCACTTCAAGAAAAATCACGGTTGTGCTGGTTAAAAAATGACGTATTTAGTACTTCAGACCTGACATGACTCCTTTTGGAACTTTCTATGGTTTTTCGTGAACTTTTCCTCCTCAGATCTACGTAATCTTCATTCACTAAAATACATGTTAATTGCGTTATAATAATCTGTAAATCTTGCTCAAAATCCGTTTTACCGACGACTTTTGGTGCTTGCTGATCGTGCATCATCGGTAGGTACTAAAATATAAAACTGTTCGTGCAGGGCTTACATAAAATACCATATATCGAAAAAAAACTTCAAAAAATGACAGTATTGATTGATAAAACTGAAATATAGGTCATGTACAGAGTATTTGCAATATTACGATGATTTTTGAGGAACAATTTCTTACGCGAGTACCATGGCAAGCAAGAAGACTAGAGATAGGAGATGTGGGGGTGAAGTCAAAAATTTCGATGCTTAAGCACAGCGATACAAGTGGAGGAAGACTGGAAAATGTGGTAAAGAATATTTATACAAAATTGATATTAATATTTTGCGATATATAGTACTGAAAAAAAATCTATACATACCTTGTCATTATGGGTTTCATACGATTTTTCAAATGGTGCGTTGTAAGTTGTAGAATAAAACTCAAATTTTATAACAACATCTATATTTATATAGAAAATACTTTACAGATAACACTACATATTAAAAATATGTATGTCCTTTCTAAGGAATGTATACAGACAGCTTTGTTATATTTTTATATTAGTATGGATACATCAATCCTTATCTAATATCGTTAGCGTATAACTGTTGCACTTTTGTGTTCAAGTGCTTAAGTTTGAATCCAAACGGTCGGTCATGTAAAAATCTGTCAACAGAACAGCCGATTTAACTAACACGGAAAGTGCCGCTCGGGTTTTTGATGGATACTACGAGGGATAATATCATTTTTTATCATAAAAATTAGCACTCTTCTAGCTATAACCTGCTTTCGTTTACATTGTTTTCAAAAGTGAATTTTTATGGCTCACACTGTATAATCATATGACCGACTCCTGGAACATTACCTATAAGATGATAGAAGAGGGCCGATTATTGTCTAAAAGACGAATTGGTGTATTTATATCAGAAAGTCCCTCTAACGTACGAGGGACACTAGAAAACAAATCCACCTCGCCATGAAACAAAACATTGAAATACATGAGCATATGTTAAATAGTGGTATGAGCACTAAATTTACTTGCAAAATTTGAGTTAATTTTCAAACTGAATTCTGAGGGAAAACTTACAAATACGAAATGTTTGAATTTGTTTAGGAGAAAATGGGAAACCCTCGTTTTTAGCATAAAAATAACAATTATCTTTCCGAATGGCTTGTGATTCATATCGGTAAGGTAACCTCGTGTATTTTGCTATAAAATGCCTTCTGAACGAAGCCTTTGGCTCAATAAACAAGTAGTGAAGACCGGAAGACAGGTGTTTTGGGATAAATAATTAGAAATTCTCAAAAACTACTCGACCAATCGACTCCAATTTTCTTGCGGTTATTTAGAAGAAGCCTTCGGAAATTATAGTCGCACTAGCAAGAGACAAAATCTGCATTTTGCCTCGATTTCCGACCGTAACTTTTCCACTATTATTGGGATCTTTTTACGTGTGGTCTCATTAACCTGTCGACATTTGAATAAAAATTGCGCAGGGGGGAAATTTCAGAAAGTTTCTCTGATTATGACTTGGCCAAAGAAATCGTACGTTTTTTGCTTCATGGCTAGGTGGATTTCTTTCCTGGTACGCCTTGCACCTTACGGCGAACGGGTCATATTTAACTGTCACAATAACAAAGCCACACAGTCAGTGTTTTTTAGAATATAAGTAACTGATTTATTTTTTAGAACCTATATTTTATACTTGAAGCAAAAGCACTGTGATGTTTATAGTTTAGGCTGAGGATTATTGGTAAATTTTACGGCGAGGATATGACAATTTATAAAAGAGATGCTATTTTATTTTCATTTCAAATAAACCAAAAATAATCTTTCAGGTTGAAAAGCTTTGATCTGTATTAAGGATAAGCTTCACATTTTGTATAAATTATAAAACACCTTCATGTTGTTTATATAACAAAATTGCAATAGGCATTGGCAAGCACTGATAAATAATATTTGAAGCTATAATACAACATATAATATTTCCAGAGATCCTCTAAGGTACATCGTGCCCCTACAATCATATTCTCAATCTCGAATGAGTATCTGAATATTTAGCCGCTAGTTTTTCACAATTAACGTCAAAATTCTACGTATTTGTGTATTCTAATCAATCCGTGAATTTAGGCCATATTTTGATCACAAACTTTGTAACCAAACGAGAAGGAATATGTATGTATGTAGTAAAATAAATTTATAGTACAATTTTCAGTCTCTAAAAGGAACACATACTATATACGACATAGTATATATACAACTATCTTTCCACATATATATTTAACTGATAACAGAAGCTGCTAACAGCCGGAACGTCAGTAGAGTTTGTCGAGACACAAAGCTTAAAATTATGCCGCTCACAATAATCTATAAACTCTTCAAGTAAGTTACACAGGGCGTTTCCTAATTGATTGTAAGTAAAACTTTTCTTAACTTTACGAGACCAAAAGTTTGAGTTTAAGATCCTATGCGTGAGATTGCACGATTTTAGTCTGGTGTTAAAAGAGAATAGGATTGTAGTATTCCATATTTTGACTAGGAATCAAATGTGGATCATTCTTGTCCGTTAAATCTGCTGGAGCTTCTGTAGAATACACGAATCTTAAGAAACGAGCATTTTAGATAATAGCAGTAATTCCGTTTATTTTTGAAAACTTGACCAAGTTAAGGCAGAACATATACTATGAAGTTTTCTTTTCAAAATCACACCTTTAAATATTGACAGTATATTAGGAAACATCCCGTATAATATAATAATATATCTACGAATAATTGAGCTATCCCAAAAGTGTTTTCAGACCCTGATAACTGAAAATGCAATTTCCCTAAATTTTTCAAACTCTATCCATTATATTCATTGGAATACCTCAAGAAAAAAAAACACCAATCATATTTCATAAGAGACTCAAAATCAACACTTGCAGTTAGCTCCTTGTCGCTACTTAAAATGCTATAACAAGCATTAAATCGTCAAAAATAATACTTACTCCTTAGGAATATCAGCGAACAAAAAGTATTACGCGTCTGTCGAATAAAAAATAAATAAAAACATCTACGATTTTGGAAAACCTAAAAAATAACAGATCACATTCATAAAATAATAATCACATACAGTTGCAAGCACCATGTGGGGAACCACTCTGTAAAGATTGTGGGTTATAAATAATTTACTTTAAGCTTCGTGGTCAGTGTTGATGCCGATCAGCGCCTCTGTTTGTTCTGAAGGCATCTCATTGAATCTGAAACTAGAATAATATATATATATATATATATATATATATATATATATATAAGTTGAGACGTGGCCATTGTCGTCTAGACCAGTTTTGTTGGGTACTTCGACAAAATTTAAGCAAAGAGGACTCTTGATACTTTTTAATTCTCTCTAGCTTTCAATGGACTTTGCCATCATCATCAGGAGCTGCAATTGCAATGATAACAGTAGCAACAAAAGTGTAAAATGAATTTAAATTGAATCAACTTACAGTAGTATGTGAGGATGTTGCTAATTGTTGTTTACGTATAGGATGAGGGAAACGTCCAGTAACATGGTGAGAGCTGGATAGATGGTACAATGGTCAAAATTATATAAAATATGACAAGAACAAGTTAAAAACAGATTAAAAATTATTTAAAAAACATTAGAGCATTACATCGTGAAGCCACTTGATGATTGCACAAAATGGTGGTCATGGAATAATGAGTGAGATGAAACCCTTTGACAGAAGGCCGAAGGTTGTCAATGTCTGTGTTGAAAGATGGAACGAATTGTGGGCGTGTGTCAAACGTTGCCAAATCACTTCAGATGATGTGATTTTCAGAATGTTATGTAAGAAATTGTTAAACCGACCAGAGGAGAACTTACATATCTCCCCAAATTTCGACTCTTCACAACCATAAATAGAATCTGTGTTTTGGCCGATTCCACCAGTAAATTTCATTCCACTCAAAATATAATAATTCTCTTCTCACGATTTATTAATAATTGTTAAATTAAATTCCCATTAATTAAAATATAGTTTATTCAACTGCCTCTGGTCGGTTTAACAATTTCTTACATAACATTCTGAAAATCACATCATCTGAAGTGATTTGGCAACGTTTGGCACACGCCCACAATTCGTTCCATCTTTCAACACAGACATTGACAACCTTCGGCCTTCTGTCAAAGGGTTCATCTCACTCATCATTCCATGACCACCATTTTGTGCAATCATCAAGTGGCTTCACGATGTAATGCTCTAATGTTTTTTAAATAATTTTTAATCTGTTTTTAACTTGTTCTTGTCATATTTTATATAATTTTGACCATTGTACCATCTATCCAGCTCTCACCATGTTACTGGACGTTTCCCTCATCCTATACGTAAACAACAATTAGCAACATCCTCACATACTACTGTAAGTTGAGTCAATTTAAATTCATTTTACACTTTTGTTGCTACTGTTATCATTGTAATTGCAGCTCCTGATGATGGTGGCAAAGTCCATTGAAAACTAGAGAGAATTAAAAAAGTATAAATAGTCCTCTTTGCTTAAATTTTGTCGAAGTACCCAACAAAAGGCGGAAGCTTTAATTTTTCACCTATATATACTCGTATTTCCTGAAAATAGTTGAAATGTAATTTGTAGAATACGTGTGATTATAAACTAACAGTTCAGTTATGGTCACAAAAAAGTCCTACTCACTGCGTCAGCTTATTCCTACGACACAGCCCTTTGTACGTCCACCTGACGGCGTCCATAACCGGATCCCATCCGTCACGATGCGACAGCACGGTGACAGCCACGAACGCAGCCAGCATAGGCAGCGTTCCCGCGTAAAACAGGGAAGGGTAGGCGATTTCTTTCAGCACCACGTCGGCTAGCATCGTCATAGGGATTGTCAAGCTTATCGCCACTGTCGCCATCAGAGACGAGGTTAAGAAACATCCCCTGAAAGGAAATAATGCATTACATACCTAAGTCGTTGCATTTTTATATCCTGAGGAGCATAGATCAATAATGACCTTCTCAAACAAGGTGTTTATAGACATTTTTTCACTACTAAGACTATATAGTTTGCACTTGACAGCCAGGTCACCACTGTGACCGCTAGATGCCGTCGTTTATGGCGTTACAGTAGATTTATTTATTTGTGACAGAAAAGCAAAATCTTAGGGAGAAGTATGACGGGGACTGAGGAAGGTTGATGTCATGGTTATGGAAAAACAATTTTCTTTAAATCGACACAAATATAGCATAAGATTGTCATATGATCAATATTATCAACAGACTTACCACAACCATAACGCTTCAGAGATAACAGTTCCTAGCAGACCATTCAACAGTAAAAGCATCATTTGTTCTTTGGTAGGCAACTCAAATGTTTCAACTTTGCTAAAGTGCAGTATGAAGAATAATGGCCACAGTAAAATCAGGTTAAATAATCCTACAAATCCTGAAATTAAAAAGAGGTACATTAACATTGAAAACAAGGTTATTCCTAATTTACAGAATAGGTGATATACGATTGGTATTTCAAAAACAAGTTTCGCAACTCTGTGATACTATACAAAATCTGGCAACACCGTCGTGTTTGTCGGCTCCCCCACCACCGATCCCAACAAGAAGAGCCTATTGGCAAGCTCAGTACCAGCCTGACGAATAGCTCGAAGGTCAAAGTTTTCAATGATGAATTCGTTTTTCAAATAAAAAATGCATTGTGCCTGAAAAAAAATGTGGGATATTTACTTACCAAAAAATAATGGAATGTCAATTTTATCCTCGTGGTCCACTTCCCTCTTCAAAAATACGAGGTAAGTCGAATAAAAAAATGCGCTGAGCATTGACAAAATGGCTCCAAAAGGAATTTGAGATTCTAAAGAGAAGTCAGAATAACTGACCATTACCTGAAATTACGAGAAACGTTCGTCATATTTTTCGAGATTATAGCAAAAGAAACATGGAATTCAATAAACTCATTTTACACAAAAATACGATCAGCGGATCTGACATTGTTTTTTCATACTTCTATGATGAAAAATAAAAAAGGTAAAACTTACAATTCCGCTAATACTGATGATAACAGCTATCAATTTGCTAAGGGTAAATTTATCTATTTGGTTTGAAGAGAATATTGCAGCTAAAATCAACGTGAACAAGCTCGAAGTTGACGATAATATGTTCACGATGCCGGCCTCTGTTTCTGATAGGGCCAGCTGATAAGTATAATTTGCAACAAACCACTGAAAAAAAGAACGGTATCAATTAAATCAAATAATACGAAATCGAAGAATAAGTTACCAATAAACAAAAAATGAGAGCTACTTTTGCCACTCTGCTGACAGGGAGTTTACTTGCAGCCCTTTTTGCTAACTCCCCAGCTCTTAGACTCGCTTGATATGACAGCCTGGCGAGCAATGCTTCCGTAGCATCGTTCTCTGACATATGCCTAACCTCTGCTAATTTATTAAACCTGAAAAATCATAATTTAAAATAAAATAATACACTGCAAAACGTGGCCAAACTTCGGTAGGTGATTCTTTGACTAATCAAAAAATCGCTTTAAGAATACTCAAAACGCATAGTGATGTAATTTTAATGGACAAGAATGTAAAATTATATAAAATGGATTCAAAAAATGTGTAAACAAATAATTATACAAAATTGACATTGTAGCAAAGTAAAAATTTTCAAAAATGTTCACAAATGAAAAATTTCTTTTTACGTCCAACCGTTTAGGTCTTATTATACTCGCGAAAATTAGATATTTTTTCGATATTGCAACGCCTGAAATCACCTGACAGATCTGCTGGTAGAATCGTCACTCTCTGTCCCGGAGCTCCTATCAAAATTCTCCCTGTCGGGCGTTTTGACAGGCACGTACACTGGAGTGCTGAGCCTGCAACTCACATCCGTGAAATAGTTGTCGTCCTCCTTGTCGGGATCTATGAAAATGTAGTCCGCAGGTCTGGACCTAGCACAACTTTCCTTCCACGGTGGCCAAAACAAGAAGCCGAACAGGTACAAGGTGAACATGGAAGTTTTGATATACATGCAAAAAAAGGGCTTGTCAAAGGTCTCATTGTTGTAGATGAACTGCAAGGAAATATCATGTATTGTAAAGGGTGATTAAAGGAACAACAGCGATGTTTCCACGATAGAAGAATAATAAAAATAGTATTCAAGAGCTGTAACCCACTTCTGATACAACTAGTACCAACCAAACAAAAGTAACGATATTGTAATATTTTTTTAATTGGTGGAAAAGTTTTGGACAATTGCAAAGGCTTTACCTTTGTTAATTCTGAAGAAGACACCCAAATGATATCCACCAAAATTAATATCAAAGATCCCAGAGTCAACCTTTGGCTTTTGGTTAGCGAAGCTGCAACGCTATTTTCCATGCTATAAGCAAATTGGGGCCTTTTGCCTTGTCTTCTTTGAAAAACATGCCTTTTAACAGGATTGATACATTGCGTATTGCGTGAGTAGGCGTCAAGCTTTTGAACATAAATCGCTTTAATTTTAAGAATCAGGGTGTAGCTAACGCGTAATACAAAGCGGAATCTCTCACGTTTGCTACAGATTTTATCACGTAATCATTGTTTTCCGAGATGTTTTGTTTGAATTTGTTATTAGGAATAACATCAATGAATGGTCTACGAACATCGAATCAACTTGAATCGACTGTGAATGTGAAAAATGTGACACTTCGATGACAGATCAACTGCGAAATGTTACGAAATTTATGAAATGGCTTGACTTTACCGTATGCGACCAGTATCACGATTTATACACTGAGAGAAACACGAACTGAATCTTATAGGGTGTCCTAAAAAACTGATAGTTGATTCCAGAATTTGTATGGCGCAGATCATTGAAGATATCCAACCATATAAATATAATCATAATAAATAATCTTTATTTCAAGATACAGTGCACAATTACAACGTAATGTCCGCTGTCGGGTGAAATATACGTCACATAATGCCATAATAGCAAAAGAACTAACGATGCCACCTGCATAGAGCCCTTTAAATTAAGATTTTTGCAAAAGGTGAACGATTTAAATCTTGATCCGTCACAGGTGTACAATGCAGACGAATCAGGGCTTTTTTGGCGTGTGATGCCTAACAAAACTTTCGTTTCTTGTAACGAAAAATCCGTACCTGGACGAAACGTGAGTAAAGAGCGTGTAACCATACTACCATGTGCTAACGCTAAAGGGCACACACGCGCTTAAGATGATGGTCATTGGGAAATCTAATAAACCACGGGCATTCCAATACACTGATTTACCTGTACACTATTACGGACAAAAAAGTGCATGGATGACAAAAGACCTTTTCAAAAAGTGGTTTGATGAATGCTCCGTACCTGAAGTTAGAAAATGGTTTAAAGATCATAATTTTCCTCAGAAAGCGTTGTTGCTACTTGATAACGCTCCCGGTCATCCGTTTGAAGAAGAACTAACAACTGAGGATAAATGCATCACTGCGATGTTTCTAAAGAATTTAATATGAAAGACTTAGTTTTTGCTCTTTGTCAGTCGTGGAATGCGTTACCGTCATCAACTATTAAATCGTCTTGGAAAAAGTTATGGCCAGATATAGTCACCACTCCTAGCAACGTTCCACATCAGTGTAACTTCGGAAGTTATAGAACAAGTCGCTACTGAAACACAGATAAGTCCGGAAGATTTGTAAATCTGGTGCCGTGGAATGGATAAAGAGGAAAATGTTTTTCATGAAATGTCTGACGAAGAGATTATAAAAGAGGTTTCTAATTATACAACAAACAATCAGGAAAATAACGACGACGTGATTGCAACTGCTCCACAAGTCACAGCACGAGACGCAATTAACGCCTTTGAGCTAGGTTTACAATGGGCTGAAGAGAATGGTACATCCTACAACGAACTTTTACTTTTGAGAAGACTGAGGGACAAAGCTCTGATCTCGCGTTATAACAACCTTAAGCAAAAAAAAATTGATGAATATTTCCAAGCTCCATAATTTGATAAATTCATTAATGATTTTGGTTAATAATTCTTGATTATTTTGGTACATATGTATGTGCATTTATGCTTAATTTTATAATAAAACGTAAGCTCTCTATTGTTATTTCATTTACTAAATTCAACATACATAAACTATGTATGATTTGTACTTCAAAGTACATACATATACATAACATATATAATCTTACCATTGGATATGTAATTTGTCGGATTACAAGGTATTCTTTTGTAAATAATTCCGGACTATAGGGGGTCTTAGACAGTGTTCTATAATCCGACAAATTCGATAGTCCGACACTGCCCTGCATAATGTTTGTCGGATTACCGGAAGTCCACTGTAATATAAAAATCAAGGCCATGAAGGTGTCTTACAAATGTAGAAACGTTTGATGATACAGGTTTTAGTATCAGGTCAGTCAAAAAATAATAGTATCTTGGCATATTCGAAAATTTCTTCTCAACAATGAAATTCTTTGAAATTCAACAACAGACAAGAAAGTGTGATCATCACTTTATTTTAAAAAACAATTACACGAACTTAAGATTAACTTATATAAAGAAACATTTCACATTGCCATATTTCCCAGTCTTTTATAATCAATTTTCTCAAGCTGTACAAGTGGCCGCAACTGTTCTGCAAATATCCTCATGTCCTCACCAATAGCGTCTTGCCCAGACGGTGCTAGCACAGATAACTCTACCAAATAACTCTGCGAAATGGCCTCTACACCTTCACCAGGTTTACTGCCGCCCATTTTGAATATCTTTGATACTGTGATTTTCATTCTTCCTTTTCTGAACATGTATCCTCTTGCTATGTACTCAAAATCCAATCTACATCCGAGTTCGGTCAAGAAATCTATGATTGTAGAACTACAAGCCATGTCTATGCTGGATCTGACGACAGTAGGTCGGCTCTTGTCTCCTAGTTCCTGCTGGCCCACGTATCGCAGTTGAAAAGGGGCATCGCTAACGTCCAGGGCTCTTCTAACTCGCAGCGGGAGCACCATTGGTGTACCAGTGTTAGCAGCTCTCAGAGTAAAGCATAACTCGTGATCGTGGAATGATTCGGGGCCGCTGTCCACGTTGTCGCAAAGACCGCGCAGTCTGTGGAGCAGCACTTCGACGTATTGGTCTAGAACGGAGCCTTGGAGGAGGTATTCCTGGTTCGGGATGATGTTGCATTTCAGTGCCGCGCTCAATGAGTCCATTGCGGTGCCCGGGGCTGAGTGAGCTGACATTGTTCCTATTATTTTGTCTATACAGCAGAAATATTTGTTTTGACAAAATTTTAGGCAGATGCAGATACAATTTTGAACTCGCAAATAAACAGTAACATAACCTCAGTTAATGTTTCAACTGTCAAGTGAACTGACACTTGTTTTGTCAAAAAATATAGAGATGGGAGACTTGCTTTTAAATGTAATACGTTCCGTTAAGCCAGATATACACCGAATATTAATTCGCCCAGAGTATGCTGCCAATAGAAAAACTAATGATCAACATATTTTTATCAGTCGTAGTTGTGTGGCCACGCAAGACAACTGTTGAAATGTATTCTACTAGACTCTAGAAGACTATCCGTAGCGAAATTGTTGCCAAAATCGTTGCACAACACTTAAAAAAATTGCCGCTTTGACGTTTTAAATGACTCCGTCGGTACCCCGGGATAGACATCCGTCTTGACAGATGAGCTTGAAGTTTTGAATAAAATATTGAGGAATAGCAATGGAGATATAAAATTTGAGGCGTAGCAATGTTTACCAAAACAATTTTCACATAAATATAAAACAATTATTTATATTGTAGATTTCCATGTGTATAAATAGTGTGTCTCTAGGTATGTTGGAGTAACATCAAGAGCAGTATAGGATTGATTTGTTTTTTTTTTTAGTTTTATAATCTAACAGTATATCGAAGCGACTCGATGTTTATGTTGATCGAGAGCAGACGCGCGGAGTGGGAGCTGGACAAGGGCGTGGCTGTACTACCCGGCCGTACTGTATCACACGCTTGTCTCTCGGCAACTGTCGGCGCAGCGGACTTCGCTGCGATACGGTACGGCCGGGTAGTACAACCACGCCCCTTTCCAGCTCCCACTCCACGCGTCTGCTCCCGAAGCGACTCGATGTTCACGTTGACCGGTAGCACTCAACACCTCACATGCTTCAGTCTCTCGGCGATCGCCGGCGCAGCGGAATGTCTACACGTTCACAGTTCCGTGCAGAGCTCTATTTGGTTTAGCTACTTTTTTCAGTAGTGTTGTTCACTATAGGGCTCTCGATTGTCTCTCAGTGGTGCTTTGGTGTTGTGACGTGGGTGTCTACTTCCAACTTTTCTGAGGGAAACAGGATACCTGTGCAGCAAACTGGTGAGCCTTGCAAACTCATCTAATTGTGTGTTAGGGTTCACATCCTATGCTTTTTTTAAATAAATTGCACACATTGCATACACCGAGAGATTAGTCATATACTGAGGTATTTCTCAATCGTCAGATCAATATTAGTCAAAGATCACTTCGAAAGCGACTCATTTTCACTACATAAGCTGACTAGCACTGCTTAAAGACAATATTACAAAATTTATAGACAATAAAATCAGAAAAATTACTATGTCACTTTCTGGTGTCCTAATAAGGAGACCACAATAACTTGTTATCAAATGTATTGTAATTTTTGGTGTCCCCATATTCCCCTAATAAATAATAGAGAAAATGAAAATCGCACTTCATCTATTGATGATCATGTAATTTTAGATCAAATGTCCTATAAAACTGGATATTTATAAAAGCGTTCAGAGACATTAACGTGCCGCCGCATAGACGCCAGGCGACGAATGTTTTTTTTTTGTTTTTTTGATAATACTTGCTACGCCTCAAATTTAATATATCTCCAATGGTATCCTCAATATTTTATTCAAAGCTACTTTTTATATAACATTCTAGCAAAATAGCACAGGTAGCCAAATTGTCCGATGAACTGGCAACGCCACAATCTAGGTGACACGCATGACGAGGTCATCTGCCAAACCGTATGTCTATCCCGGGGTAACGACACAATTCATTTAGTACGTCAAAGCGGCAGTTTTCCAATCTTCATTTGCATTTTTTAAAGCGGTGTGCAACGATTTCGAGAAAACGCCTGGCAATAACGCCTTTTTTAATTGTTGTAATTGCGTTAACTTTAAATGTGTTATTTTATATGTCGATATTTCCTCTAATATTCAAGCCAATTTTTCTTGAAAAGGTGTAGCGACAAATTGTTTGACGGTGTGATTCAATGCTCTGAATAACTGTCTAAGGTTCAATTTCGAATACCTAGAAGACTGATTCTAACCCAATTTTGAATGTATTGGTTACGATGTCAACACCACACAGTAAATGTATATTTTTTCGATTCAACTTCTTATATCTCTCTCATTTTAGAACTCATACTTGATCTTTTTATGTTATTTAATTCCTTACGCCTCAAAAAATTGATACGTTTTCTGGTTGTTCCGTTTCGTCTCTCCAACCTATTGCGGCAGTCTCTACGCGATGGACTTACAAAATTTTTAATCGCTTTTACCTAAGCAAATTCCTAAATCATTTGCACGTTCTGGACGAATTAACTCGTCGTGTAAACTTAATGGAACTAATTACATTGGAACAAATTGACCCATCTCTATATTTTTAACAACTAGTTGACAGTCGACGTTTGAATGTTGTGACACTTCCCAATTTGTGTTTATTTTCTGGATAGCATAAGAATGGCTTAAATATATTTTTTCGTTTAATTATGTAGCTAGGAATATAATCAGAAAGGATGGCTAATCACTACGAAGTACCTAATTGGTATGAATAGCAATTCTTCTTGGGGTGCGAAGTCGTTCATTATTTTTGTCTTCAGGGCCGGAAAACCTCCAGTGGGACTGCACTTGGATGTCTTAAAGGGCGACAAGCTCATCCAGAAACTGATGATAGACGAGAAAAAGTGCTACCTTTTCGGAAGAAACGCTCAGATGAATGATTTTGCCATAGACCACGCATCCTGCTCCAGGGTACATTCAGCCTTTGTTTGGCATAAACACTTGAACAGGGCATTCTTAGTTGATTTGGGGAGCAGTAGGTATATAGTTTCTTTGTTGGGGACATATTATAATCGCTTCTTTCAGCACATGGGACATACATTGGCAAATTGCGACTGGAAGCGTACAAACCGACACAGTTACCTATCGATTCAAGCTTCCATTTTGGGGCGTCTACGAGGAACTATATCATCAGAGAGAGGCCCCAGACTGGTATCAGACCCATAATAGATGAGATCGAGAAATCTGCAGAAGAATCGGATGGCGGACTTCTAGGACTGCCAGAAACTGAAACAGAACTTGACGTAAGTGGATATTTGTATTTTTAAGAACGTGACATGAATCTGGTCTGTATGCTTGCAGAACTTAACCGAATTCAATACTGCTCACAATAGAAGAATATCGATGTTGGGGATATCGGATGATGCCGATAAAAGGCTGACAAGAAAAAGAAAAAGGCAATGCGTAACATTTAATGAGGAAGAAGAAATCATAAATCCGGAAGATATCGATCCTAGCATAGGCAGGTTTAGGAATTTGATACAGACCACGGTTGTCCCAACGTCGGCGAAAAGGATAAAAATTGCTGAGAGCATGGGTATGATATACAAATTTAGAATAACTATCTGTAATCTAGAATAAAACTATAAAATGTCACATTTAGGTTCCGTGAGGGGTCCCATGCCCCACAACATATCTTGTTTATTATTTAAGTGTTTTGAACAACTGAAGACGAAAATGGGATTTTTGTGGTCTTATATACTAAGTGACATATAAATCCGAACACCCAGTTTAAATGGTTTTATTTACCTGTACGATTTCGTCAACTTAGTGAGTTTGATAGGGGCCGTATAGTGGGACTTCGGGAAGCTGGACTTTCTTTTCGGGCAATTGCAGTTAGAGTGCAAAGAAGTGTAGACACTGTGGTTAGGTGTTGTCAAGCATGGCCGTACGCAAAGAGCAAGGGGCACTGGACGCCGCCGTAGAACAACAGACCGTGAAGATCGCCGCCTAAGATTATTGGCCTTAAGGGACCGTTTCTCCACTACCAGGTCCATTGCAAATGAATGGTTTGCAGAACACGGAAGACCTATTGGCATGCGAAGTGTTTACCGACGAATGAGAAATTTTGGCTTGTTTTCATACCGGCCACACTGGGTCCTCCCTTTAACTCGAGAACACCGACGTAATCGCCTTGAGTGGTGCAGACAACGGTCACTCTGGGATCAGGAATGGAACAGTATTGTCTTTAGTGACGAGTCTCGATTTTGTTTAGGCATGCACGATGGTCGTGCCAGGGTTAGAAGGCGACGTGGTGAAAGGAGGAACCCACAGTTTTTGTTGAAAGACATGTTCATCACACTGTTGGAGTTATGGTTTGGGGTGCTATAGCTTTTGGTTCCAGGTCACCTTTAATCTTCATCAGAGGTAACATGAACGCGCAGCGTTATATCCACGAAGTTCTAGAACATAATGATGTCACATTGTTACCATGGCCACCAAGATCTCCCGACTTATCCCCAATGGAGCACGTGTGGGATATGATGGGTAGGAGATTGCTCAATTTGCAACGCCCTCCTCAGACTCTAGAAGCACTTCGAGAGGAGTTGGTGGTTGCCTGGAATGAGATACCACAGGAGGACATTGACCACCTGATCAGAAGCATGCCTAGGCGCGTTGGAGAATGCGTAGCACATCAGGGTGCATCCACACATTATTAAAGGTCAAAGGGCTTTAAAGCAGTGCAATCGTTTTGAAATTTTTATCATTTACTTATTATGCTTCATTAAGTACTTATACAAAATTTTATTGAAATAAAACCATTTAAACTGGGTGTTCGGATTTATATGTCACTTAGTGTATTTTGAGGTTTCCTGTGGAAAAAATTTCAATAGCCTGTATGCCAATGACTGTTTCTTTAGTAATTAATCTCGGTATATATTCCAACAAATTGTGTATAACACTATATTTTTCAACCATATCTTGTTTGCAGCAAATGAAAACATAATTTCAGAATTACAAATTCTACGGAACAAAGCTATGAGTATCATTTAAAAAAAAACAAATATGCGAAGATTAAGTCTATGTTAGGAGAACTACAGTGGTTGAAAGTCATATATTTTGTATAAATTATTTAATTCTCATTTTCATATTCAAATTAAAACATGATACATTTAGAAAACGAAATTAAATAATCTATAACTAGGAAACTAGAGGAAGTATAGATTTTCATCTGTAGATTTGTAATAGTAGCGTTTATTGAAATTTAATAAATTGAATAATGATATTAAAAAGTGTTCAAATTTAAGAATGTTTAAGATAAAATTATGAATATTCAAAATGTATAGTGATGTAATTTTATAGATAGATTGCAGCCAATTGATCAAAAAAAATGTGTAAATGTGTAATTATACAAAATTGAGATTGTAGCATGAATGCTGAAAGAATTTTTAGAACAACAAACAAACGTCAAATTGACGCTAGAACACATCGAGAGTTTCTGGATGTCTGAGTTCATATAGCAGAAAAATTATCTATAATACCATCATTCTTCCAAATTTCTTGTACTGTTCGACTATTCTATATTTAGCAAATAATTCCATTTTTGAAAGACTGCAAATTTTACAAAATAAGTGCATGAGAATAATACTAAATGAAGATAAATATACTCCAATTAGGCAAATGCTTAGCAAATTAAAATGGCTCAATGTAAAATTTTTTATCAAATATCTTGTAATGATATTATATTATTTATATTATTATATTTCCATCAAGTCTAACTAATTTAACATCATCAAATGTCGACCATCATTTACATAATATCAGAAATAAAGATGACTTCCATTTAATGACCAAAAAGCATAACATATGCTACAAATCAAGGGCTGATTGAATATAATAAATTATACTCGGAGTTACAAGACCAGAAAACTTTGACAAAATTTAAAGTAAATTGAGAAATCACTTGTTAAATCTACAATTATAGGTTGCCCAGCATTTACATCATACACCATATGGCTTGAATTTACTAGTTCTAAGTTGTTTACAATTATTCTGTTTATGTAGCCAAATGAGCTAAATAAATCTTTCTACTACTACTACTAGATATTTTTTCTACTTCAGATTTGTGGCGCTTCGCGATTTTTTGACATTAGATGGCAAAAAAACTCCACTGTTGCACCCGAAACCATTCCAAATGGGTTTTTGGGAAGGGCGGTGAATATTTGCAAATATCTTGTACGGTATTATTTTGTTCTAGGCATCCAAAATTCCGAGTTCCGCATGCCAAAACCGTTGAATCATCCAGTCAGCGTGGCGCCGGATTTGTATAATGATTTACCGCCCGAGTCCAACCCAACCGGTGGTACTTTAGGAATATATGGTACTTTAAGCTCAAGATTAGGTAAGTATGATAAAAAAAACCTTTTACTTCAAGTTGAGAGTAAGCTCAACTTTAGTACATCATTTACTTATACAAATTAAAGAAACGTGTTTGCTGTACTATTTGTTGTAATTTTCAGGTATGATTTTACCGAATCCAGCTCCGGACGTAGAAATAGGCAACGCCTATCCGAATTCCGGAAATTATCCAGCGCAACAAGCCATGCAAGATCCGATGGAACCGAAAAAGAAAAAATACGCGAAAGAGGCGTGGCCCGGCAAAAAAACTATGCAGACACATTTATTGGTTTAGTTATGTTTTAATAATTGAACCGAACATAGACACTGACGTTTTTTGTAATTCTTTATTGTCGTCATGAAAAATTGGGTGTCCGGTGTTAAGATTAATCAGGAATATTCACTTGCATGTGATGGTACAACTGGTATCTTTCACAAATCTGTAATTTTTTTAATTTTTGAAGCGTATTCCCCCTACAGCCACAACATATTCAAATCATCTCTAAACAAAAGCAATAATCAAATTTATCCTCATTCTTACACCAATTAGGTTTTCGGCCATAACATTTTTGCTATAAGTCGGATCTTTTACATGTGGTCTCATTTTGGAGGACTCGTAAATACCTAAAAATCTTATATGATGAGTTTTTTCGTTCCTGCCACACTTTCGATTGAATCCGAAAAAACACGTTTTCTCATTCTTTGTTGTCGACTAGAAAGTTTTCGCAGAAAAATTGTTGTTGATGTTTCAAAATGTAGGAAATTTCCTCATTTGTATAAAATGTCTTCTTTGTTGTTCATATCCGCGATGTGCTATAAACGGATCCTCTTGAAAATAATGAAGATAAAATAAAAAAGCGGCAAATGCCTTTGAATTGATACACTCTTTATTTGGTGTTAGTGCTTGGATTTGAACATATACAAGGTAATCCAGAAAATGGTGGAGATAAAAGGAAACGAGCAAGGCTCTTAAATTTGCTCGCTGACCGAGATGTATGATATTGTTATAATTTAGAAATAAAATAACATTCATCTACCACTGATTTTTTTTAAGCATCTATATCAATTGCATGTTTGGATAGGTTATTTAATTTTGTACTTTTTTTGAAGCAAAATTGCGGGTAAATTGCATATAAAAAAATCCATCTAACTGTACTTGTCCGAAGTCAGTGAAGTTTGGCGTTGGAAACTTTAGGTAGTGCATATTTGAATAGAGTTCATGTTTTGCGCTTATCGGGATTCGTCAGTGGCGCAGAAATTTCCAACACCCTGTATCTCGGTAATGGGAGACATTAGGACATATATGATCTTTTATTTTTGGATGTACTTTATTACCTAGCCATATTGCAACCTTTCTGAATCATGCAACTCAAATCAATATAATCTAATTGTACAAGAGTTTATTTTTTCTGGTACATAATTTTATTGTATATTGTAGTTTTAAGATCGTATAATTTATAAATTTAGAGCCAAGAAACTAATTTATATTTCTCAAATTTTTAAGACACGGCCGATTTGTGTAAAAAAAAGAATAAACTGCTCATGAGGAGCGAGTTTTTATTCAAATTTTGTATCTAATAAATATTGGTTGTCAGACACTTCAATTTTTTCTTCGGCTATGAACATTTTTTGTTAAATCTTTTAGTGCAAGAATAAATCAACTTCAATGTTTCGCTTTTTTATTTATTGACGAAAAGGTAAGGAGTTCACTCAAGAATTCATCTGATCTTTAAATGACCTTAAAGGTTATGGTCAGATTCATTGACAAGGATATACTTGAACTTGAAATTGTTCGCAATTTCAAGAATTAAATATCAAGAGGGGGTCCAGAACGAAATTAGTTTGACCACTAACTCGAATTTCTTTGATAAATTTAATAAAATAAAGAAAGACTAATGGAGACAAACGGGTAAAAAATCGCCAGATTTGCTGAACAATCATCACATCTGGCAACCCTGATCAATTTGTAAGCGCATCGATGATGATGTGAAAATAAGAGGGTTACGTAAGACTGGTTGCCTATACGTTCAGCTTGACCCAAATGTAATGAAAAAGTGATTATGCGCGAGATGGTAAGTAGTTGTTTAAACGTAAAAGTGTTTAAATCTCGCACGCTTCATCTATCGGCTCAGAAACATATATACTAGTCCGTGTTTTTGACACTTTATATGTAACTTAGCATAATGATGATTCAGAAACTATTATATGTGCTCTTCTCGATTTGCGAAACACCTCTTGATTCCGGAGAAATAGGGCAATGAAGGAGACGTTGCTGGAAATAGGTTTTTCGAGATATTTTATTCTGTATTTTCTCGGATAAAATCATGTCTATCACGTTCCCCCGGCTTTAAGTTAGTAAGTTAAATGGAATGAAAAAATAGCCTGATCTAATAGATTCATCATTTATTGAGTTCGCCTCTAATATTATACTAAACAAAATTTATCTTCATCCTACATTTGTAGCTTATAAACATTTACCACAATCTTCTTGGCAATAAGACATAAGTAACTCCTCCTATATTTTCCTTATGTCTCTCCCGTCTTAACATCACTATCATCAACTTCAGTGATCGTTTCCAACCCGTCACTAGTGTACGGAAACTCACTGTCACGCTCCTCAAAAGCCAATTGAAAAGCAGTAACATCATCAACAGCCGTATCATCTTGTACTTGGTATTCGTTAGTTTCGTGAGCGAGTTCGTCGAGATACATTTCTAACATTTCGTCGTAGTGAAGCTCGCGGTGTTCTATTACATCATCAGTTTGTTCTCCGTATGAGATTTTGTCGATTGTGATGTCAGCTGCAGGCTCTTCTTCGGGATGCTCCTCAACTATTCGGATCGCTTGACTTTGAACTTCGTTGAGTATATCAGTCACTATATCGATTGGTTCTGGTTCACCTGGAAGACGATTTTACGATATTCTTATTAAAATCTATGGATGGAATCTGGCAACATTGCACAGTCTTTGAAAACAAACATCCAATAAAAATCTATTATATAGTAAAAAACTTTCATGTTTGCGCTCATTTTCAGTCCCATTTCTTTCATCTACACCCAAAAACTAGGATCTGAAATCATTTTTCCATCAAAAACGGCAGGTGTAGCTAAGATAGAGAATTACCAAAAAGATCAACGTTTCCAATGATAAATTCGTTTTTTCAAATAAAAAATTCTTTTGGGAACCATATTCTTGAGACAACCCTCGTACATTAAATTTCCAAACTGTCAAGTTCCAATTTTTATTTACCTACGCAACAGCCGAATGTCACAAGATCAGTATTGCTTGTAATCAGTCAATATATTTATCATGATATGTGATATTTATTGACCGTGTAGCCTAAACGTCAGTAATTATTGATGCATAATGTTACGCAGAAATCCACTGATCGTACGTACGGACTGCACAGAATGTGAGGTTATGTTTGTGGGATCTAACCATGCCAGAAAAGTATTTGAAACCAAAGATTTACTTTCAGTTGGGGTAGACGAAAATTTCAGTGATCAGTGCTAGAATATTTGGCAATATGGCAACAGCAACCGTTATCTAAGGCCCGTATCGTCAGTCGTCCCTACAATTGTAGGGCGCGTTTATGGCCTCCTTGATTGTCATACTTCTTTCTCTCCTTCAAAAATTTCTAGATTGCACCTATTCTGTGTCAGCACCAGCGCTCTCCTATTGTGCAGATATGTTTTCTTTTTAAATTGTAGGAAATTTCAGGCTGATAAAACATGATATAACTCAAAAGCAAGCACAATTTGAGGCAAATAGATGTTTGTGACATAACCTCAAAATAGAGCGCTGACACGGAGAAGTAGAAAACTATGACAATCAAGGAGGCCATAAAGGCGCCCTACAATTGTAGGGCGCGTCGCGTTTATGGCCTCCTTGATTGTCATACTTCTTTCTCTCCTTCAAAAATTTCAAGATTACACTTGTCCCCTGTCAGCGTCAGCGCTCTCCTATTGTAAAGATATGTTTTCTTTTTAAATTGTAGGAAATTTCAGGCTGATAAAACATGATATAACTCAAAAGCAAGCACGATTTGAGGCAAATAGATGTTTGTGACATAACCTCAAAATAGAGCGCTGACACGGAGAAGTAGAAAACTATGACAATCAAGGAGGCCATAAAGGCGCCCTACAATTATTGTAGGGACGACTGACGATACGGGCCTAAGACAAGACTTCTGCGGATCCTCTAACAGTTAGTTTTGACTATCTTTTGAATTCATGGCCAAATTTGAAGAGTATAAAACAGGAATTTGTCCTCAAATAAATCCATAAAATGGTGTATGCAGATAATGTGTGCGATACGAATTTTTAACTTTGTCTCCTTATAATTCATTAATCATCAATGTGCCGAAAAAACGGTAAAATACTTTTTTGTAGCAAATTTTATTCTCTACAAAAAAGCTATGAATGTTTTATATTCTTAAATTCATAGTTTGGCCATTATCGGAAATATCATAACATGTACATTTACCCTTAAATTTCTCGTAAGCTGTTGACTATACGACAGTTTTTGATAGAAGTAAAATGATTAATAATTTAATTCCCTACAAAATTGTCCCAATTACTTTTTCACATAGGAAGGATGGTTTTCGATCAAACGCGTTTATCAAAATGGCGACAAATGCTCCAGCCCTATCATGCAGCCAATTTAAAAAGCAATAATCCAGTAATACCACCAAAAAAATTAGCTGTCACAGACTGTGGAATTTTCTTATACAAAATTTCGCTATTCCTTGGTCTGAGCCGTTACATACTCTCTCGTCTCAAAACTCTAGCTGAGCTGCAACGAGAAAATGCTCGTACGGTTCATAATGCGTTGACTGCTAGGCGAATATCGATCTTACCGACAGATTTCACAGCCTGCTAGACTGGTTGCGTTTCACATAGTCGGCTTTGACTCGCTGCACACTCGGTGACGTAATGGACATACGTTTGAGGATTTGAGGTTAGATTCTCAACACCCTCTTTGTTTTTAATCAGTTGATCCAGTCTTGAAGGATTTTACTGGGATGCCACTAGATACTTACGTGGGGCTGGTTTTTGGAACGTTTCGAAGCGAGTATAGATCGTGTCATGAACGGTTTTCAGTTTCTGTTTTTGTTTGGCGGCGATCCTTTGCCTGACTATCTTTTTCTGAACGTCCGGCAACACGAAGTGATGCACCATATCTGCTATCAGTTCGTCTTGTTCGTCTATTGATATTTCAGAACGCCTTCAAAATAGAAATAGAGAGAGAGAGAAAATTGAAATACTTTAGAAAACCACAATCGAAGAAATAATGCTACAAGCAAACAGTGGCGTAGCTACCTTGGGTGGCACCCGGTGCGGAAGTTGGTGGCGTCACCCCATCGAAAGTCAAAAGCAATAAATTTTATATGATTTATAAACGTCATGGAATATTTAAAATATTGAACAAATAACAAAACACAGAAATAACTTCATCAAAATTTATATTTTGTATTGCCTCGTGTTCGATGACTAATATACCAAGATTGATAAGCCGCGACTGGGTCGTTGTTGCCCGAAAATATTTTTTTATTAATTTTAGTTCACTGAAACTCCTTTCACATGAAGCTACTGACAAACAGCCATGAACAATTTTAGTGTAATCATAAGATTTGAAAGAGATTCTGTAAAATCGCATTCTACAATAAAGAAATTACCGGTTCAAAACTTCCCTCTAATGGACGCGTACTATAATGTCCTATCTCATTTTTGGAGACGAAGCAAAGTAAGAAAATTTACTTACTTGCTATAAGCCTCGTCTGTATCTCTTTCAATTTTCCTAACAAGTTTAGTGATGTATTCGGTAGCTTCCTCTTTGGAAGCGAATTCCATACCTTCAGTGGTAATATCCTGCAACAACAACGATTTGAATAACTTGGGGGACCTTTAGCATCCAATTTAATTCTTCAAAAACTTTTAGGTCCTTGTTTTACCTGTAGGTATACATCAACGCTATCCTGCGTAACTTTGACGATCTGTTTGAACATCTCGTCGTGTTCCCTGCGTCTTCTGAGCTCTTTCTGTCTTCTGCCAGCCTCAGCAGCCTCTCTGATATACCTTTCTCTCTCGTTCACCAGGCACATTGCATGAGCCTTTCTCTCTTCCAGCAATCGGCGAAGCTCCTTGTTCAAAAAGTCTAGAAGCGTGCCCACCACCACTCCTTGAAGTTTACCCAGCATCCCTTGCAGTCTTTGAACCTGTATTTATCATATACATTTTTTCATATAACTCTGGAGAGCAATCTGCCCGTACGGGCAAAAAGCGTATCTCTATCTCCTTATCTGTGATCCTGATACAGATCTATATTGCACTGTCGGTTCTCGTTGACGGTGACTTGCTACTAGGATCATGGAACTGCGAGAAGGTAAAATTGGTGAATGACGAGTTGCAATCAGGACCACAGAAAGCCAAGGAGATATGGGAATGGTACTCTGCTTATGCATGTTGGCGCGAAATTTTTATCTTCGACATCGATGCTCCTAATCCTTTCTGCTAATCCTGATACAGATCTATGTGTTTCTGAATATCGCACTGTTGTTGGCCCTAGTTTCTTCATACAATCGGTAGATTCGAGAATTGTTATCAGGTTTACAGAAATGCGAGGAGGTTTGCAAATGCTGCTATGAGATAAGAACGAAATTCAAATCCATGTCATCGATACCTCTTACCGTTTCTGCGATCCTGATACAGATCTATAGGTTTCTGAAAATCGCACTGTTGTCCAGACTTTCCTTGTAAAATTGGTGGACGACGAGTTGCTATCAGGACCACAGAAATCCAAGAAGATATGAGAATGGTACTCTGCTTATGCTATGATGTTGGTGCGAAGTTTTTATCCTCGACCTCTATGCTCCTAATCCTTTCTGCAATCCTGATACAGATCTATGTGTTTCTAAATATCGCACTGTTGTTTCTTCATACAATCGGTAGATTCGAGAATTGTTATCAGGTTTACAGAAATGCGAGGAGGTTTGCAAATGCTGCTATGAGATAAGAACGAAATTCAAATCCATGTCATCGATACCTCTTACCGTTTCTGCGATCCTGATACAGATCTCTAGGTTTCTGAAAATCGCACTGTTGTCCAGACTTCCCTTGTAAAATTGGTGGACGACGAGTAGCTATCAGGACCACAGACGCCCAAGAAGATATGAGAATGGTACTCTGCTTATGCTATGATGTTGGTGAGACGTTTTTATCCTCGACCTCTATGCTCCTAATCCTTTCTGCAATCCTGATACAGATCTATGTGTTTCTGAATATCGCACTGTTGTTTCTTCATACAATCGGTAGATTCGAGAATTGTTATCAGGTTTACAGAAATGCGAGGAGGTTTGCAAATGCTGCTATGAGATAAGAACGAAATTCAAATCCATGTCATCGATACCTCTTACCCTTTCTGCGATCCTGATACAGATCTATAGGTTTCTGAAATCGCACTGTTGTCCAGACTTCCCTTGTAAAATTGGTGGACGACGAGTAGCTATCAGGACCACAGAAGCCCAAGAAGATATGAGAATGGTACTCTGCTTATGCTATGATGTTGGTGCGAGGTTTTTATCCTCGACCTCTATGCTCCTAATCCTTTCTGCAATCCTGATACAGATCTATGTGTTTCTGAATATCGCACTGTTGTCCATAACTTCATAAAATTGGTAGATTCGAGAATCGTTATCAGGTTTACAGAAATGCGAGGAGGTTTGCAAATGCTGCTATGAGATAAGAACGAAATTCAAATCCATGTCATCGATACCTCTTACCCTTTCTGCGATCCTGATACAGATCTATAGGTTTCTGAAAATCGCACTGTTGTCCAGACCTCCCTTGTAAAATTGGTGGACAACGAGTAGCTATCAGGACCACAGAAGCCCAAGAAGATATGAGAATGGTACTCTGCTTATGCTATGATGTTGGTGAGAAGTTTTTATCCTCGACCTCTATGCTCCTAATCCTTTCTGCAATCCTGATACAGATCTATGTATTTCTGAATATCGCACTGTTGTCCATAACTCCATAAAATTGGTAGATTCGAGAATCGTTATCAGGTTTACAGAAATGCGAGGGGGCATCGAAACCTCTTGCCGTTTCTGCGATCCTGATACAGACCCATAGGTTTCTGAAAATCGCACTGTTATCCAGTCTTTCCTTGTAGAATTGGTGGACGACGAGTTGCTATCAGGACCACAGAAACCCAAGAAGATATGAGAATAGCACTCTGCTTATGCTATGATGTTGGCGCGAAATTTTATCTTCGACATCTATGCTCCTAATCCTATCTGCAATCCTGATACAGATATATTTGTTTCTGAATATCGCACTGTCAACCTTCTTCGTAAAATTGGTAGACTGGAAAAGTGTTATCAGGTTTAAAGAAACGCAAGGAGATTTGCAAATAATTGCTCCTGCTATCAGATAAGCATGAAATTCAAATCCATGGCATCGAAACATCTTGCCGTTTCTGCAATCCTGATACATACAGATCTATAGGTTTCTGAAAATCACATTGTCATGCAGAATTTCCTTGTACAATTGGTGGACGACGAGTTGCTATCAGGATCACAGAAACGCGGGCAGGTATGAAAAGGATATCCTGCTCCTGCTATGAGATAAGAGCGAAATTCAAGTCCATGGCATCGAAACCTCTTGCCGTTACTGCGATCCTGATACAGATTTACAGGTTTTATAGTAAGAATGTGGATTCTAAATGGGAGAATCATTATACCCTTTGAGCTGACAGAGTTCTTGAATGGCGAAACTTATTCAGACTTTTTACAAAATAATTTACCCAATTTATTGGAAGACGTGTCACTAAGCATTTACAGAATATCTTGAAGCGGAATACCCGAGCAAATAATAAGGGAAGAAGATACCTACCATATTGAGCTGAATACTTTCTTCCCTTTGTTGTAGCTTAACTTTTTGCTTCTCTTTACTACGGATCCCTTTGTCTTTCTTCAACAAACCGACCGAATACTTCAGCTCTTGTATAAGTTCTTTACAAGTATCTCTACCCTCATATATCTGAAAATTATCATTAAGAGATGAACTGAGACATTGACATCATTTTCCATGAAAATGGTCAATGCTGCGTATGGGCATATACAATTTCCATCATCATAGTCGTGAATCCAAGTATGCCAACGCTAATTTCTTTAGAAGCAATAAAACATACGCCTTTTTACAATTTGAAGAACCGTCCTCAACTTACCAGCATCTGCTCAGCTCGGCCTCTAATGATCTTCTGAAGCAACACGACAGCTTGATATTGCTTATCTTCTTCCGGCGGTACACCTTCAATTTCCGGGGTGGCTGGTTCCGGAATTGGAATTTCAACTTTCGTCCTCAATGCTAAGGGTCGCTCATCAACATCCTTATGCAGATCTATATAATGAAAATAGAGCTTAAGAAACTACAATATTTACTAGTCTCGTTCAAAAAACATTAGGAATCGTAGCTGTGAATTGATATGCTTTGTACATAAATAACTGCAAACAGGGGCCTCAGTACAGATCCTTGCGGTACTCCGTCACCAAAATATGAGCTGGTGGGAGATATAATGAGTGTTGACAACATTTGTCACGGTTTAGAATCGTATCAGCAAAATATGTCCTTTATGTAGATAATAAAAAGCAGTGGACCCAATACAGATCCTTGCGGAACCCCGCATTCAAAATTATTGCTGCTGAGGTCATAGTGTTTTTGTGGTAGTATCCGATGTTAACTAAGTTTACTTGTGTCTTTATGGGGTTGAAAAATATGACTAGCTCAGTCACACTCACTCTTAAGTTCTTCGTGGAGTTCTTTGAGGACTGGCGCTGTCCATTTGGTTTCCTTGATACATAGGCCTTTCTGTACGGTTCTCTTATTAAGTTCTTTCCTCCATTTTTTGGTGGCGATTTCTAACCACCCTGGCAATGTGCTGAAGTTTTCAACACCTGGAATTTTGGAAGAGTTTAAGCAAATTTTGATTTCTAGAGTTTGTACATCGCTTTGATGAGCCGAAGTTTTTACCAATGAACTGAGCTCTGTATTGCTTCATCTTCTCGTCTATCACTTGGTGCCAACGTTTCGGATGTTCTCCATGTCTTAAGTACGGCCCATATATTTCTGATTTCTTATCAGCGTGCTCATCAATAATGTTCACACGGTGATATCTTGGATTGAAACCTCTCTTTTGCGCTTCCAATTTCCTCATTTCTGGAAATAATAGCACAGGTAGGGTAAATGTATATTTTGGGATAGAAGTGTTATACAGGGTGTTTCAGTTTATTGTTGCATAACTTTAAGATTCGATGGAACTTTTAAAATTAATGCATAAAGTCTATATAAACATGGGTCGAAAAATGCGTGGCTTCCGAAATACAGGGTGTTTAAATTTACTTTTTAAAATAGTTTTTTTTTTAAATATTTCGAACAATATTTGATGTATAACAGTGAAAATTGGTATACAAGGGTTTTTTAGTACGACAAAACGAACCATGGACATAGTTTTACTGTAGCCGCTAGAGGGCGCTCTCTACTGTACTTGTAGTATATTAAAATGACTGAAATTTTTTTCTCAGTGCAATTTTTTGCTTTTTGAATAAAAAAACTGATTCTTCGCACTTTTCTGCATAAAAAAGCTCTCCTGTGAGTTTTCGTTATAGTTAGCCGTTTTTTAGATATTTCGATTTTTAAGGTTCGATGCATTTTCAATTATTTATGAAAAAATAATATTTTTTTTACATTTTCGATTTGGGCATTACAAGTAATTAAGATGATCGTTTAGATTGTGTTTTTAAACACAGCAATAATTCCTAACTCCAAATAAACACAAAAAACAGAATATTAATTTGTTTAATTTCCCAATATTATTTTTAACAAATTAAATTAATTATTTACAACTAAAATGCATTATTCAAATAAGGCGTTATTTCATCACATGCATTCCTGATTCTGTCTATTAGCATATCTCTTGTGGTTACGGGAGTCTGCTACACTTTTTCTTTTAGAAATCCCCACACAAAGAAATCTAATGGATTTAGGTCAGGGGATCGTGGAGGCCAGGCGACTGGTCCTCCACGGCCGATCCATCTTTCTGGATAATTTTCGTCCAGCCAGTTTCTAACTATTCTCGAATAATGAGCTGGACAACCATCAAGCTGGAACCAGGCCAATCTTCTTAAATCTAACATAACATCATCCCAGATATTTGCATGTTCAGCCTTTAAAAATTCCAAGAAGGTCGCAGCTTTTAACCTTGCATGCAAAAGGTAGGGTCCAAATAGTCAATTACGGTAGATACCAATCCACACGTTCACACTAAATAAATGCTGAAAATTTCTTTCCCGAACTGCATGCGGATTTTCATGCGACCAAATACGTTGATTATGAAAATTTACCACTCCACGTCTAGTGCATCGAACCTTAAAAATCGAAATATCTCAAAAACGGCTAACTATAACGAAAACTCACAGGAGAGCTTTTTTATGTTGAAAAGTGCGAAGAATCAGTTTCTTTATTCAAAAAGTAAAAAATTGCACTAAGAAAAATTTTTCGGTCATTTTAATACACTACAGGTACAGTAGAGAGCGCCCTCTAGCGGCTACAGTAAAACTATGACCATGGTTCGTTTTGTCGTACCAAAAAACCCTTGTATACCAATTTTCACTGTTATACATCAAATACTGTTCGAAATATTAAAAAAAAAAACTATTTTAGAAAGTAAATTTAAACACCCTGTATTTCGGAAGCCACGCATTTTTCGACCCATGTTTATATATACTTTATGCATTAATTTTAAAAGTTCTATCGAATCTTAAAGTTATGCAACAATAAACTGAAACACCCTATATAATAATTATTACCTCTAGCGGCTTGCTTTCTAATTTTGCTCAATTTTTCTTCTTTCAGCGCGTTTTGTCTTTCTATAAAACTATTCATCTTCATTTCCGTTCTTGTATGAGATTTTTCATGGATTTCGTCCAGCATATTTTCTAGTAGTTGTAGTCGTAGCTCTTGTACTTCTGCGATTTCCTACTTGAAAATATGAAATGCAATAAAAAAAATTCATAACAAAAAAGGTGAATAGATCAAGCCAGTCAAAGAGGCACATAGAACTAGACCACACTTAGTAACGCCATTAATTTATTTCTCTACCATCTGACAACGACGCCAGAAGCGTCAGACATAACACTAGAGATCGAGAGCGCCAGCGATGCAGTCAGGTGCAGATAGCGGTGGGTGCATGAAGTTTGACTAGCGAGAGCGTGACGCGTCAGTATATATTTCTCTAAGTTTCAAGGGCAAACATACAAGGAAATTGGCTTTTACATGTTCGACACCACTTGATAAATCGGTACAGAAGATGGGCGTACGAATCAGGTCAACGTTTTTTCAAATAGCCAGAAAAAATGTAGGATCCTTATTTCTGAAACAAGCCTTTTCAAAAAATGGCAGACTTGGGCGTTTGGAGAGGGGGGGGGGCGTCAACGGCCTGCACATGTGACTGCAATTTGTTGTATTAAAAACACGAATTGTTCTAACCTGTTCTCTGAACGCCCATTCGTCTCTTTCAAGAGCTTCCAAATAGTCTCTGAATTGTACCAGTGAATTTTCATCGTTTACATTGGGTTGTATCACTTTTTCCCAGGCTGCTTTCATCCGAGCCCGTTCTATCAGTTGAACTTCTCGAACACCTGCTGGTAACCCGCTACCTATGACATAGATAAGTATGGTTTATCGTTTGAATAATAACGTAACGCCCTTGAACGGCGTAAAGACACACTCGCATAGTTAGGCAGCCAGTGTTACGCCATCATGTATCGCAGGTTGCGAAGCTTTGAAAGCGACTGCGTTGACGTGCCCAGGCTTTCGCCTGTCAATAATACCTTACCCCATTTGAGAAACTCCAATTTGAGCACTTCGGGGTCGCCGTCGCCGACAACCACATAAGGTGGTTCCCAGGGATCCGTTTGGGCACCAGATTCTCTGTAATCTGTTTCCGTTCCTACGTCAAACGTCAGCGTCTTCGCTGTAGCTGCTTTTTTGATTTTTTCCTTTTTCGGTATTCTTTCGATTTTGTACGTTTGGAAGGCCACATACGGCAGTGCTTCCTGAAACAAAAGGGCATTTCAACAAAAATAAGTTAATGTTGTTGGCGAGGCGCCACCATGCCGGCAGCGTTTGAACTACGGACAGACTGACAATGGAAATGAGTGACATGGTGTTTCGTGACGTACACGCCAGATAACATCTGAAAAATTATAGTATCTCGTTTTCTAATTTTCCGAACAATATGTGGTTATGACGTGATTGTGGTCAAGCATTTTTTTAAGCAAATTACAAAACATTGCTTTTTTTCGCGCCGTACAAGGTCTTTTTAGTTTTTTTTTGGGTCATTCTGAATAAAAAAGATGTTCGGTAACATTTCTCAAAAGTCTACAGTGTTAGAGTTATAAAAGACTTAAATCAAAATCCTAAAAATGACCGTTTGCAATGCTTAAAAACCCCATCAAAAACTATTATTTTTGAAGCTGCAAAGTGTTTAGGCTGAAAGTCAAACTTTCCCTAAGATACCCAGAAAAATATTTTAGACTTAGTTTATCTTAAGTTTTTTATACAGGGTAGCGGATCGAAAACGAAACAGACGCATCTACTGGCAGCTCAGTTTTTTTTGGAAGAACGCTCAGACCCGTCGATTTTGTTTTCGAGGGGGACACAAGTTTGGCAAAAAATCACGTTAACACGTGCAGCCCCCTGGGCGGGGGTGACACCAACCCTAAAATCTTAAATGCAAAGGGGGTCGAGTGATACCTTATTTTAAAGGTCTTTCAATTCCCTTTATAATGATGTAAAATGAATGAGCTTCAGTTCACTAGTTTTGAAGATTTATCGATTTAAAGCTTAAAGTAGCCTTTAATAGGTACATCAAATTAGTTTGTACTACTTTCAGAAGAAATTTGACTATATATAATTTATGATAAACAGTTTGTCTATTTTTGAGCTTTAGTCTCCAGTAATTTAAAATTTGGTTTTGTCAGGTCTATTAGAGCATTATTTGGGCATTCCGCGAAAAAAATCCCCAGATCGAGGCAATCAGTGTGTCCGTACACGGTAGTCTCAATTTTTTTGGTGCTCTGGTATAAAACTGTTTACCAACAATGCTTAATAACTGTTGTTTAATAGCCCGTGATACATATATACTATACTATATACAGCATTACGTTGCGAAACCAAGAAACCTCATTAATACAGCGGTGGTTTTTAAGAGGAAGTCTGTTTCCAAGGGCCTTCGCGATCACCAACTTGACTTGTCTTAATTTTTGTTTATGGGGACGCTTAAAACACTTAATAATAAAAAGAAATTCCAGAAAAATTAGTTTAAAAAGATACAAATTTAAGGGATTTCCGTATAAAGTTTTCTTTTGCCTAAATTTTAGTTTAGGTACAAGATATCGAGATGAAAAAACTGAAATTTGCAGTAATAGGAACTAAAAGATTATCGCAGTATGTAGGGATTTCCGATTTTTTTTTCAAAGCCTATAATTTGAAAAGTACACGACTTAGATTTTTTATTATATTTTTCTGAAAACTATTATGACTTAACCTGTCCTCCGTTTCCTCGTATGTGCATATCACGTGACCGTTGCCTTCTTTCATAAGTCCCTAGAATCCAGCACTAAAGATGCAATATTTTCAACCCAGTGGCGCACCGCGAGTGCGACCGATAGGTACGCGATTCGGCCGCTAAAAATCTTTTTCCAAGCTTGACGGAAAAATTTGTGATGTGTGAAATATTTCTAATATGTTAATAGAATTACCGGGGTTGGAAGTGCATTAAGTTTGACAGGTTTTTATTTTTTCCGTTTTTGGCATTTGTTTCCATCTCCACTGGAACGATTTGCAAAAACTAAAAAGTTCCTGGTACTTCGCGATAACATTATTCCCTCATGAAATAAAATTAGTTTGCTGTCATACCTTGGTGGGAAAATTGATGATAGGGCAGAAAAACTTGAGCCTATCTTTCCCTAGGACGTCAGGCTGTCTCTGAAGTCGAGGATCGGTCGGTTCCGACGGCAAACGTCGTTTGAACGGGGGCGGCGCTTTCAACGTGGGCCGCCTCCGGACGTATTGGACTCTGGGTCGTGAGGGCAGGTCCGAGAACATGTTCGGGAATATCGGACATATTTGCTGGAAAAAATAGCAACTTATTTTAATTCAGAAGTCACATGTTTGCCCTCAAAGAAACTTTACGCGGCCAGCTGACTTTCAGAGAGAAAGTAGCTTGTTTTTAAACAAGTTCAATGACGCATAAGGGAAGAATTTTAAATACGTGTGGTTTCATTGACCAGAAAAACATAATGGATCATTAAAGATGCCACTGTTAGTTACTTGATTAGGAGTTTTCCATTAAAAAGACAAAAACAATTATATGCCCCATTTACTAGCAAACGTAACCCTTGATGAGGTTCTCTCATAAGAAGAAGCTTCCATCGTAATTTTATTTCTACTTACGAATTTCGCTGTAGACATTTTTGCAGCTATAGCAGCTTTGTAGTGATCTGCCGGTCCAGAAACAGTAAAAATAGGATCTGAAAGCAACACAGCCCTTTATAGCGCACAATTTGGTTTGGTTTCAAGCAAAATCGTACCTACCGTACATGAAATCGTGTGGCCTGAAAGGCGTACATCTAGCAGAGGCCATTTTAAATATTATTCAAAGATTGAATAGAGCCCAAATTGCCAGCCGTTCAATTTCAAAAATCAGGTCAAGAAAGTCAACGACACAACACTGTTGCTATGGGTAACCGAGTTGGTTTGATCTATGTCCGTAAGAAAATACTGTAGCGTTTTTCTGGGTTCTTTTGGGTGTGGATTAAGACACTGGATTCCACAAAAAGAAATACACATTGCAACATTTATGTAACCACTATTTCTATTTGACTAATTCTTATGTCACCATTGGCTGCGCTATCCTTCACTCCGCTCTGCTACTCAACCGTATTCAGTACTCTGCTTCCATCTCCCGGCCGCCGAGTTATATATAGTCGCAATTGCTGTTTCGAGAAAGGTCTGGTGAACCACAAAGCGGCATCTAGAATATTGGAGGTAGCTTCGCGTCGATCTAGAAGGCGATCCGCGGTCACGGTCCTCACAGACGCCGCCAAGCGACTTGTGCGGTCGTGGTTCGCGTAAAAGCAGAGATCGGCCATTAAACTCTGGCGAATAGGAGACTCGCCCAACAGATGGCGCCATTTGTCACAATACGTTTTACCTACCGTATATGAAATCGTGTGGCCTGAAAGGCGTACATCTAGCAGATGCCATTTTAAATATTATTCAAAGATTGTATAGAGCCCAAATTGCCAGCCGTTCAATTTCAAAAATCAGGTCAAGAAAGTCAACGACACAACACTGTTGCTGTGGGTAACCGAGTTGGTTTGATCTATGTCCGTAAGAAAATACTGTAGCGTTTTTCTGGGTTCTTTGTTGTGTGAATTCAGACACTGGATTCCACAAAAAGAAGTACACATTGCAACATTTATGTAACCACTATTTCTGTTCGACTAATTCTTATGTCACCATTGACTGCGCTATCCTTAACTCCGCTCTGCTACTCTACCGTATTCAGTACTCTGCTTCCATCTCCCGGCCGCCGAGTTATATATAGTCGCAATTGCTGCTTCGAGAAAGGTCTGGTGAACCACAAAGCGGCATCTAGAATATTGGAGGTAGCTTCGCGTCGATCTAGAAGGCGATCCGCGGTCACGGTCCTCACAGACGCCGCCAAGCGACTTGTACGGTCGTGGTTCGCGTAAAAGCAGAGATCGGCCATTAAGCTCTGGCGAGTAGGAGACTCGCCCAACAGATGGCGCCGTTTGTCACAATACTAAAGACGTACGTTTTGACGGACTTTATTATCACTTTCCGGATTGAAGTCTGCGATTAAAATTTAAACGATAAACAAATTCCAATAGCTCTTTTTTGTGAGTTTTCCAAAGCTTTCGATTGTGTAAATCATTATACAGGGTGGCGCATTTACTGACAGTTCAGTTTTTTTTTTGGAAAAACGCTCAGACCCGTCGATTTTGTTTTCGAGGGGGACACAAGTTTGGCAAAAAATCACGTTAACACGTGCAGCCCCCTGGGCGGGGGTGACAGCAACCCTAAAATCTTAAATGGAAAGGGGGGTTGAGTTATACCTTATTTTAAAGGTCTTTCAATTCCCTTTAAAATGATGTAAAATATATGAGCTTCAGTTCAGTAGTTTTGAAGATTTATTGATTTAAAGCTTAAAGTAGACTTTAATAGGTACGTCAGATTGGTTTGTACTACTTTCAGAAGAAATTTGACTAAAAGAATTTACTTAATAAGTAAATGCTTTTCTTCACTACGCCCATGGTTTGTTTATCATTTTTTTGTTGAAAATAGCTGTTTGAGCGTTTTTTGTGGCAAAAAGTTATTTCTTGAAGGAAGATAAGGAAATATCTCAAACTTATTTTAAATAGGAATTTAGTACATAGTTTACGATAAAGGGAATTGAAAGACCTTTAAAATAAGGTATCACTCGACCCCCCTTTCCATTTAAGATTTTGGGGGTGGTGTCACCCCCGCTTAGGGGGCTGCACGTGCTAACGTGATTTTTTTGCCAAACTTGTGTCCCCCTCGAACACAAAATCGACGGGTCTGAGCGTTTTTCCAAAAAAAAACTGAGCTGCCAAATGCGTCTGTTTCGTTTTCTTTGCGCCACCCTGTATATTATTAAAAACATTAAACGAATGTGGTTGTGCCGGAGTTTCGCTCATTTGGTTCGAACATATTTCGATTCCAAATTGTAAAATTATTAAGACACTATATTTCAAATAAATTAAATATAAACGCAGAGGTACCTCAGAGATCGGTATCAGGTCCAATCCTATTCTTAGTCTATATCAACGATTTAATAGACTTGGCAAATTCGTAGTTTTTCCTGTGACTGATTTACAATCAATAAAAAAATGGTGTGACAACAACTACTTGACTTTAGATGTTAATAAGGCAAAATGTATGACTTCCAAATGTGTACCTCACAGCCAGACTAGGTTAAGTCCATTTTTTCAAAAATGAGTTTAATATGTTAAGCTTATTATAATATTGTGAATTTTCATTTGCTACATGCAGAGTCCATCTATCGGTAATAATATGGAAGTTACGACTATTTAATTCATATCAATACTTTGCAAGAAAAATATTTCAAATACAATTATATCAAAACTACTTATTTCGACTTAATCTAGTCTGGTTCTGAGGTACAGAAGTGCTTTATCGATTTTATAAATTTAAATGAGTTGATACACAAAACAGACACCATCAAATTTTTGGTACCGAACATAGATCTCAAATCAGATTTTACTAATCATGTATGTAAAGTGCTTTCTCGACTAGCAAAGATTTTCTTTATTACAAGAATAATTAGAAATCTAAATGAAGATAAAGATTATTTATCTATCCATACTAAAAGCCAAATTTAAAGTAAAATGAAGTTTGACTATTGTTTTTTCAAACTCTAGGTCGTTTAAAGACTTTTTAGTCTTCCTACTGCTGATGACAGGATCGTATTTTGATCCATGAGTCACTTCGCAACAATCAAAACGTGAGATGCAAGCGAAGTACTGGATTAATTCGACTCCATTTTCAATTTAACGAATGAGATAAATTAAAACCACATAGTATAGATAATCAACATTTTATTATAAAAAATAACATATCTATTTACTTTTAAACATATTGTTATATTCATCAATATACACAGTCCACGATTAGTAGCTATTTTTTAATAAAATGACAGTTGCAAATATCTTCCAGCCAATTATTTGCAAGCTGATATTTTATTATTTACCGTTTCTGTTACGAATTTCAATGCAAAAGTGAGAGAAATCATATTTATTTTATTCTGAATGAAACGTAATATTTACCTACGAGGGTTGTTTGAAAAATATGGTTCCCACATTTTTGGCGTTGGAAACCATATTTTTGAGACAACCCTCGTATATTTTACGCATTATGAGGAGGTTTAGTAATAGGAATAGCTACTAGTCATTTTTTGCACTCCACACACCTTATCAACATTTTGTTTTATTATCAATATAATATGTAGATATACGTCTCATACATTTTTCTATAATCTCGGTTAGTTCAAAATTCCGAATTTTCTTTAAAAATCCTTAACAGTGTTGTGGATATGAATGAGTGTATTATGCTTTAGGAGAGTTGCTTCGGAAAAATTGCATTTGTATATAGCTTAAAGCTAAAGGCTGTTACGTGCATGTCTAAACGATTGTCAAGCGTTCAACTGTGGAATTTTGTATAATTCATGTAAGGTTTCAATTTAGAAATTAGATTCTGACAAATAAGAAGAATTTTCAATATGTTTTTGTAGCTTGAGGTCTGAAAATTACGGATGAAAGTGCTGCAATATAGCTGAAATGATGACATTTTGTTAAGTAGAATCTGACTTAACAAAAATCTGGATAGAATTTGATATATACAAATAATTTTACAGTATTTACAAACTAGTTCTGGTATAAGTTACAATAAATTGTACTCGGAAGGATCAAAATAAAAGCTGTTATGCTATGGCAAGGATATATGTTCGGAATTTCTTTTGATTATGGGTTCAAGCGATTTATACTGATTTGGGATGAAAAATATGCTTGAAAAAGATATTTTTTCTACTTCCATCGATAGTCTAGGTTCTGACGGAATCTGTTACTTGTGTTGAGAATGTTATTTTTATCCTCCATAATAATCAAAACGAAATTTTATAAATAATTTACAAATTTCACCCCCTGGAAACAAAGATCCCGTCCCCGTTCCTTCCTAAGTACTCCGGCCAACTCTGTTCCTTTCTCGGCAGAAACCTGGCGCACCTCTCGTTCTTTTTGGCTAGTTGGCATTCGCATTCGATTGTCACGCGGTAGACGGTCATTTGTCCCAAGTGCAACTGTTGAAGACGGTCGTAGTAGGCGAATGTGTTACGCAAATTCGATTGTTCTTCCAGGCACTCTTGTTTGTACAGGGCACGTTGTTCTTTTTCTGTATTCTTTTGGTAGTCAGAAGTGGGATCTGTAATGCGAAAATTTTCTTTTTAAGAATTATGCTGAGTACTCCATGCACTCTAAGATCTCTAAAATCTCGTGAATTTCAAAAATTCCGAAAACCTCGAACCCATCTAAAATGTCGGAAATCTCGAAAATTTCGAAAATCGAAAATCTCAAAAATCTCGTATATTTCGAAAATTCAGAAAATCTCGAAAATTTTCAAAATCTCGAAAATTTCGAATTCTTCAAATCTCTGAAATCTCGAAAAATCGAAAACTTCGAAAATCTCGGAAATCTGTAAATTCTCGAAAATCGAAAATTTCGGAGATCTAGGAAATCTCGGAATTCTCAAAAATCTCGAGGATCTCGAAAATATGGAAAATTTAGACAATCTCGAAAGACTGGGAAATCTCTAAAATTTATAAAATCCAGAAATTCTCAAAAATATCGGAAAAAATCGGAAATCTCGGAATTCGCAAAATCTCAAAATCTCGAAAATCACGGAAATCTTTGAAATTCAGAATATCTAGAAAATCTCGATCATTTCGTAAATTTTGAAAATCTCGAAAATTTCTAAAATCTCGAAAATTACGAAAATCTCGTATATTTCGAAAATTCAGAAATTCTCAAAAATTTTCAAAATCTCGAAAATTTCGAATTCTTAAAATCACGGAAATCTCGGAAGATCGAAAATTTCGAAATACCGAAAACTTCGAAAATCTCAGAAATCTGTAAATACACGAAAATCGAAAATTTCGGAAATCTAGGAAATCTCGGGATTCTCAAAAATCTCGAGGATCTCGAAAATATAGAAAATTTAGACAATCTCGAAAATCTGGGAAATCTCTAAAATTTAAAAAATCCAGATATTCCCAAAAATATCGGAAAAAATCGGAATTCTCGGAATTCGCAAAATCTCAAAATCTCGAAAATCACGGAAATCTTTGAAATTCAGAATATCTAGAAAATCTCGATCATTTCGTAAATTTTGAAAATCTCGAAAATTACGAAAATCTCGTGTATTTCGAAAATTCAGAAAATCGAAAATTTTCAAAATCTCGAAAATTTCGAATTCTTAAAATCACGGAAATCTCGGAAGATCGAAAATTTCGAAATACCGAAAACTTCGAAAATCTCGGAAATCTGTAAATACACGAAAATCGAAAATTTCGGAAATCTAGGAAATCTCGGAATTCTCAAAAATCTCGAGGATCTCGAAAATATGGAAAATTTAGAAAATCTCGAAAATCTGGGAAATCTTGAAAATTTCAAAAACCCAGAAAATCTCAAGTCTCGGAAAAATCGGAAATCTCGGAATTCGCAAAATCTCGGAAATTCAGAAGATCTCGAAAATCTCGATCATTTCGTGAATTTTAAAAATCGCAAAAATTTCGAAAATCTCAAAAATTTAGAAGATTTCGAAAATCTCGAGAAAACACAAGATCTCAAAAATCTCGGAAATTTCGAAAATTTTGAAAGTCTCGAAAATTTCTAAAATCTCGAAAATTTCGAAAATCTCGAAATACGTGGAAATATCGAAAAACTCGAAATTTACTAATATCTCGAAAATCTTGTAAATCTCGAAAATCTCAAATATCTCAGAAATTCAGAAAATTCAGAAAATCTCGGAAATCGAAAATCCCAAAAACTCGAAAATGTGAAAGATCTCGAAAATTTGGAAAATCCTGAAAATTTCGAAAAAATAACGAAAATCTTTAAAGTGTCTAAGGTGTCTGAAACGTCTAAGATATCTAAAATGTCTCTAAAATCTTTAAAAATTCGAAAACCCTAAGTCTCTAAAAACACGTCACTATCAAACCTCTCAAATTATTCAAAGCTCTCAAAACTGGTAACAAACATATTTGAAACGGGATACACACCTTTTGAATTCAGTGCCATTTTGTCTTCGATACATTCCTGGATGTCATTTTTTAGAGAACTTGGTTGCTGTACGTTCACTGGTTGCCAGTAAGTTATGAATACCAAGTCTATGGTATTTGACTGATTCGTGGAATTCAAAGAGTCTAAAATGGCACCTGAAAACGATTGATTGCTATGAAACTATAACTATTACAACAAGTTAGGATTTGGAAACTGAAAACTGGGTAATTTGCTTTTTGCCATACTCCCATTTTTGAAGTACGAGTAGCTTCTTACCTACTGACGTGATTTTAGAAGAACTTTCAAAGGTGTAATTAACCGCTCTCTTCCCTCTGTAATTGCCACTAGACCAATCTTGCACTTCTTTCTCCGATTCCAACTGCCAAAGGTTCAAAGTTTCGTTCGCCTTCATATCGTCCAATTTTTTCTGGATGATCTTCTGGATATCCTCCTTTTCTTTGATCTTGTCGTAATGCGTGTTAACGTCTCTCTGTTCAAATTTCGACCTTCTCAACCGCGTCTCTTCGTTTTTCACGAACGTGTCTTTCAGAATCTCGGTCGGAACATAGTCGACATCGTCCATCAGTCTTTTTCTAGCCGATCTGACATTGTCGTAATCGTAGATGCTTTTGGTGTCCGACAAGTTCTTTTTTGTGGATACTGATTTCGAATTTTTCCGTTCGGATTTTCTCGGATCTCTGTTTTTCGAGTCTTTCAGCAACAATTGTTTTTGATTGTAAGGTATGGTATCTTCAATGGGATAGTCGCTGAAATCGGGATCTATTTTGTTCACATTTTGAGACCAGTCGTAGTCTGAGGTGTCCTACAAATAATATAAATAAGAAAATGAAGAATGCGAAAACGTTAACAAGAATGATGATGAATTGTCCTCATCAATCGTCAAAACAAAAAAAAAACAGGATACAAAAACATAAAAGAAACATTTGATAAGTAAAAAATGTAAGCGTATAAAATATAAGTGAGAAACATTCAACATTTCATTTATTGAAACAGATTATATATTATATATTATATATTATATATTATATATTATATATTATATATTATATATTATATATTATATATTATATATTATATATTATATATTATATATTATATATTATATATTATATATTATATATTATATATTATATATTATATATTATATATTATATATTATATATTATATATTATATATTATATATTATATATTATATATTTTATATTCTATATTTTATATTTTATATTATATATTATATATTATATATTATATATTATAAAGTTAGTCCCACGTAGATTTTATATCTTGATTTACGTTAGATTCAGCTTTTGAACGTTGTGGTAATGGAAACGACTGCGTTTACATGCCAGAAATATACAAAATGAATAGTAGTGGCCCAAGTACGGATCCTTGGGGAACTCCGTAGGAAATGAGGCACTTTGGAGATAAACCTAAGTAGTTCTGAATCATATTTAAGGAAGAATAAAAAAAACCAACATATTTACACTAGGCTACAAAACGGGAAATGATGGGAAGCAAGATTTTATGTTTAAAGAGATAATCGTAAAACTGGTAAAATACTGCTTTTACTTTTACTTATTTATTCTTATGGACGCCATATCGCGTAGTTTTGAGTTCCACGTCTTTATTTTTGACACGAAGGAACGTTCACGTACCTGTTCAGTGATTTCACTAGGAATATAATTTTTCAAAATTCCCGCGTTACCAGCAGGCTTGTGGCGGAAACTTGAAGATCCATATTTTCGTATTCCAATAGGCTTTGCGTCTACGTTATAACTTTCCCCTAACTCAGACTGTCCTGCCGATAAAATACGGAACTTCGGATGGGTCGTATAGTATTCTTTCAGTTGTTTTGTAATCGATTTGAAGCTTTTAAATTCCGTTGGTATTCGATCCACTAGAAAAGATCGATCGATGAAATAATCATCTCTAAGCCCCAGTCAAATCCAAGCTGAGAGAGCGAATGTAAAAATGGCTTTATTTTATTTTGGATTTGGATATGCTTCTGATCGACTCAGCCTGATGATAATTATACTCACCAGAGTTATAGACAACGAAGCCTGGTGGTTGATGAAACTGACTTAATGCGTTCATTTTAATGATTCTTGACGTGTTGAACTGACTTTTGCACTCATCATAAGGTGCGTCCGAATTTGCTGCAACACATACTTTTTTTTAAAGTAATTAAACATCCCAGAACTAGGGAATGATACCCATTAACATTAAACAAATGACTCTCATACATGGTCTGATAGTCGGAGATATTTTAAAGCGTGATTCCTTGTTTGAAAAAATGAAAAAAAAATTCTTTAAACATGGGTCCGGAAATGGTGAGTTTTCAATATACAGGACAAAATTTATTAATATCTTAAAAAATATTTACACGATTCTGTTGAAATTTGAACTGACGCGCAAACGTCAAACTTCCATATAGAAAGGATTTTTTGTTTTCCAAGGCACTTGTGATTTTTCTAACAAAAATTAATAAACCAATTTTGTCCACTGCCGTGCAATAAAACGGTTTTTCTTTCGAAAACGAAGTGAGATACGGAAAAAATACAAGAGGCAAAGAAGTTGTATTTTCAGATGCTTAATGAAACAACAAATATTAAAGTTACAAAAAAGGTAGTGGCGTACATTTTTGTCAATAATATTCGCTAAGGTGCCCCGCGGGACGACACTGGACCTAATAATTTTAATCTATACTAAGTTTAAATGGTTTTATTTTAATAAAAGTTGATGAATGTATTTATCTTACTGTAAATAACAAGTGAAAAAATTTTCAGCCTTATCGGTTGGACGGTTTTTATACTGCTTTTTTTTAATTCACTAACGCTCTAAAAATGAATATTTCAGCCGCAGTAAATAATCAACGTTGGCGGATTTTGGTTCTTGACATCCTTTACGATCGGTTACGATGCCTAGAGTACGGAGACCTGTACGATTTCGTCAACTTAGTGAGTTTGATAGGGGCCGTATAGTGGGACTTCGGGAAGCTGGACTTTCTTTTCGGGCAATTGCAGTTAGAGTGCAAAGAAGTGTAGACACTGTGGTTAGGTGTTGTCAGGCATGGCTTCGAGAAGGCCGTACGCAAAGAGCAAGGGGCACTGGACACCGCCGTAGAACAACAGACCGTGAAGATCGCCGCCTAAGATTATTGGCCTTAAGGGACCGTTTCTCCACTACCAGGTCCATTGCAAATGAATGGTTTGCAGAACACGGAAGACCTATTGGCATGCGAAGTGTTTACCGACGTATGAGAAGTTTTGGCTTGTTTTCATACCGGCCACACTGGGTCCTCCCTTTAACTCGAGAATACCGACGTAATCGCCTTGAGTGGTGCAGACAACGGTCACTCTAGGATCAGGAATGGAACAGTATTGTCTTTAGTGACGAGTCTCGATTTTATTTAGGCATGCACGATGGTCGTGCCAGGGTTAGAAGGCGACGTGGTGAAAGGAGGAATCCACAGTTTTTTGTTGAAAGACATGTTCATCACACTGTTGGAGTTATGGTTTGGGGTGCTATAGCTTATGGTTCCAGGTCACCTTTAATCTTCATCAGAGGTAACATGAACGCGCAGCGATATCCAAGAAGTTCTAGAATCCCATCTTTTACCCTATCTTGACACCCTGGCAGATCCAACTTTCCAACAAGATAATGCCCGACCACATGTTGCAAGAGTCACAATAGACTTCTTTCAACATAATGATGTCACATTGTTACCGTGGCCACCAAGATCTCCCGACTTATCCCCAATTGAGCACGTGTGGGATATGATGGGTAGGAGATTGCTCAATTTGCAACACCCTCCTCAGACTCTAGAAGCACTTCGAGAGGAGTTGGTGGTTGCCTGGAATGAGATACCACAGGAGGACATTGACCACCTGATCAGAAGCATGCCTAGGCGCGTTGGAGAATGCGTAGCACATCAGGGTGCATCCACACATTATTAAAGGTCAAAGGGCTTTAAAGCAGTGCAATTATTTTGAAATTTTTATCATTTACTTATTATGCTTCATTAAGTACTAATACAAAATTTTATTAAAATAAAACCACTTAAACTGGGTGTTCGGATTTATATGTCACTTAGTATATTTGGGGCTAAATTAGCATATTAATACAACAAATAATATTGTCAAATTTCAACAGAATTGAGTATATATTTTTTAAGATATATATAATTTTTTTAAATGTATCACCCTGTATATTGAAAACTTTGCAATTCCGGATTCTGGAATGTTTATGGGTTTATGAATATTTTTTTTCATATTCTTTAACAAGGAATCATCCTCTATATTATCTCCGTCTATTTGGCAATTACTCTACCGCATTTACTAAATTGTTCTACGAAATAAATCTATGAGAGTAATATTGAATAAAAATTAGTACACCAAAATAAAATCTATGTTACACTGAATATAAAAAATTCATATAAATATTAGGTTCTTATTTTCATATTTAAAATAAAAAATCATCTCTTGTCAAAACATTTAGATCATTACATAGAACTGGATAATGAATAGGTACGACTTAAAGGCTACTTGTAATTTAAAGAAAATTAAAGGAACATTTCTGGACGATGAAAATTCTAAGATATGCAGGTTTTGTTTTTCTGCATATTTGCATGTTATGTAGATGTTGAAGTTTTTCAAAAGAATGTAATTGTAGCAATTTAATACGTTTTTCTTACCTTTAGGTAAGTCGACTTTCTTGTACATTTCTATGTTTGCACACTCCGAAGTCCAAAACAGGAACGTGTCGTAGCCATGGCACTCTGAGCTTATAGCCATGGCGCTCATTTGGGTAATTATACTCCCGGCAATAGGATTGTATATGGATCGACCCGTTTTTCCATCGATTATGAAAGTCTGAAAGACATCTTCTATCAAATCTAAGATCCGTAGTTATAGTCACCACTTAAGTGCCTAGTGAAACAGTTAAGTGTCACTTAAGCTTAATTCGAACCTACCTGGGTGTAGTTATAGTTAAGAATATCATCGTACTTCTGATACACGACCAGAAAATCAGTAACGTTATCATAGTTAAAGTATCCAGGTGTGGGGCTCAAGTTTGTTTCTGAGTAAGCCCCAGGCACAGTGAAGTTCCAGATTTGTTTGAACGTGCTGCCGTCTATGGCTATCACTGTAGTGTTGTACATAGAGTTTATGATATCGGGTATTTCATCTCCTGTTATGTCGACCAGCACCGATTGGGTCAGTATACCTTCGTATTTGTTTTCGAATATTGTCGTTGACGAATTTGTCTGGAATTTGAAATTAGCACGTTTTTATTACCTTTTAAAACAGCTATTTTCGATTTGAGAAACTTTTCAAATTTTTCAAAATTTTTGTGATAAAAACTTCTTGGGTAAACCGAATGCATAGGATTTTCCACTTTTTGATATCTATACTCGAAATCTGCGTCCCAAATTACCCCAAACCTATCGAATTTCGTTTGATTGCCCCCAATCAAAGGAAATTTTGAGTTAACAGTTTAAATAATTAAGAAATGCCTGAAATTATTGCATGCTGAAGGTTCCGCATTGTTGTTTTCTCTTACAAATTATAGAAATGTTTAAAAAGTATATACGGTTTTGTTTATCAAGGTAGTTTCAAAAATGCCCTATCTGTATTGTAAGACTTGTATCTCTTACCAGATTCTCGATATTTTTTAAGGATACAACACTCATATTCCCTGGTCGTGTCGTAGATCCAGTGCCAAACAAAACAAACGCTTCAGAATCGTTATACTTCAGAACTTGAGGCATGTAGAACGTTTTCGCATTATTAGGAGTATCTAACTTCTTCAGTTCTTTTCCGCTCTTTCCAGAGAACAAAATGATATGTCCATCTTTTCCTTCAGTCAACGAAGAATGGGACGCGAGAACGTCCCATATCCCATCTCCGTCTTGGTCTGGGATGAAATTCCCCACGAAAATATTCGATTTGCCGCTATTGATTTGCCATATCACTGATCCGTTTTTTGCGCTGATCACTATTATTGTCTAAAAAAAATCGTACTTCTTACTGTTGCACTTTCAAATGACCTTCAAAGATATCAACGTTAGGGTAGCATCTCATAAGGAGCATTCTGAGAATAAAATAATACTATTGAATGACTATACAGGGTGTTTCAGTTTATTGTTGCATAACTTTAAGATTCGATAGGACTTTTAAAATTAATGCATAAGGTCTATATAAATAGCGTGGCTTCCGAAATACAGGGTGTTTAAATTTACTTTCTAAAATAGTTTTTTTTAAATATTTCGGACAATATTTGATGTATAACAGTCAAAATTGGTATACAAGGGTTTTTTGGTACGAAAAAACGAACCACGGGCATAGTTTTACTGTAGCCGCTAGAGGGCGCTCTCTACTGTACCTGTAGTGTATTAAAATGACCGAAAAATTTTTCGTAGTGCAATTTTTTACTTTTTGAATAAAAAAACTGATTCTTCGCACTTTTCTGCATAAAAAAGCTCTCTTGTGAGTTTTCGTTATAGTTAGCCGTTTTTGAGATATTTCGATTTTAAGGTTCGATGCATTTTTAATTATTTATGATAAAATAACGTTAAAAAGTCAGTATCTCGATAAGTTTTAGAAGTAGGCTGTGCTTGCAAATATTTTTGAAATTGAAAGCAGAATAAGGTTAAACGTCAATTAGTTGACAGTTAGTTTTGTTGTCTGTTGAAACCTGAAACGTTTTTTTGCAATTGTGAATGCATGAAATTTAGTTTCTTTTACCTGTTTTTTATTGAACAATTGGGTTTACATTTCGAGCAACTACTTTAGATTTTGTATGTTTGTCCTAACTATCCAATAGCATTTTAGTTGTAAATAATTTAATTTGTTAAAAATTATATTGGAAAATTAAACAAATTAATATTCTGTTTTTTTTGTGTTTATTTGGAGTTGGGAATTATTGCTGTGTTTAAAAAGACAATCTAAACGATCATCTTAATTACTTGTAATGCCCAAATCGAAAATGTAAAAAAAATATTGTTTTTCCATAAATAATTAAAAATGCATCGAACCTTAAAAATCGAAATATCTCAAAAACGGCTAACTATACCGAAAACTCACAGGAGAGCTTTTTTATGTTGAAAAGTGCGAAGAATCAGTCTTTTTATTCAAAAAGCAAAAAATTGCACTTAGAAAAAATGTTCGGTCATTTTAATACACTACAGTTACAGCAGAGAGCGCCCTCTAGCGGCTACAGTGAAACTATGCCCATGGTTCGTTTTGTCGTACCAAAAAACTCTTGTATACCAATTTTAACTGTTATACATCAAATATTGTTCGAAATATTTAAAAAAAAACTATTTTAGTAAGTAAATTTAAGCCACGCATTTTTCGACCCATGTTTATATAGACTTTACGCATTAATTTTAAGAGTTCTATCGAATCTTAAAGTTATGCAACAATAAACTGAAACACCCTGTATACTCCACTCCATTTCTCTTGTATCAGTGACGACACCGCCGCGGATCAGTCGCCATATTATTCTAAGATGCCTGCCCTGTGTCGATATGTTGAGAGCCAATGGAGTTTTTAACAATCTATGTAATATTTTATAATAATTTCTCCTCTAACTTCAATGGCAATTTGCTAAATCTCACCCCTTTAATTCCTATAGCTAAGCAATCATTGATATGATCTCCATTCACGTCAGTTGAACATTGCAAAGAAAATATGGTATCGTTCAGCCATTGTCTCCAAAGTATTTCACCGTTCACGCCACTCAATGCAATCACACCCCCTTCACATGGAGGCGGTACGCCCATGAAGACGGGGCAGAACACGTCTGCGGGGATGACGTCATAATTGTTACCTGAAATTTTTTACATTCAGCAAAGGAAGGTAGGAAGGAAGGTAAAAGGGAACTTGCACCCAAAACTTTTTGTAGAGCTGAGAATAGCAAGTTTTCTCAGGGGAACATTATACACAAAATCGTGCTAAATATGGAAAATTTAAGGCCCCGTACGGCACTCTTTGCCCCGCCCCTGCGGACGCCCTTGGAAGTCCCTCAACAAATTTGGGTATAATATTGACAAGTATAGTCAGACTCCGAAAGATTTCTATTACGTCATACTATAAATTGTACTGAAGTTATCAATGGACGTACGTCGATGATAAAATCACGTTTTCAGTGACATAATGACAACAAATTTATATTATGATTTTGCGAAGTTAGGTTATTCCACTGATTATTTTTATTTTCATTGTGCTTCATGGTTTTGACTGATACCTTAATAATAATTTTAGTGGGGAGTTTTTGTTTTAAAAAAAGTTGTGAGTAGAATACCTTAAGACAGAAACACCAAAGACCAAAGTATTATTCGAAAACAACCTAACTTGCTTTAACATAACCTAACTATTCATCTTTCAAATATGTTCGATCATGCAACATGAAAACATCGTCAGCAATACAGTTTATTTAGACAATAAAATTATGGTTGTCTCTGTCTAACATATCTGAAACTTCATTAAAAATATTCACAAATCGCTGTCGCTTGTCTTTTACATACTAAAATGATGACGTAATCGTCATCTTTCGTGATTTCGACTATATAACCCAGTCATCCTGGACACATTGCGTAAACGTGAAAACATGATGTTTCCTAATTCAATGTAAACATTTAAGCGGTCGATTTTTGAGACCATTTTAATAGGAAAACTTCTTATGAATGTACGAGGTCAGTTAATTAAGTGGCTTGAAATTGGTATCATTAGTGTTTAGAAAACTACGAGGGTTGTCTTAAAAATAGGGTTCTCTCACAGGGCACAAATTATTTATTTGAAAAAACGAATTTATCATTGGAAACGTTGATGTTTAAGCTATTTTTCGACATAGTCGCCATTTTTTCAACGCATTTTTCAACCCTGTATATGTATACAGATGCACATGTATACAGGGTGTCTCATCGACCCAAATATAGAATCTTTAAAAAACTATTTATTGGTGGTTATACTCATGTATCATATCTAGACGCATATTTATAAAATACTTCCACGTACAGAGGGTGTCCCAATTTTGACCCACATCAAAGTTGATTTTTTGCTGGAATGCCACATTTTCATTACATATTCAGATAAATCCTTTCAAAAGAAGAAAACTGATATAACATACTTATTGGTTTTGATTATTAGTTGTTCAGCTATAGGATATTTTATTTTGAAAAACATTAAAGTTTCACTCCTGTCATTTGTAACCGCAGTCATCTATTTTTACTGTTCAATACATGGTGACCGAAAGTGCAAAAGGTACTTTTTTCAAAAAACTAAATGAAACACTCTGTATAGTTTATTGTAGCATGCTTGGTTTCCACTGCCTACAAGCTTTCAATAACAATAAAAAGCCTTTATTTTTACCTGATATAAATTTCAATGGTGTTTATTCATGAAATTTTAAATTATTTTAAATTGTTTTAAATTGAACGTTTGCACCACATTTTCGAAATACCCTGTACGCTATTGCATATTCAAACGCATATTTACCTGTTCCAAAACTAAAAAGTACATCTTCAAAACCATCCTCGTTTACATCGATTGTGCGTATAGCAGAATCAGTCGTAAGTTTAGGAAGACTGATCGACCATACGTCCTTTACCCTCAAATTATTACAAGGCAATAGCTTGACGCTTGCGTCTTCTTTCGGCGTTTTGCTTATTATCCAATCCCTGATTTGTCTATCGGTAGAGGAAACATAGATACCACTACTACTACAAGAATTATTAGACCTGAATAAAGTCAAATGCCAGAATTGTTGACAGTGGAAGAAGTCATCGTGCGCCACTGCTTTGACGCGGTACCTTTTGATTACAGCGACGGTTGCCGACATTTCACAAAAAAGCGCCGCATTTTCGAACGCCTCCGCATACTAGCAGTGGCGTACGATGAGTTTCGCTACTGTCATCAATTTGGTATTCTATTATAGACCAATAACAAGTGGGTTTACTATTTGTTGGAATTACAAATTTTCGACTGTTATACCTCAGCCATTATGGATGCCTTTCAAGTATATTTCACCAATTGCAAGGTGAGTTACTTGAATGTGGTTCAAAAACTATTTGTACGAGGAATTTCAAAATCGGGGGTAGGGGCGAATGAATATTTTGATATTATTGGAATAAGAATATTAATCCTAATAAATAACTGTTTGAAATACCGTGAGTTTCTTCTAAAATTAAGGTAATAGCCTGTTCTGAAGGTTAAGAGGAATGTCGAAAAAGTATTTGAAGGAATTATTTACGAACAAATCATCGGATTCATTGCGAGAAAGAGATTTTTCACCAAATTTCAAGCTAGATTTAGGAAGAAATGGTCAGCTGAAACGACAATAGGTACTCAAAATATTCTGGTTGTATATACAGGGTGTCCGCAAAGTTGGAGTTTTCCTTTCAGAAACAACTACCGTTTGAAATAACAAAGGTAATGTGTAGTGAAACGAGGGCGACCAAGTAAAAAAAAAATAAAGGAAAAAGTACTCACTCTCCAGTTGACGAGAAGGGCTAAGTACGTCTCTGCCCGAAATCGTACCGCTCCAACAGAAAATGAAATCAGCTGATGCGCTACCGAGCAGATGCAGGCAAACAAGGAAGGCAAAATGTTGCGTAAAAAGTCTAGGTATTGCATCCCGTCCAATCGATTTGAGAGAATAAATGATCAAATGAGCATACCGTTCACCATGCCAGCCCAAACATTCACCGAAAATGTTGTTGAAAATGTGCCCGACGGACAGCGTGCGGATTTTCTACTGACCAAACATGAGTGTTGCGAAAGTTATTCACCCCATTATGCGTGAACGTAGATTCGTCTGTCACCAATATGCACTTCAAAAAGTCCACTCACAAAACCACCGCACTCTTGCTGGAAAATCGTCAGGTTGAAGGGCTTGTACACGTTGGACATGAAACGGATACAGCCCCTCTTCACGCAGTGTTTTGCCACACTTTAGTTTTTGATACTTGCACTTCTCTAGCCACGTCTCTAGTGCTTGTTGTTTTTTGAAACGTAATCGATTATACGGGTTCGTTTACCTCTACACGCGTGACCAGTAACCGTCGGTAATGAAAGTTGCATACTGACCTGACTCACTGACCCCGACCCAGTTCTGTCGTCGGGTCGAGCTAGTGTCCTAGTACCACTCGGGATGTCCCGGGTCGCGGCTACAGGACGGTATTCAGATATTTTTGATGTTGCAGAGCCCTTTATCTCGGTTCCCTTAAGACATTGGTGGTACTAAGAAAAATTGCTTATGTTTCAAGATCTACACGTCGTGTAAAGGAAAACCACAACTTTGCGGACACCCTGTATATTGCAGATTGGAAACTTACCAATTAAAATACTCAAAGATAGGATGACATAACAGCAGGGTTTACAAAACGCTCTGCAAGGAGGCCTCGCTTTTAGTCTAGCATTGATATCAGACTTTGCCGTCCTTCTTGGGGCCATAAGAGGACGTTTTGCGTTAAAGTCCTCTGCAAGCTGAAAAGAATGGCGTCAAGGAGATTGACTCATTTCTGATATACGAGGTTTTCAAGTCCATTTATTCCGATATTGACATTTTTAATTCCTATTAATATGCAGATCCTTTTTTAGAGTCTAGATACGACCATTTTTCACCGAATACGTCTGGACACTTATTTTCTGAATAGTGTGATTCTCCGAGGTGGCTCACCCTATAACTTTTTTATTATCGAAGATAGGAAAACGAAATTTGGGATTCGCGTATTACGGAGAATTTACATTTTTTGACTATTCACTTGCTTTAATGTGCTTCTGGTTTGACCGGATACGGGTCCAACTTCGATTTTTAAATGGGTCATCCTATTTATTTTTACTGATCTCGATCGTGAATGACAATCTGAACTCAAAAACGCCTCACTTGTCAATATTTGACAAATAAAGTCATTTTTATTTTTCGATCTAGAATGCCATGGATCCTATAATTGCTTTAATTTTTGCTCAGTAACACGGGAAAAATACGATTTTGATGTCAACTTCTGGTTCGTTGCACATTTTGTATTTCGAAAGCAACAGCTTCAATTTTTGTTATGGATAACTTGAATAATGAATGTATAGGTATACCGCATGCAGATGCGTGTTATTTGTTGTTATGGTCGTTTCTTACAATATTCAAAAAAATAGTGAAAAAAAAAATAAGAGTTCGTAGTGTCAAACTATTCGTGCGAAAAATGGTCTCTTTTTCTATTTGAAAAAATCAAGTAAACCTGAGAAAATTAGTGTTTGTAACTTTTAGAAATTTTTAAAAACGACTGTAAGGTCGTTGGGCGTCAAAATCGTATTTTTTCCGTGTTACTTGATCAAAAAATGAAGCGATTTACCAGGATCCATGGCATTCTAGATAGAAAAATAAAAATTGAAATAAAAATGACTGTATCTGTCAAATATTGAGAAGTGAGGCGTTGTTTTGTTTAGAATGCCATTATCGATCGAAATTAGTAAAAATATATAGGGTGTCCCATTTAAAAATCGAAAGTTGGAGTCGATTCCGGTCAAACCGGAAGTGCGTCAAAGCAAGTGAATATGTCAAAAAATGCAAATTTACCTATAAACGCAACCCCTACATTTCGTTTTTCTATCTTCAATAATAAAGCAGTTGTAAACGAAATTTTAAGTGGACAACTGATATGGCGGCGAGGGGATCTCAAGCCACTGTTTTTTTTCTCTGGGGATACCTCAAGAGCCGCGTTTACGCCAATAAGCTCAAGCACAACATTTTAGATGAGATGTGCGCTATCCCACAAGCGATGTTTGCCCGATGGCTGGCATCCCAATGATGTTATTTAAAAAAAAATCTTATGTGTCTACTTTATTAAAAATATAATGATCTTCCCTACGCTTTGTAGTTTGTTCCATGATTTTTTAAAATACGCCCAACTTAATGGCCCACCTGTACTATGTTTATTCCACTGTTTACCGAATTGACAGGTGGCTTTACGTGCAGATGTTTACGTTACGAATACCACCTGATGCTGAGACCTGTCGTTGCACTAAACCTTGTTTGTACGGCAAATCAATCGGTCAATAAAACTAGCAGGTACTCCCTTTAAAACATGAAATTATTTTCTGCTTTTCGACTAGAATTACTTACCTTGTATCCATTCTTTCCGTCTCTGATAAAAACCTCATCCGACGTCGCTCATATCATCGTCATCAAAAGAAATGCTCTCTCTGACTTCGCCTCTCAAGTTTAACCCCGGGTACCGCATTGGAACTGCAAAACGTACTCGTCAGACGAATCGCAGTCACGTAATTCTCTTCGTCAGACTTACCCAGTAGAATGTTTCACTCTTTCACAAAAACGAAAACTTTGTACGATCACAGCCGAATTGCCGATTGTGTATTTGGTCGATTTTTTTATTTTGCTTGCGAAAATGTTTGCACAATTTCGAACTCCGTATCAAAATACAGCATATGGCAGGTGAGTCCGCTCGTGCCTAGCTTTAAGCGTTACGAGACGTGCGCAGATCGGAGCGGGCTTATTGATTTTTCGTTGAGTTGCATTGGGCTTTCGTTGTGTGCGTAGCGGTAAAATTCAAATCAGTTGATAAAGCAGCCAGTGATACGTTGAAAACGGTGGCTAATCGCTGGGTATTATCAGTTTCCGGTACGCTATAACTATAACCGTAAGTACTGTTCGCGTTTTACATGCGAAAACCTCATAGATCATTTTCGGGAATTTCTTTGTGGAGGTTAAAATCGAATAAAAGTTTGATAACAAGATTGCATAGTGACATGTGAGGTACCGTTCACCAGTTTCATAAATTATCAATTTTGTTTCATATGGAACATCTAACCGAACATAAAAAAGTAAAAAAAAAATTTCTGTCCGCCACCACAAAACATGAACACCCCAGGATCGAACCCTGAAACGTTTGATTACTAGTCCGGGCATCTAACCACTACACCAAACAGTCGGTTCAGAATTGTTATCAGAAACATCTAGACATCCGTATCAAGCCATAGCCAACTAGATTATGCGGAAGATCGAGGCAGTGTTGCCAGAGCCAACATTGGAAATTCCGCTACTGGATCGAAAAACTCCGCTACTTTCCGCTACCCCGGGGATTATCCAAAAATGCTTGCACAAAATCATACTAAGTATGCAAGTATGTTGACTGCACACTTCGAGTCAATCAAGTCTATAAGTTCTTTAGACTTTACTTATTCAGCAAGACATGCAGTAACGCTACTTTTTAGATCAGAGGATGGCCAACGTGACTGAAAACCTGGCAACCCTGATATGAAGCCCTTTTTGGTCATTGTCTCAAAAAGCTTGATCTTGATTGAAGAGATGTGTTCGTGCCAGATCCAGTGAGTTGGATTCCAGGCAAAATAAACGGCCTTTTCGGTACAATTCGGCATCGCATCGTAGAATTTTTAAGTGTAGGCTGCAAGCTTTATTTTGTTTTGATCACCTGTGATATCGCTTATTCCTATTTGTTTAAATAATCCCCTGGAAACGCTCGCATTCTATTCTATCTGAGTAATATGTAAAGGAAATTAAGACGACGCATAATAAAAATTAAGGCCCGTATCGTCAGTCGTCCCTACAATTATTGTAGGGCGCCTTTATGGCCTCCTTGATTTTCATAGTTTTCTACTTCTCCGTGTCAACGGTCAGCGCTCTATTTTGAGGTTATGTCACAAACATCTATTTGAATCAAATTGTGCTTGCTTTTGAGTTATATCATGTTTTATCAGCTTGAAGTTTCCTACAATTTAAAAAGAAAAAATATCTTCACAATAGGAGAGCGCTGACGCTGACAGGGGACAAGTGTAATCTAGAAATTTTTGAAGGAGAGAAAGGAGTATGACAATCAAGGAGGTCATAAACGCGCCCTACAATTGTAGGGCGCCTTTATGGCCTCCTTGATTGTCATAGTTTTCTACTTGTCCGTGTCAGAACTCTATTTTGAGGTTATGTCACAAACATCTATTTGCATCAAATTGTGCTTGCTTTTGAGTTATATCATGTTTCATCAGCCTGAAATTTCGTACAATTTAAAAAGAAAACATATCTTCAAAATAGGAGAGCGCTGACACTGACACGGGACAAGTGTAATCTAGAAATTTTTGAAGGAGAGAAAGAAGTATGACAATCAAGGAGGCCATAAACGCGCCCTACAGTTGTAGGGACGACTGACGATACGGGCCTAAAACCCTGTCATCCTGTCAATGACATTTAAATACTCAACCTTCTATCTTCCTTCATCGATACGTCACTGGCTTGCTATTACAGCGGCCTCTAGACGTCAAATACTCTATTACTAGGACAATTTCTCATTTCACACTTGATAACGATTAGAGATACTTACTAATTTAAACGTTGTGTACTTATATAAAAATACAGATAATGCAAGTCCGAAAAAATGAGTTTATTACTGTTAAAGCACAGTTAAAGTGTTAGAAATCTGTTTAAAATCACGGTGACGGCATCTATACAGGAAGTTAGAAACTACAAGTAAAACAATAAGTAGGTGTTTGTCGATGACATAGAAATCTGTCACCAAATCATAATACTTGAATTCTTCGTGTATAGATGTCAGTGAAATGACGTTTTATGGTGCCATCTATAGGAATATTAGAAACTACATGTTGCGACCGTTGTGACATCGATTACCAATACATCAACATAACCAGACAACATAACATAACCTTATTTTTTCTTAGAGCTTAGTTGAACTTTTGTAACATAGTTTTATTAATTTGACCATTATAACGAATAAATTAAGATAAAATGGAAGAAGATACTGTTGCCGAACCTACCTCAATGTACTCAAATTTATACAAATGTCGAGGGTTAACTCAGGAAATGTCTCAACAACAAAGACGAATGGACTTTCTAAAAAAGCAAAAAGAGCGAAGGCATCAAATAACCGACGAAAATCGAAAAATCTGCGAGCTCTTATTGAACGACATGTGTTTCGACGAAGAAACAATGCAGTGGGACTCCGTCACACCTCGAAGCAAGAGGAAAAAGGTGGTGTTCAAACTGATGCATTCCGAATGGTTTACTGATATACCAGATGACCTGGAAGAAAATTGGTTGACAAAGTTTGCGCCAGAAGGCCTCAGAGTCCTATTAATTGCGACTAGAGGTCATACAAATTGCTATAACACTAAAGGACGTTATTATTTCAACCTCAAGTCAGGATTTCCAGGTGGACATAAAGAATGCATGGTACGACAGTCCTAGACTGTATTTATAACAAAGCTACAAATGTGATGTTCATTTTAGACTGTTTATTCTGGAACTCATTGTCCATGTTAGACAGCGAGGCACAGTTCAGATTTTTTTGGCTAAAGTCAAAGTTCGATGAAATGCCAGATCTGGCCCAGCATGGACATATCCAGTTCATTTTGTTGCACCACTTTCCCGCGGAGAAATCCATGATGCAGGAAATAATGTCGGAACAAACTATAGTGAAAGACCAAAAATTGCCTTACGACGGAGTTGTATTTTATCACAAAGAGTCACACTATTTTTTCGGATATACACCGCTAGTAGGGTGGCTAGCATCGTACATGTTACCTGAGCAACTAAATATAGATGTACCTCCTGAGAATATGGCGCGGAAGCCCGCAGATTACGAGAACATGGAAAAATACCTGGAGGATTTGGAGAAACGGAAAAAGAAGAGACACAAATCTTGGAGGAAGAAACATAATGTTGTAGATGAAGAAATGCTTTAAAGTTGTCGTTTGTACATTGAATGTTTAATGTAAACTTGTGAATGTTTTGTTGATGCTTGAGTCATGTGGAACATGTCAGCGTGTATATACATTTATGTTTTTTAAAATTGTTTTTCGTTAGAAGAGTAGTATACCCAAATCTAGTCTTGAGATATTCTGATGTATGCCGGAATACGTGTCTGTGTTATGATGGAACTAGTGTAGCAGCAAGTTCTAATAAACGATTTGTATCTTGAGACAGTTCTCTGTATTAAGTCTGGCCACTAAACGGAACACATGCTTAGCGGCATGTGCTTGAAACTACCTACTTTAAAAATGGCGTCGAGCAGGTTGACTCGCATTTTTTTTACATTTGTATACTAAGTGACATATAATCCGAACACCCAGTTTAAATGGTTTTATTTTAATAAAAGTTGGTGAATGTATTATCTTACTGTAAATAACAAGTGAAAAACATGTTCAGCCTTA